CTATAACCTTTGACAACAATATGAGAGCTTGCAAATGTTTCGCAAGATCACGCAAAAAATCTCGAGAAATGTTTCCTTCATGACCCCTTAGGGGCTCCTTATAAACTGACCAGCAGCCCCACAAAAAAAATTGATGTGGAAAGTGAATATCTGCTTCATTTCTCAACTCCAAATTTGACAAAACAAAGACAAATCTCTGCTGGAGCCTAGCAGACAAATTGGAGATCACACACACATTTTCTGGTGTAGCAATTTGAATTTAAAATAAATGTCCTAAAATAATAGAATTAAATTATGACATTTATACACTCATTGAAGGGGCACCACCCACCTTTTTCTGATGGGTAAAAGACAAAACAAAGTTCAGTTGAGTAACCAAACGTTAAATTAGTCTTAAACAGATTTAAATCAATCTCACATCTGAGAGTTTCAGGGACTCATTTCAGGGACTTCGCTTCTGGAAGGACCACTAAGAGACAACAACTTAAGATTAAATGGATAATTTATTGACAAATGCTAGGTGATAAAATTCTCACCCAGGTAACTTAAAATAAATGATCAAATAATGAGAAAATAAAAGAACACCTGATCAATAAATAAAGAATTGGTTTGAATTGAACTAAGACTGGAGGTTAACGACAGTAAGTGAAAGTGAAAAATTTAACCTACGTTAACAGGGTTACAAGGATGAATTTTGAAAAGGAATTTGAAGAAACTAAACTATAATTAAGAATATAAGATACTGAACGCTTAACACATCACCCAGTTGAAACAGCAGTGTCGAGGGGTTTGCCTACTTATTTGATGCCGGTTCACGGCAGGCAATCTTGGAGTGGATCTGTTGAAGTTCCTGGCTACCAAATCGAGTACTTGGGCCCGGCGAGTTCTTTGCTGGCACTGGATATGTTGTCCCACCCTAAGCACTCCAAACAGCGCCCTTGGATACATTAGCTGTCTTGCCTCTCAGAATCAGGTGGCAAACGCAGCTTGCTGGTCGGTTCAGGGTTAGCTTTACTGCAGGTTAATTCGCATCAATAACTTAAGATAATAATTTCACTGGCCAGTCCATATCTTCAGGAGTCACTTTAGCGAACTAAACACAATTAAAGTCCTAGACTTTGCTACTCTATGCGTGCAGCTAATGCTTTAAGGAAACTTGGGTATGGCTTCATCAAGACGATGGACGGAGACAAGAACACCAATAAAGGGTAAAAAAACGAGAGGGAGCAGCGCAAGCTCAGCGCTTTTAAGCCGTTCACGTGGGGCATGAGCAAAAACTGGGGGGGGGCACTCATGCGCTCTTTTTTCACAATGCAGGCCCGTCTGCTGGCAAGCAAATTAAATTTTACTTGCGATATTAAAAAGCGAGTTAGATCTAATTTACTCACTCACTATGATTAATGCCCTTCATCAAATCACATACGATCAAGTTTTACTTCATTGTTTCTTATGAGAAGATGCATCAAACCATAACATTAAATGTAAAGTAAACTTTAATCAGTCGTTTTCCTAAAAATCTATAACCTGAGGATTAATAAACTCTTTGAAAGTTAGAGAGGGATCGAAAACCAATGTATCTTTTCTTGCAAAACACCATCAAGCATAAGAAACACATACATGATAAGACTCAATTAAAATATAACCTTGTCAATAGATACTAAGTAAATGATTTTAATATATATATATACACTCACCGGCCACTTTATTAGGTACACCTGTCCAACTGCTCGTTAACACTTAATTTCTAATCAGCCAATCACATGGCGGCAACTTAGTGCATTTAGGCATGTAGACATGGTCAAGACAATCTCCTGCAGTTCAAACCGAGCATCAGTATGGGAAAGAAAGGTGATTTGAGTGATTTTGAATGTGGCATGGTTGTTGGTGCCAGAAGGGCTGGTCTGAGTATTTCAGAAACTGCTGATCTACTGGGATTTTCACGCACAACCATCTCTAGGGTTTACAGAGAATGGTCCGAAAAAGAAAAAATATCCAGTGAGCGGCAGTTCTGTGGGCGGAAATGCCTTGTTGATGCCAGAGGTCAGAGGAGAATGGCCAGACTGGTTCGAGCTGATAGAAAGGCAACAGTGACTCAAATAACCACCAGTTACAACCAAGGTAGGCAGAAGAGCATCTCTGAACGCACAGTACGTCGAACTTTGAGGCAGATGGGCTACAGCAGCAGAAGACCACGCCGGGTGCCACTCCTTTCAGCTAAGAACAGGAAACTGAGGCTACAATTTGCACAAGCTCATCGAAATTGGACAATAGAAGATTGGAAAAACGTTGCCTGGTCTGATGAGTCTCGATTTCTGCTGCGACATTCGGATGGTAGGGTCAGAATTTGGCGTCAACAACATGAAAGCATGGATCCATCCTGCCTTGTATCAACGGTTCAGGCTGGTGGTGGTGGTGTCATGGTGTGGGGAATATTTTCTTGGCACTCTTTGGGCCCCTTGGTACCAATTGAGCATCGTTGCAACGCCACAGCCTACCTGAGTATTGTTGCTGACCATGTCCATCCCTTTATGACCACAATGTACCCAACTTCTGATGGCTACTTTCAGCAGGATAATGCGCCATGTCATAAAGCTGGAATCATCTCAGACTGGTTTCTTGAACATGACAATGAGTTCACTGTACTCAAATGGCCTCCACAGTCACCAGATCTCAATCCAATAGAGCATCATTGGGATGTGGTGGAACGGGAGATTCGCATCATGGATGTGCAGCCGACAAATCTGCGGCAACTGTGTGATGCCATCATGTCAATATGGACCAAGCTCTCGGAGGAATGCTTCCAGCACCTTGTTGAATCTATGCCACGAAGAATTGAGGCAGTTCTGAAGGCAAAAGGGGGTCCAACCCGTTACTAGCATGGTGTACCTAATAAAGTGGCCGGTGAGTGTATATATATATATACACCCACACACACATACAATACAGGCCAAAAGTTTGGAAGCAAGATCAGATTTGTCCAAAAAAAAAAAAATCATAGTTTCATCTATAAAATTTGCAACACAATAAACGTGACTATTGTCTAAAGAGTAACTTATCAGAAGACATTTTGATTATAATTATTAGTTATTTGAGTCATTGTTGCTTAGACTTTGCTTTCTTTAAAGTAACCTCCTGTTAAGAATCGAACAAAGGCCAGGATCCAAAAAATGCAGAGGCAAATGCCCAAATTTATTGACAACAATAAAACAAAGTGAACAACAGAAAATCGCTGTTTCCGGGAAAAGGCACGGTTGGCTCGGACTGCCACTGAAAAACACAAAACTAGAGTTAGAAAAAAGTCACGGCAGCAAGGCAAATCGCTGGTGAAAAACAAAGTTCAAACGATAGTGCCACGTGGGGCAAGTAACAACTGAGGGAGTATAAAAAGACAAAGTGCAACAGAAATTGTACACCAAAATCTCCTCAACTGAAGGGAAAAACACGAACACAAAATCACCTTTGATCAAGGGAAAAAATCTCAGGAAAGTAACAAAAGCACTCACAAACAAACGCTGAGAGGTAGGCTGGATACACGGGCGGGAGATCAAGGAGCTCGGCGTGGCAAGACACGTGTTGCATGACTGGGTAATCATCCGGCACAGAGCCGACAGAGGAGCTTGGCAATTAAAGCCAGGTAATTGACACCAACTAGAATCAGGTGCGTGCAATCAGTCCGGACCAGCCCCGCCTCCTGCCGTGCCTCCAGTGCTGCAGAGAGAGAGAGAGAGAGAGAGAGAGAGAACACACATAGAGGCAAGCAGTAGCGGTTCTAGGCACGGGCTAACAGGGCAGCCGCCCGGGGCGGCATTTGTGTCATGACTCATGGGGGGCGGCACGAGCACTTCCAAAAAAATAAAATAAAAGATAATAATAATAAATCTTAATTGCAAAGCGGTTTTTTATTAACTCTTGTTGTCTAATTGGCGCCCCCCCGCTGCTGTAGGCGCCCCTGCTTGCTGCGAAGGTGCTGCACAGAGGCTGACAGACTGTGAGAGACGAGGCGGGGAGAGAGTTGCGGGGGGACAGCTCTGCTCTGTGTAGGCATGTCAGCATATCAGTTTTCCAAGCAGGGAGCGCGGCTGCGCATTGCTACTCTTAAGCCGGAAGCGCGGAGACGTCATTTTGTAGTTTTTTAATCATTTCTGGAGTTGTGGTGAATCAAATCACCGTATCCGTCGGCCTCTGATAGGCGAATAAAGCGCTCGGATCTTGCTAAGCGCTTCGTGAGTAAAGTAAACAATGACGGACGCAGAGAGCAGCTTCAGAGGAGAATTATCCAGCAGTGTGAACAAACTCTTCATATGGAGTGCTTTGGCTCACACTATCGCAATTTCCGAGTGTTGCATGACTTTGGGTGAGAACAGAGAAGAACACATTGTCAGCCATGTATTTATTCTAGTTTTTAGAGCTGCTTTTATACTGGCTTTTTTCTAGGAACACAGGAACCCCAACTGTTGCATGAACTCAAAATCCTCACAACCTCCTCTGGCTTTAACAACAGCTTGGCATATACCAGGCATTCGTTCCACAAGTTTTTCAAGGTATGTTCCAGGGATTGCATTCCAAGCTTTCTTAAGTTCATTAAAAAGAGATTCGTGGGACGCGTTTTCTGACGGATCGATCCAATTCATCCCGCACAAGCTCAATTGGAGAAAGGTCTGGAGACTGAGGGGGCCAAACCATCTTTTGAAGAACACCTTCCTCTTCTTTTTTGTCTAAGTAACCCTGACAGAGCTTGGCGTGCTTAGGGTCATTGTCTTGCTGCAAAACAAACTTTTGAGCCACAAGTCTGAGTCCAGATGGAACAGCATGGTGCTGGAGGATGGAGTGGTACTGTTCCTTCTTCATGATACCCTTTACTTCAAACAAATCTCCTACTCCATCACCTGCAAAACATCCCCATACCATGGAACTACCACCTCCTTGTGGGTGTAACACATGGTGCTTTTAGACGTTCACCAGTTTGTCTGCGGACATAGACTCTGCGTTTTGAACCAACAGTGCAAACTTGTTTCTGGTCATCATAAGTCCAATTTTTGTGAGCTTTTGCCCACTCATATCTCTTTTTCTTGTTCTGTGGACGAAGTAGTGTTTTTTTGCAGATACACAACCCTTCAGACCAGCCTTTCTCAAACGTCATTTCACAGTTGTCAGAGATATGGGTTTCGACCTTGTCATGTTGATTTCCTCCCTTATATTTGGTGCTGTCTTTCGCCGATCTCTCTAACTGGTGACAATGCTATTTTTATCCTCTGCTTTTGTAGTAACTCTCTTTCGTCCAGGTCTTTTTCTATCATCATAACTTCCAGGTTCCTCTAGTCTCTTTAGTGTAGTGGACTCCTTTGTTAGACACCTTCTGGCAATTTGCAATTTCTCTTTCTGTGTATCCTTCTTTCCTCAATGTACAAATCAGTACTTTTGTTTCTTTACTCAGTTGCTTCTTTCCAGCCATTTTCTGCAGTAGCTTGAACACAGTTGAGATTTCTCAGGATTTTTGTATGCAGACTCTTAAAAGCCAAAAAGTTGAAGTGAATAATCCAACTGTAATTTGTTTTTTTGCTTTTGTACTGAAGTTGTGACTCTTGCAAATGTTTTCAACCCTTAAACAAAGCCCTTATTATCTTTTGCTGACATATATTTAGCAATGGTCTGTTAACATCAATGTATATCTAAAGGTAAATGGAGTAAAATTGTGCATTTCCATGAAAGCAACATCTGATCATGGAGTAAATACATCCCAAAATACATAAAACTCATGCTGGATTTAAAAAAAAAGCATTGTGAACAAAAACTTGAAGTTACTCCTAACTGTTCGGCCTGTAATGGCCTTGCTCTCAAAGTTTTGGCCTGTAGTGTATATATATATATATATATATATATATATATATATATATATATATATATATATATATATACATACATATATATATATATATATAAAGGCACCATAGAGAGCATCCTGGCATACTGCATCACAGCTTGGTATGCGGGGTGCTCTGCAGCCAACAGGAGAGCACTACAGAGGGTCATCTGCACAGCCCAGAAGATCACAGGCTGCCCTTTGCCCAGCCTGGAGGACATTCCCAACTCTCGCTACCTGGGCAGAGCTGGAACATCATTAAGGACTCATACTCCCCGGAAACCACCTGGTTGACTTGTTACCGTCGGGCCTAAGGTACAGGTCACACAAAACAAAGACCAACAGACTCAGGGATAGCTTCTTCCCAAGAGCTATCACTGCAGTCAACAACAAGTCCAGCTGAACCTGTCCCCCTCAACCAACATATATTACTGATCACATTGATCTAAGTGCAATAAATGTATCTTTATCCGTGCAATAACACTGGGCTTCACTTGTGCAATTATCGGATTTGATATCATTCATATCATTCATTCCTGTTTGTTTATATCTTATAGTGTACATATATATACATTACTGCTGTTTTACTGTTCTTTACTTTTATTATTACATTATCTTGTGTTTTAATATGGCTTTCATTTTAGTACTTATTTATTACTTTTGCTATGCACCAAATGGAGTGGCGCTCAAATTTCGTTGTACTGTGTACAATGACAATAAAGGCGATTCTGATTCTGAAGAGCCTTCAGTGGCTGGAGTCACAAAAACTGCCTCCTCTTCAACACCTCAAAGACAAAGGAGATGGTCATAGACTTCCGTAGATCCAAACCCCTCTTCAGCCAGTGAACACCTGTGGAGTGGACATCGGAGTGGTGACATCGTATAAATACCTAGGTGTACATCCTGATAATAAATTGGATTGGTCTAAGAATATAGACTACATCTACAGAAAGGGGCAGAGCCGCCTTTTTTGCCTGAGAAGACTCCGATCAATAGACATCTGTAGTAAGACGCTGCAGATGCCTTATCAGTCTGTGGTGGCAAGTGTGCTGTTCTACACTGCAGTCTGCTGGGGAGGAAGCATTAAACACAAAGATGCAAGACGTCTTAACAAACTGGTGAAAAAGGCTGCCTCTGTGGTTGGACTCAAGCTGGACTCAGTGGAGGATGTGGTGGTGAGATCTACACTGAGGAAGGTGGAGACTATTCTAAGGAACATGGATTACCCACTTTACAACACCTTGATGGACCAAAGGGCCAGTGGTGGTGGACGGACCCTCTTTTCACTGCAGGACAGAAAGATTTAGAAGATCTTTTGTACCAAGAGTCATCAGGCTTTAGAACTCTTATGTAAATAATAGATAAGTTTTATAGACATATTACTTGAGACAAGAGACAATTGAATTTCCCTAGACATGCGAGACAAATGAGACAAAGAGTGTTTCACTGTTGATGTGGTGTACAGATAGAAAATCCTGGTGAAATGTCCATTAAACCTGAAATTAAACCATTTGCAGTTATTCTCCTCATTCTGCACCGAAAGAGAGTCACAGGAAAAACAAGTCACTCAGAGAATTTATGGCAGGGATCTGTTTCAGGGATAGGTGCCTCAATTGCACCCTTAATGTTTGAGTTCCCATGGTCTTTGGGTCATCCTTAAGGCTGAGGTGTCAACTATGAGCTATCCCAGCCAAGGTGAGAAGGTAAATGTTTATTCGGTCTGGGGGTCCGGTTTTTGATCAGCAACTTTGTCTCTTTGAAGTGTAAAAGATTCACTATCAGCCTTTTGGGAGAGCGCCTCTCGGTTCTGTCCAGGGGCCGTAAAAGGCCATAACTTTGGTGTGGAAAGTTATTCCCAACGCCTCTCCTGATCAGTTTTTGTCCCAAACTGAAAATGTACAGGCAGAACTTTATAACATCTTACAAATTAACATAAAGAATGACCCGCTGATCTTCTTTGGGAGTTTCCCTATGACTTTTTATGTAGAGAAAGAATGTACCTCCTCAAAATCCTCATAATAGTGGCAAAAAACATGATAACTACGCCCTGGTGTAAGCCATTACCCCCAACCGTAGACCAATGGAAAGAGTGACTTACCAAGATATACACAATGGAAAAAATAACAGCAAAGTGCAACCTCGACATAGCCTTATTCAAGAAGAAATGGAATCCACTAATTTCTTACTTTGGACTAACATACAGGACATCCAGGTGATTCAGCATCTGCAAGCCTAGACCCTCTAAAGTAAAAGGGTGTGCTTTTTGTACATAACTATCAATATTATAATTATTTATCCACTCATTAATTTTAACTTGTAGACCTCTGACACCGTCATAAGAACATGGAACCACCTTGCGGATGAGTTCTCTGTTCATGCTGTTTCTCCTTTTGTTAATGTTACTCAGATATGTAACAAAAGAATTTACAGCTTGTAATAAGAAGAATTCTGTAAGTATGTTTGAATATGTAAAGCTTGAAACGTCAATAAACACATTTGTTTAAAAAAAACAAACCTCTGCTTTGTAGCAGGGAAATCAGTCAATTCCTCTGAAGGGTTTACTTGTGTGCTTCAGCTGTTGTCAGAGTTACACTGACTTTCTTAAACTTAATAACAAAGCGCCCTTCTCGAGTTTATTGTTGGTTATCAAGTTAAACTGTGTGGTTGAAACCAGTACTGCAGTCAACATCATGACCCTCACCTGTTTCCACTGAACCTATTCTGTTTTTTCGGAGCAGTCCTGAATTTCTTTTAAACATTCGTTGATCCTGAACCAACTTTTTATGAGTGTGTTGAAGCATCAAACTCAAAATGAGTGGATATTTGCAATATTTCCAGTAAAGTTTAACTTGCAGTAAGTTGTGCACTAATACCTGACTGTAAAACTGAATGTATCCACCTTAAAAACACCTTTCACTTTGTCCTCTGATGCTCAGAAGCTTTAAGTCTGATACTTTGGATGTCACTGTGCTGTTGATTTGTAGACTTTTGAAAAGACTGAGTATATATGAAGTCTTCTTAGCCAGCAGTTTGAATAAAGCCCCTCTGTCTGCTAGTTAGTGCATGCTAAACTGAGCTGTCCTCTGTTTTTAATAACACAGTTAGTTCAGACTGGCTTTTGCATTGCTCTATTCTGCAGTTCCCGGTCTGTCTGCTCTGTTTGATTATTTTTGTCAGACTGCAGATGAAAAATTAACAATCAGCTCTGCTGTAACCCCAGCAGTCTGAATCTACTGTTCCCTCATTTTCTTTTTTCCTTTTTGTTCAGCTGTTTGTGTTTTACATTCTGTAATTTAACCACATTTACAATCCCTGCTAACTCTGTGCCTTAATATCAAAACTCTCATGCTTATAATCAAGAACTCTGTGTTTGACTTTCTCTTCCTGCAGGTGTACAATATCATTATTTTTAAGAAGCATCTTTTTTTTCTTGCTGTTTGCAGTCCATGTTAAATTTAACTGTTTGGACTGTGTTGCAACAGGTTGTCTTTGTATTTATGGTCATGCATCTTCTTTCATTGTTGCAGGAATGTAAAAAAAAAAATCAACATATCTATTACGCAATCTAATTATGTTGGAGGAGAATTGCACACATTGGTATTGTTACTGAATTTGCTGTGTGATTTTGCAGGTTATATATCACGGCTTTGTCTTAAATGTATTGAGAGGTTGATAAAAATGTGGTTTTATGTCTGTGTAGGTTCTCATTGATCCAGGTCATGTTGATGTTTTTCATATAAACTATAAACTTTTTCAAGAGGCTCTCTGTATGTGTGACCATTGGCAGGCTACTTCCTCTATATACTTCACATCATAGTCTGTACCATTCAGCATAAAGCAGATGAAAGAGAAAGTAAAAAAACTAAAAAAAATGTGAGCGCATAAGTGGGAACCACCCTTATTTAGCTGGAAATTTAGTAAGCAGGAAGATAGGGTTACTTCGGTTTAAACTGCCAGTAATCCACTTTTATTAGCATTAGTGTTGGAGACAATAGTGGATCAGAATCATAGATCACACGAGAAATCAAAAAGTATGGTTACACACTGACTTATAAATATACGCTGATTAAAGAGATCGTTGTGAAGGGAAGCCCAGCTGCCCTGTCTGTTTAACTCTCACACACACACACACACACACACACACACACACACACACACACACACACACACACACACACACACACACACACACACATTTATATTTACACTGGAAATTACTTGATAATAACCTAAGATATTTAGTTGTGTTGTATGTTTGAGTTGAGTGGGGGAAATTGAGTTGGGGATTCTGGATTTAATACTGTAACTATTTGGATTGGCCGGTTAATTTATTAGTCATCCTAATTCTTTTCCTGTTAATAACATTTATTCATCATTTCATTTTGATCAGTAGATTTTATTGTCATAGTAAGCTAAGGGGGGGTTGATTCGTGGAAGAACAGAGGACTTGCCACTGGGGAAGTGATTACAGGTCTGTCTTGAGTGGGTAATTCATGTCACCTGTGGAGAAGTGATAAAGGGGTGCCCGAATAAAACATATAATTGCTACGCCATGGTCCGTCTTCCATCCTGATGTGCACATTCTGACAATCGTCTTCTCTTCCAGGTTTTTGAACACATGAATCTGAAACAGCAGGTCCAGTTTTAGCTCATCTGAACACCACCACATGTCAGGTTTTTGATGACTGTCTTCTTTTAGATTTTCATTTTCCGTACATTGCTAGAGGAAGTGAAACTCAGTCTGTTTCCCACTTTTGCTCTGACTGACCTCACTGACCCCAGAAGGAATACCAGATCTTAGCACTTGGGGGAAAGTTATAATTTTGGCTGATATTGGTAACAGGGTTATTATAAATGTTTGACCATAATCTAACATTAGCCTCAGAGCATTTCAGAAAGCTAAAAACCTCTTTTAAATCATGCTCATCTTCCTTCTCCTCTCCCTGCTCTCCTCTCTTCTCCTGTTAGCTGTCTGATAGTTTGTACTGCTGTTGCACAGTATGTTAAAGATGCATCAGTTCACCATTAAAGGGATATTCAGACATAAAGTTAAGTTAGGGTCAAACACACTGTGTCACTGAGTTAGACACCCCCTCGAGAGATGAATGTTGCCGACTGCTTGCTTCTCTAGTTATACCAACTTCAGCAACGACTGCAAGACAGTAATACACAGCAGTCTACGTCTCCACATGCAAACCTCAACCAAAGCACCACTCTATAGCCACAAATAATGTTCAGAACAGCACCTAACTTCATCAACAGTACATATAGGGTCCCAACCATAGCACTAGCCATCAAACATCTTTTTAGCTTCCCCTGGTTTCTTTACTCACCCACTCTCCCCCAGCAGCTGCTTGTTTGTGGGGAGCCCTGACAAGTCGATCACGTGCTATGGAGCTTTTTTGGTTGGATCTCTATTCTGACATTGGAGCCCTCAAGATCTGTGTACCAAATTCCATGCACATATCTATAGCAATATTACAGATTTTTTCATTTTATTTTATTTTATTTTTTTATATTGAGACACTTCATTGCGCCGCCTAGGCACAGATAGACAAAACAAGGCGCTGATTTTTTTGTCGCTCTGGTATTCCATCAGGTGTGTCCTGAACAAATCTCAGCTGCATCCCATTAATTAAAAATGTATAGGGAAGCAGTAAAATACTTGAATCTTAGACAGGCCAAACCTGCCTGCCAAATTCTATTTGTTTTTACACATTTCTAGAGGTTTTAAAGTTGAAAAACCTTTAGTAATAATAATAACATAATTCCTGCAATTTCAATAGGGCTCTTACCCATTGCTTGAAGCATCGGCTTGGCCCTAATTATCAGCCCGGTTGTCACCCAACCCACAGATTTTCAGACGATTACATGATATGAGCCCAAACGCTGTTAACAAGAATCCCAGTTAGGTAGATCTTATCCTGAATGTTAACATAGATGGTTATGTATGAAAAGGTCAGAGCAAAGTCTGTGTTTGATTTAAAACTTTGGATTTTCTACAGATGCTTCTGGTTCTGTGATTTTGGCATAAACTGATGTACATACAGGCTCATGTGACATGACTGTATGTTATAATCCTCAGCACACCAAATCAGACAGACACCGACAGAAAGCATCATTTGAGGAACGAAAACTTATCTAGTCATCAGCCAGAGAGGAGTGAGGAGACTCAGTCTGTCCTCCTGCAGTTCTATGATCAGTCTTCACTAAGACAACCTCAGAATGGACATTCACCATCTTCTGATCTTCTGCTTCTTATCAGGTGAGGTCCAATCACCTGAGTATCTCACACTGCTTTTTAAAACTTACTCACTGCCTCTGTATCTCTGCCATGTCAAGAATCTGAAGCCTCTTAAGCCTGCAGTCTGTTTTAAGATCCAGAGTAGGTGAAGTTGACAGAAATTTTGAAGAAGTTGAAGTTGATAGAGTTGAGAGAAATTTTATCTATTTGGTTCTTTTCTCTCTGTTTTGCAGGGTCAGTATTTAGCAGGTTATTTTTACTTCTGCTCTGACATCATTTTTAACAACTTTGTTTGCACACATCAAATCAAACTGAACTGCTCTAAACTCAGACTTTGCTCATGGACCAACCACCCATGGTATTTTTTGACTGCACACATATCTTTTCTTATGCAGCCTTCGATCTCTGACATTACTATAACTAAATGAATTATCTTATAAAGACAGGGTAATTTGGGTATGTTTCAGGCTCCTGGTTTAAACCTCATATTAATTCTGCAGCTTTTCATAAAGGCTAACTGAATCCTAACAGATCCTCCCCTAACTTTGACTGCTTTCAGAGTGATCTGTGCTGCTCTTGTTCCTGTTTATTAGCAGCAAATTAAGCCAATTCGTTCATGCCTCCTGCTGACTTTGCCTCACTCAGTGTTCAGTTGTCCTTTCCTGGTAATAATAATTGTTTTCATGATAATTACTCTCACTGTTTATAAAGTATGTCGCCTCTGTCTTTTACTGTTTATACCATTTCTTTAACATAAGATCCTCATCAGGTCTTGATCTTTTCCACAGCTCTGGGTGGAGGAAACAACAGGCTTGTCAGCGCAAAAGTTTACATTTTTACTTTCACTAAAGGACAAAACATCTCAATTAATTGCTACACACAATCATCCGGGAGCTGGAAGTTCTTCTGTAAGAACCAATGTGAGGCAGACGATATTCTCATCAGAACAGAAGAGGTCCAGAGTCAGGTGGGCAGGTACAGCATGAGTTACAGAAGTGACCCTACCTCCTCCACAGAGGGAATCCTGAATGTGAACATCATCAATGGGGTAAAGTCTGATGAAGGCCTGTACAGATGTGGTTTGGGCAGCTCTTCTGTTACAGACTCTTCCACTGACTTAGAGTTCAGAGTTTGTGATGGTGAGTTTTTTTGTTTGTTTGTTTATTTTAGAAAGACATGAACCAGATGTTTTTAATGCACAACCTGCTCATTTAAAGCTGAATAATATGTGCTCAATTTAAGTTTAATAATAGGAACATATCAAGAAGTTGTTACAGGGTCATTTTTTTCATTGTGTGCCCACAGCTCTTCTTTTACTAACACTTTGGCAGCAGATGTTGCTCCTAAACCTGCAGATATTGTAGAAGCCTTCACAAGTTCACAGATGTGAAAGATACCCATGACATGGACTCTGATGATCCCCATACCATCAGGGCCTTTAGCTAAAACTGAAAGAGACATATTCTATACAAGGCACAACAATATTTATTCCTAAATCATGTAAACTGAGGGCACTTTATTGCATTTAGAAAGTTGAATGTACTTTTCAAATGTTTTTTTAAAAGTCTCATCTTTCCCCCTGTTTAACTGTCAGTCTGCTAGAACCTCCTCTCAAATCTAGATAACATTCCTGCTCCCGGTCTGGTGTTTTGTTGATTGGCCAACATCTTCAATCCACGTTAATATCTGCAGCTCTGCTGTTGATGTTAAAATTCTGGTTTAAAGAAAAGGAACCAGAGTCCAAATGTGATGAACTATTTATTTTATTATTCACTGACTTATTTTCCAGAAGCTACTGAGTCCACAGAGTTTTAACAACAGTAAAATACTGCCTTTTGGCTTAATCGGCTGTAGCTGGCCAGTATTTGACCAAAATACTTGGAACAGTATTACTACAAGTATTAATACTTGGTCTTGCAACAGCTGATCAATCACGCTGTTCCAGTTCAGCAGCTCCTATTGCTTGTATTGAGAGGAGAGAGTGCGCATGTATAACTTTATAACAGGGGTCTGAGGTTGTGCTGTGGACCACAAACAAGTCATAGATCAGTACATTTAGACAAACTCTACATTTTTATTGTAGATTATTTCTGAGTTGGTGAAAAAATATAAAACACTTTTAAAAAAAATCTGACTTATTAAAAAAAAAATTATACAGCTTTAGTCTGCCTTTCTCCTTGTTGGGAGTGGTGGTTCAGCGCCCTAACACCGCTATTGACCTGTTGCCACTGCTGTTGTTTTGGAGCTGATTTTCCATTATTGCAGAAGTTCTTCAGTGTTCCCCTGTTGTCTCTGTCCCAGCTGAGATGTTTTGTCGGTGTCTTAATTAAATGAGAGAGTATTTTTCATAGTATTAAAACATTTTCTAACATTTGATTTGTTGTCTTTGAAAATATTTCATTAATTACAGGGATTTAACAATTTGCAAAGTCTGTCTTTCCCAACATTTGATAATTTCCCCAACATCTTTTAAAATGGAGTTGTACAACATTATATGTACACTACAGGCCAAAAGTTTGGAAGCAAGGCCATTACAGGCCAAACATTTGGGAGTAACTTCAAGTTTTTGTTCACAATGCTTTTTTTTTTAATCCAGCATGAGTTTTATGTATTTTGGGATGTATTTACTCCGTGATCAGATGTTACTTTCATGGAAAGGCACGATTTTACTCCATTTACCTTTAGATATATGTAAGGTAGATGCTGAGTTGCGCCACTAGGTGTCGCTGCACATTAAAACAAGAGTTTACCATTGAGAATTGCCTTTTGTCCCTCTGACACACCGTAGGGGTTGATATCGCGGGTGTAATGAGCATTTCCTTTAGAGTTCTGATATCAACCTTGTAGGTAAGTCACGTTAGTTTCATGGGAAGATAAAGTACGAAATATTAAGCATATAAGCTGTTATAAGTTTGTTTTGATGAGCTATTTTGATGACTGAAACATTAAGCACTTGATAGCTGTGTAGTTTGTTGAGCTAACTACTTTATATTTTTGGTAAAATCTACGTTTGGAATACGAGTGTAATAGCGCTAACTCGAATGAGATGTAGCATTGTAATACACTTTTCTATTTGAAGTTTACTGAGAGTTCTGATATCAACCTTGTAGACCCCTGTGTTGTGAATAAACCAACGGTATTGCCACGATCCCGAACCCACCTGTGTCCGTGTGCATCTCCTTACCGGCTGCCGCTGCACCCCCCGCCAGAGGTCCATTTCACACATAAGCAGACACAACGCAGAGTAGCCTAGCTGTGGAGGTGTTGGAGAGCCGGCAGGCGCGCGCGAGATACAGAGAGAGGGCTACAACTTTGGTGCCGTGACCCGGATCGTGGTGTTGCCTTACCGAAGAGGGAATTCTACAACCAGGCTTGTATTGAACATTGAACCGTGAACTTTTCCTGGAGCTGACGGACATTTGCAACTTTTTTTTTTTTTCATGGTTCTGAAGCAACGTTACCGTCCCAGCTATATCCTTTAGAGACTGTTGTGAATACGAATTACTACTGCTATTGCATTTTGAATATTTTTCTAATGGGTAAACTGAATTTTGAGTGGAAATTAATGGTAAACTGAAGCTATTTAAAGCTATTTGATATTCGAGGATATTTTTCTGTTTGTTTCAAGACTCATTTAAGCTTGTGTATTCAGCTAACTGATATTTAGTGACATTGTTGAGTTGAACATTTAAGTGAACTGACTAAGTAATTAAGTTTAATGGCCTATTAAGTTAAGTTTTTAGACATAGCTGATATTTTTTGGTTACTCTGGTAATACTGAAAGACATATTACACTGCATTACACACAGACAGTATTGAAATACTTTATTTGCACACAGTAATTGCATATTTCAGACACACACATTGCGTTGTTACGGCAACATTTATTTTGCATTTCACATAAAACATATAGCAAGATGACACAGAATTACACTGATTCAGCACTTGAGCTGCAAAGTCCCTCCACTGTGACGCCCAGCCTCTTACCTCCAGCTGGGCCTGAAGCAAGTGGTTCAATGCCCCCTTTGCAACGACACGCTTTCCCATCCTCCATGTATTCAGCTTATGTGGCTCAGTACATCACGCCAGTCCGTCCATCCAGACAGCCGGGCTCCGGGGCTTCAGGACAGATACCCCCGCTCTGCCTTGACATCAGTCCTGTCACCAACCCAAGCAGCCCGACGGAGACACCGGCGAATGCCTCTGTTCACACCCCCAGCGAGCATGGACCCACAGCCTCCCTGCCTCCACAAAGCACCCCACACAGTGTTAGCGCTCAGAGGCCAGCGGTTCACCGGCTCCCCATGCCCTACCCCAGAGCCACCCCCTATGCTTTCCAGTCTGTTAGACCCAGCCCCCCAGTATACCTAGGCTATGCACACTCCACCCCTGCAACCCAAATGCCTGGGCCACGTTTCCAAATACCGTTAGCAGCAAGCACAGCTAACCAGCCTGCTGCTATGGGGCGGACCCCTCAAGTGCATTTCTGTGAAACATCTAGTACTGTTCTGGGTTCCAGCCATAGTGATTCAGTGCCCCTACCCCCTGCTCATGGGTATGCCCCCAACACCACCCCCTATAGCCCCCCTGTAATGTCTGAGCATACTGCTGCTGATATTCACCCCAATCCTGCAACATTGCCTAGCCTGTACAGTTACCCACAAGCGCCACATTCACAGACCCCTGTTCAAACTAGAGCCAGTGCAAGCCCCCCAGTGTCAGCCTATGGTGGTTTCATGCAAACGCATCAAGTGAAAAATGTTCCAGTCTTCACGGGTAATCCAGACTGCAAGATTTTAGTGGAGGACTGGGTGCGTGACATGCAATATCTCCTGGAAGCGATTGAACTCCCCACGCACCTGCGTTTTTCCACGGTGGTGAGGCACCTTGGCGGTGAAGCCCGGAAGTTAATTCTAAACATACCCATCCATAACCAGAGCCCAGAGAAAGCATTCGAGGAACTGAGAGCAGAGTATGGCGACGCACGAGGGTCTTTAGACCCATTAGCTGACTTCTATGAGCGGAGCCAAAACCCGGGTGAGTCCGTCTGCTCTTATGCTATAGCGCTGGAGTCGAAACTGCGTGCTGTTGAAGAGAAGCAGAGGGGAGGCAAGCCTTTCCCCGACCGTGACAGCAAACTCACCCGCCAGTTCATGAGAGGGCTCACCGATGAAGAGGTGTATATGAGAATAGCACCCATGACACCTAGACTGCTGAGTTTTCGAGAGCTGCAGAATGAGCTCCGTAACCTGGCAAGAGAAAACAAAAAGTTCCAGTCTCAAAACAAAGGGAAAAAGACTGTTACCCAAGTACATGTTACACCAGAGGGAGATAGAAATGTGAAACCTGAAAAGGTAAACCCCACTTCTGAATTATCAGAGTTGACTGAGATTGTAAAGAGGCTAGCTCTTAAGCAAGAAGAACAAATGGCCAAGTTGTCCCACCTTGAGCGGAGAATAGCTTCACCACCCCCTACCCCCATCCAAGCAGTTCAGCCCCCACGGGCTAGGGCGGCCCCAAGCACAAGCTTCATCTGTTATCGGTGTGGTAAGCTCGGCCACACCGCCCGAATTTGTAGAGCAGTGCTGCCAGCCCCTGCCCCTGCTGGAACCCCCCAACCAAACGCCCCTGCCGTGGGGCCCACACCCCAATCAGACCAGCCTTTAAACGCTTAAGGCCCATGGTAGCTGGGGCAACCATGGGCATACAGCGAGGCCCCCATCCACCCACAAGAGACATTAGCACTGGAAAAGAGGAGACACCTCTAGTCGGGCCCAGGAACGAAGGAGAAGTTGAAGTCAACGGCATGCAGTGTAGGGCTCTCATTGACTCTGGCTCCCAGATAACCAGCATCACACACAGCTACTGGCAGAGCCACCCTGTCTTGCAGAGACTGAAGCTAAAGCCCTCCAAAGTACCCATAGAGGGCGCAGCTGGCCAAACTGTGCCCTACCACGGTGTGGTGAATATTGACTTGAAAGTTCTTGGAAAAGAGCATAAAGCTGTGCCTACCTTCGTAGTTCCTGACTCCGACTACCGTTCTTCAGTCCCCCTTCTAGTGGGCACAAATGTCATCAGAGCCTCCCGCAGCCACCTCCAAGCGTCATATGGCCAGCAGTTCCTCCATCTGGTGAAAGAGAAGCATCCAGAGTGGTAAACAGCACTGCTGAAGGTGGGGAGCGCCGAGCAAAGTGAAATGCATGATGTGGTAGGTCCTGCTGTGTACACCGGCCGTAAAGTACGCATTCCTGCGGGTAAAGAGATGGATTTGAGATGCAAGATTAAAGATGGTCCTCGGAGAAAGATCTACACTGCCCTGATTGAGAGCCAGGCCTCGGTGCGTCTTCCCCAAGACCTCCTGGTTGCCAAAGTTCTTGTTGATGTAAAGGGAGGATGTGCTCCAGTTAGAGTGATGAACCTGTCCCAGCGTGTCATAACTATTAAGCCCCACACAACCCTGGCCAGTGCCGTCCTGATACACCGCGTTCTGGAGTTTCCTGAGAACGAGGGGGGGGCCTGGGAACAAGGAGGCATGCCTCAGCCTGGGACAAGTGGTGGCGAGCTGTGGTGTGGACCTAAGTGACGCGGCAGTGGAGACCGAAGATCAACGCACCAGTCTGGAAACACTGCTAAACAAGAATGCGGATGTGTTCTCGCAGCACTCCCTGGACTATGGCCACACCACAACCATACAGCACGAGATCCCACTGGTAGACTCAAGGCCTTTCCGATTACCCTACCGTAAGATACCCCCATCCCAATGGCAAGACGTGCGGCGCATGTTAACTGAGATGGAGGCAACCGGGGTCATCCGTCCAAGTAAAAGCCCTTATGCCTCACCAGTGGTCGTCGTGACCAAGAAAGATGGGTCATTAAGACTCTGTATTGACTACAGAAAGCTTAACTCCTGCAGCACCCGAGATGCGTTTCCTCTACCAAGAATTGAGGAGGCCTTAGAGTCGTTAGGACAAGCTAAATACTTCTCCACGCTCGACCTGACCTCCGGTTATTGGCAAGTGGAGGTAGCGGAACACGACAAGCACAAGACAGCCTTTAGCACTCCCATGGGGCTTTTCGAGGCCAACAGAATGCCATTTGGGCTTCAAAACGCCCCCTCCACATTCCAGAGGTTAATGACCTGTTGCTTCGGTGACTTGAACTTTACGCATCTACTTATTTATTTGGACGACATAATTATTTTTTCTTCGACCTTCAGTGAACACCTAGACCGACTGCAGTGTGTCTTCAATCGGCTTAGAGAGCATGGCTTGAAGCTTAAGCCGTCAAAGTGCCAGTTCGTGAGGAAGGAAGTGAACTACCTGGGTCATCTGGTGTCGGCAGACGGCATCAGGACGGACCCGGAGAAGATCAGCCGTGTCAAAGACTGGCCGAGGCCTACAGACCGCAGGGAAGTGCTTCAATTCCTTGGGTTTGCTGGCTACTATAGACGCTACGTCAAGTCATACTCCAGTCTAGCTGCACCCTTGTACCGCCTCACCTCGGGAGACCCTAGAAGCAAGAAGAGAGGGGCCCAGAAGAATCCAGCCCCCGATCCGACCTTTCTGTGGACTTCTGAGTGTGAGGAGGCATTCCTGGCGTTGAAAGAGAAGCTGACCAATGCACCGGTCCTGGGCTATCCAGATTACAGCCTGCCCTTCCTGCTGCAGACTGACGCGTCGAGAGATGGGCTTGGGGCTGTGCTTGCACAGATCCAGGGTGGAGCAGAGAGAGTTGTCGCTTACGCTAGCAGAGGCTTGACCCCACCTGAGACGAGATATCCTGCGCACAAGCTCGAATTCCTCGCTCTTAAGTGGGCGGTCACAGACAAATTCCATGACCACCTTTATGGACGCAAGTTCTCTGTGCTAACGGACAACAACCCTCTGAAGTACGTAATGAGCACTGCCAAACTCGACGCCACTGGCCAGCGGTGGGTTTCTCACCTGTCAATCTTTGATTTTGATATCCAGTATAGGAGGGGCCAAGACAACTCTAACGCCGACGCCCTTTCACGCATGTCCAACCAAGAGGTCAGTGAAGTCCTGCAGACTTGCCCCCAGCAAGTGGTAGCTGATGTACAGGGGCAGAATGAGACACGTGGCACCCAGGAAGTGGAGGAGTCCTCCGGGGAAACTGCTGCTTCTATGGAGGCGCCAGAGAGTGGCCAGCTGCTGGAGCCGAGTCAACCCTATGGAGACGTGGGAATGGAGGCACTGCCCGCTATGACAACACAGGAGATTCGGGCAGCGCAAAGAGAAGATCCGGACATTGGTCCAGTCCTGCACTTCAAGTCCCGCAACCGGAAACCAAGCCGCACCGAGAGGGTGGAAGTGGGTGCAAGTGGGGGCCTTCTCTTAAAAGAGTGGAGGAGATTAGTGGTGAAGAATGGTGTCATTTACCGGCGGGTCCGTGACTGCCATAGAGGAGAGTTGGAGCAGCTAATACTGCCACAGAGGCTGCGTGTAGCTGTTAAAACTGCTCTTCATGATGATTCCGGACATTTAGGATTTGAGAGAACATTGCAGATGATACGTGAGAGATTTTATTGGCCAAGAATGTTTCAAGAGATTAAAGCCTGGTGTGAGCAGTGTGAGCGATGTTGCCTGAGAAAGACTCCCACAGCTAACGTCAGAGCTCCCCTAGTCAGTATACACACCAGTGCCCCCATGGAGTTAGTCTGCATGGACTATTTGACGCTTGAGAAGTCCAAAGGTGGCATTGAAAATGTGCTCGTTGTCACTGACCACTTCTCCCGTTACGCGCAGGCCTACCCCACCAGGGACCAAAAGGCGGGCACAGTGGCAAGAGTATTGTGGAGGAACTACTTCAGTCGTTTCGGCTTCCCTGCAAAGCTGCATTCGGATAGGGGGCGCAACTTCGAAAGTGCTATTGTGAAAGAGCTGTGCAAGTGTACCGGCATTACTAAAACACACACATCGCCCTACCATCCTCAGGGGAATGGGACCACCGAGAGGTTCAACCGTACCCTGATGAATATGCTGGGGACACTAAAGCCGCACTTGAAGCCTCGGTGGCACGAACACTTGGATGCCATGACACATGCATATAACTGCTCACAACACGACTCCACCGGGTATAGCCCGTACTACCTGATGTTTGGTAGGTACCCACGGCTCCCGATTGACCTGATTTTCGGGTCCCCCACCGCAAATCAGCCCTGTGGATACCACGAGTATGTCCAGACTCTGCATGATTCTTTGATGGAGGCTTATACCCTGGCTAACCAAACATCTCAGCATGCTAAAGAGCAGCAGAAAAAGTACTATGATCTGAAAGCCAGAAGTGAAGATTTTGCTGCTGGGGACCGAGTCTTAGTCAAAGTTTGCCATGTGGAGGGGAGACAGAAACTGGGAGACCGTTGGGAGTCACGCCCATATGTCATTGTCAAGAAGCAGCCCAACGTACCTGTTTATGTGGTGAGACCGGAGAATGGAGGACCGGAGAGGGTGCTGCACAGAAACCTCCTTACCCAGTGCATGTTCCTGCCTGTGGATCGAAGTAACCTAGTCTTGGAGGAGAGCCAGCTGGATAATGAACCGTGTGAGACTGGTGTTGATCTGGGTGAAGATGACAGTATGGAGGAAGTGAAAGATGGAGCTTTGACTGGAGCAGTTGGGGGAGAAGAGCACCCCAGCACCGAACTGACCGACACAGAGACACAAGGGGATATGCTGGTGACCAGTGGTGGTGCCTCTTCCTCTCGAGGCGTTGACACTCCAAGGAGAAGGCCGAGAAGGAGTCGACGTCCTCCCCTGAAACTGTCTTTAGAGTGCCGGGCCATGGAAGTGGAAAGTGACCAGCAGAAGATAGAGAGAGGAAGAAAGTTGTGGCAAAGGGCCAAAGCAAGAAGAGCAGCTGGACACATTTAGGGCCACGTAGTGCACACACCTAGATGAGTCAGCTCCCCCACACACACATTTTCTACACACTTTATACACACACACACACACTTGTCACATATTTGTTTATTTTTGAAGTTCTTTGAGTTACCTCATGAGTCTCTTTTGAATGAGTCTGATGGCGGGGACGCCATCTCTTAAAGAAGGGGTGGGTGTAAGGTAGATGCTGAGTTGCGCCACTAGGTGTCGCTGCACATTAAAACAAGAGTTTACCATTGAGAATTGCCTTTTGTCCCTCTGACACACCGTAGGGGTTGATATCGCGGGTGTAATGAGCATTTCCTTTAGAGTTCTGATATCAACCTTGTAGGTAAGTCACGTTAGTTTCATGGGAAGATAAAGTACGAAATATTAAGCATATAAGCTGTTATAAGTTTGTTTTGATGAGCTATTTTGATGACTGAAACATTAAGCACTTGATAGCTGTGTAGTTTGTTGAGCTAACTACTTTATATTTTTGGTAAAATCTACGTTTGGAATACGAGTGTAATAGCGCTAACTCGAATGAGATGTAGCATTGTAATACACTTTTCTATTTGAAGTTTACTGAGAGTTCTGATATCAACCTTGTAGACCCCTGTGTTGTGAATAAACCAACGGTATTGCCACGATCCCGAACCCACCTGTGTCCGTGTGCATCTCCTTACCGGCTGCCGCTGCACCCCCCGCCAGAGGTCCATTTCACACATAAGCAGACACAACGCAGAGTAGCCTAGCTGTGGAGGTGTTGGAGAGCCGGCAGGCGCGCGCGAGATACAGAGAGAGGGCTACATATACATTGATGTTAACAGACCATTGCTAAATATATGTCACCAAAAGATAATAAGGGCTTAGTTTAAGGTTTGAAAACATTTGCAAGAGTCACAACTTAAGTGCAAAAGCAGAAAAACAAATCACAGTTGGATTATTCACTTCAACTTTTTGATTTTTTAGAGTCTGCATACAAAAATCCTAATAAATCTCAACTGCATTCAAACTACGGCAAAAATGGCTAGAAAGAAGCAACTGAGTAAAGACACAAAAGTACTGATTTGTACATTGAGGAAAGAAGGATACACAGAAAGAGAAATTGCAAAATGCCTAAAGGTGTTTAACAAAGGAGTCCACTACACTCTAAAGAGACTAGAGGAACCTGGAAGGTATGATGATAGAAAAAGACCTGAACGAAAGAGAGTTACTACAAAAGCAGAGGATAAACATAGCATTGTCACCAGTAAGAGAGATCGGCAAAAGACAGCACCACAAATAAGGGAGGAAATTAACATGACAAGGTCGAAACCCATATCTCTGACAACCGTGAAATGACGTTTGAGAAAGGCTGGTCTGAAGAGTTGTGTATCTGCAAAAAAACCCTACTTCATCCGCAGAACAAGAAAAAGAGATATGAGTGGGCCAAAGCTCACGAAAAATGGACTTATGATGACTAGAAACAAGTTTGCACTGTTTGGTTCAGAACGCAGAGTCTATGTCCGCAGACAAACTGGTGAACGTCTGAAAGCACCATGTGTTACACCCACAATTGAGCAAGGAGGTGGTAGTTCCATGGTATGGGGATGTTTTGCAGGTGATGGAGTAGAAGATTTGTTTGAAGTAAAGGGTATCATGAAGAAGGAACAGTACCACTCCATCTTCCAGCACCATGCTGCTCCATCTGGACTCAGACTTGTGGCTCAGAAGTTCGTTTTGCAGCAAGACAATGACCCTAAGCACGCCAAGCTCTGTCAGGGTTACCAAGACAAAAAAGAAGAGGAAGGTGTTCTTCAAAAGATGGTTTGGCCCCCTCAGTCTCCAGACCTTTCTCCAATTGAGCTTGTGCGGGATGAATTGGAACGATCAGTCAGAAAACCACAAATCTCTTTTTAATGAACTTAAGAAAGCTTGGAATGCAATCCCTGGAACATACCTTGAAAAACTTGTGGAACGAATGCCTGGTATATGCCAAGCTGTTGTTAAAGCCAGAGGAGGTTACTTTAAAGAAAGCAAAGTCTAAGCAACAATAACTCAAATACCTAATAATTATAGTCAAAATGTCTCCTGATAAGTTACTCTTTACACAAAAGTCATGTTTACTGTTTTGCAAATTATATATATGGAACTATGATCTTTTTTTGTACAAATATGATCTTGCTTCCAAACTTTCGGCCTGTAGTGTATGTATGTATGTAAACCCTGCAGATTGTACATTTTTGTTTCACCCTACTTACACCATCAGTTTCATTTGACAGACAATGAGCAGAACTCAAAGCTTAAACAATCCAAAGTCAAAATCTCATTAAACTGCTGTAACTGCAGAACTTTTGACCGTGTCACCATTATCTGTCTGTCCAGAGTCACCATTGGAAGGATATACTGGTGCAATCCGCACAGAGTTTGAAGGAGAAGATATCCGCAGTATATGCCCTGGTTCTGTCTACGGACAGTGGAAGTTCTTCTGTAAGGGTGAATGTAAGACAGACGAGGACATACTGATTGAAACAGAAGCAAGCAACACTCAGAACGGCAGATACGGCCTTGAGTATACCAACTATCAACTCTACCTGACCATCAAACAAGCCACTAAGTCTGACACAGGAAAGTACAGGTGTGGTTTTGGCAAAGCTCTGTCTCCAGATTCATATTATACATTCCCACTGATCGTCATAGAAGGTGAGTTTTTATGTCACTTCATTTGATAACACCTCTTCTATTAATATTACTCCTTCAAGAGTGAACTCTACAATAGATGAACTGTATGCCATCTTTGAGCACATGGTGTTTTTTAAACATTTAATGATCATATTTTGGACAAAGAATCTACATGTTTTTTAAATTAAACATATTTTAACTCTTTTCATGTGCAGAAAAAAAAAAACTAACCTTTGACCTCCAGCAAAGTAAGGCACTGAACTAGCTCCTCAAAGACTGGTATGTTTATCCTTTAACAGGCAGAAACCTTAAACAGAACCAGACTCATGTTAGACAGCCATCTGTTGAGACTGAGCTGGGTTTACAGAGGGGAGAGAGGGAGATGGACGGAGGTGAAACTGATGCTTGTAGTTGAAGCAGTTGGAAAGCAGCCAGGTCCACAACAGCAGGACGTCTGCAGCAGCTGTTCAGAAGAACCTTTGGCATGATGGAGCTCAGGGACTCCCAGAACAGACTGCATTACTGACTCTAAAGGGACTTGATGATTCAGAGTTAATGAGACAGACAGACAGAAGGAGGATGGAGATGGAAGGAAAGGTGCTCAATATACCCAGTACCCCCGACAGTCTAAACCAGGCATGAACCAGATTGAAGCTTTACCAAAATAGAAAGTTTAAAGACAACTCTAGAGAGGGTGTCTGCCCCCCCTTCACCTCCACTGGTAGATGATTCCTAACTGAAAGCTCTACCACCCAGACCACTTTCACAGACTTCAGACCCAAATCAGGTGCTGGTTAATATTACTTTAGACTTTGAAAGATCTGGACTCTGACTCTCTCTGACATCTCTCTCATTAGCCTCCACACAACTACATCTATGTCCTCCACCAACACCACCACCACCAACAACAACAAGAACAACTAAGAGTTCAAGCTCCACCCTCTCACCAGGAGATCTTGAGTCCACCTTCCAAGTGACAGGTGCAGTACAGCTCATAAGTAAGTCATTATTTCTAAGTTGGTCAAGATTCCACATCCTGTAGTTGAAATTCAAGATAAAATACATATTTCTATTTCAAATTGTGATCAGGTGATTTGTCTCTCTCTTCTAAGCCCCTCTGCCATCTTACCTCGTGCCTCTGGTCGTCAGTGTGCTCCTGGTTTTTGGGCTGTTGGCTGTTTTTCTGATCGTCCTCTGCAAATGGAAGGCCAGGGGAAACTTTGTGGTGAACACTGGTGAAAATGCAGACGATGTGAACATGGAGGTGACTTCTTTTGACTGGAGTCAAAGTACAGATACATTTGACAACACTTACGATTACTATTTTGGATAACTGCTTTTAAAAAACACACAAATTCAGCCTAATCTAAAGTTCACATTCTGCCAGTCTATATCAATTTAGAAAACATTATTTACACTTTTAAACTCATATGCTGCAGGTTTTCTAAATAAGATACAAGAACTTCAGCTTAGCTTATCCAGAATACAACAAATGACTGGAGTTTCATCTTCAACCTGAAAATTGACTTGTTACTGTGCATGTCTGGTTTTCAGAATCTGTCTTCAATCCCTGAAAAACAAGAACATTGATCCAGCCAGCAGAGACCAGGACCAAACCTGATGCAGTCTGTAGGGGCAGCAGGAAAATCTCCAGATCAGCTTATGATGTGCTTTAAAAATTCTGCTTTTGTACCAAAAATGAAACTATATTTCTGGGCCGCATAATTACACAAGGCAGTAGAATGCTTAAAACAAAATAAAGAAACAACATGGCTATCTTTAGAGCAAAATTCATGCCCCAGAATCTCACTCCAAGTATTTCCATCCTATTCAAATGAGATACGGACAAAAAACAAGAAAAGTGCACACACAAAGTTTAAAACTGTAAGGGAAAAAAATGCACCATAGTCTATATCTAGGGCAATGAAAATTTTCAAAATAATAGATTTCAAACCTAGACATTTTGATTTAAGATTTACAGACTGGGAAAATAAGGGCCTTATTTTTATTGATGACTTATTTGATAGTAAAACCTTGAAGTCATTTAACCATTTACAGGAAAAAAATGGTTCGATATCCACAGATTTCTACAGGTTGAGAAGCTACCTGACTTCACATAAAGAATGGCAGTCTCTTACATTACAGCCTTCTGATTTAGAACTTTTCTTCATCAAGATCATAAAGAAAATGGATGGTAAAAAAAGAAAATGTATCACATTTATATAAATGACTACAGACAATTGTAACAGGGGGCTCTCTTGGAATAAAGGAAAAGTGGGAATTAGAAATGAATGTTGTGAGTGAAGATGAAATTTGGAAACAAGCGTGTAAGAATGGACATAAACTGACCAGCAGCCCCACATAGAAAAATTTCATATGGAAAGTGAATATCCGCTTTTTCAAAGATTCATTTATCATCTCCAAATTTGACAAAACAAAGACAAATCTCTGCTGGAGCCTTGCAGACAAGATCACACACACATTTTCTGGGATTGTCCAAAACTGAATCAGATGAATGTCCATCATCCAATAGATCTGTAATCAAAACATCTGCATCACTTTGAGGTCCATGTTTACATAACTGTGACTCTTCTCAGTAAAACTGACAGATGACTCTTCAGACAAGGAATCGTCACTGCAGCCATCCACTTCAGATGAGGACTGATTTGATGAAGATGATTCTTTTGTGCAAATATAAAATTTAAGCAGCTTCAGTTTGGTTCGTTCATAGAGTTTGCCAACTGTGTCATCAAAAGGAATCTGGTTTCTTTTGAAATCACAGACATGAAAGTTAAAGTCCTCCACTGGCCCTTTTGTTGAATGTCCATCTTGGAAAAAAGCTGCTTTCCTATATCCAAAATCTGAGCAACAGTTGTTGTTTTATCCACGGTAGCCTGTCTTGTTCCTCAGCCAATTTTTTGTCCTTACTTGATGATATTCATTACAGCTAAAATGAAGTCATCCAATTTTCCTGCAAGTCTTGGCTGCTGCATTATTTCTCTGTCTTGCCATACTTTCATTTTCTTTGTCAAACACACCAGGTGGACCACACAGTGCTCCTCTTGTCTTGGACGCGTAAATGATGCATCGCGCTCCATGGCCTGGCTCTTTCTTTCATAGATGTTGGCATATAAAATAAATTTTGCCCACAAAACTGAGTATTATAATATTCTTATGTAGGCTTAAAGTAAATAACTCATAAGCTCGACATGTCCAGGTCGAGCTGCGTGAGAAATGAGAGGAAGAGGAAGAAAGAAAAACAGGGAGACAAATTAAATATCTTGTTAACTTCATCATGTGCGTTTATTTACTAGATATTTAATTTAATTTAATGCGGTTTCAGCTGTGTTAATTCGGTCAGCTTTTGTGTCCAAACGCGTGCCAAACACGCTCATCAGATCAGATATAGATCAGAATATATCTATATAGAGCTAAATGTATGTGCTGACTCAGATTATTAGTTGTTGATGATTATTTATTGCACTGAAATGTGCCTGACACTGTGGAAACCTGCCGGTGAGGCATCGGTGACATATGCCGATACACCGCCGATCTACCAAAATACCACTAGACCAGCCGCGCTCCGCCTGTGCTGAAAGCTGACCAGGTTTGAATTGGCAAGCATTCAGCGCACTTTACACGCCACTGGCGAGCATGAAAATGTCACTGCGCCCACTGATTCTGTCGACACCTCCCCCTGCCACGCCACCACGCCCAGCTTGGCGGATCTCGGTTCGCCACCGTGCGCCTCAGTCCACGAAAATACCAAACTGCCTGTACGCCAGGCTCCGCCAGACAAAAATACAGCTGCGTGGGGTCCGCCACCCTCCGCCTCCTCACCGGCATACATGAAAATAGAGCCCTAAGAGTTCTGTTGTTGTAAACATAAAAATTCACTAAAATAAATTTAAGGTCATATAACTCTATTGCTGCCATGACCCAGTGACCATCTTCATCAGTTTTCTGATCAATTATTGACCCTTTGAACTTGTAAAATAAAATCATCACTCCTGCAGAGTGAGAAGAACCATGTGAAAACAAAGTAATACCCCCCATCGTTGCTTCCAAAATGTTTCATAGTCCTTGTTGGAACGTGTCTCTTGTAAAAGAATAAGATTGGCTTTACTTTCTTTTCAAAATAAAATTATGGCCTTGTGTTTAACTATATTTTTTAAACCTCTAACATTTAGTGAATTCAAAAGAAAAGACATAACTAAATAAAAGAATGATACGCCTTAAATGCGCAAAAAGATGAATATCATGATGAGCAGGAATGAGCGTGTTGTCCTAGAACACTTTTTTTTATCTATTATTATTATTGTTGTTGTTGTTAACAGAACCCCATAGTTCAAAATGTCTGTGCACTTAAGGCCCTATAACATGGGAAAATCCCTGAGGGTTATTTAAAGTGCATCAAACAATATTTTGTCAGCTAATATTATAACCAGCATCTATTTTTAAGGTTTTGGCTCAGCTCTTTTGCCATCAATGACAGCATACCCCTCCTTTAAGAGGGCTCTTCGTCCTTTGCGGTGTGCCTCCTCCACTACTGACCAAAGCTTCGCCAGAGCCTCGCGATCTTCTTTCGCAAAGTCCTCCTTGAATCTAATGTTCATTTCCTTGCAGACCCTGGCCTCCTTTGACTTTCTCCAAACCTCATCCCACGTTGTCCTCATGCTGAATTGGATGATGACTGGATGTGGCATCTTGTTGGTGGCTGCATCATTCTTTTTTCCCAGTCTGTGGACAGTATCCACGGTGTCTCAGAGTTTATCCACTGATACAGGAATCACTCTTGTAAGAATGCCGATCACTACTTCTCGAGTATTCTCATTTTCTTTCTCTGGCAGACCAATAAGCCGTAGATCCCAACGCTTCCTGTACCGAGAATTCTTCAGGCATTTCTCCATCAGATCTTTGTTTTCCTTTTTTTAGTGACAGTACTTGCACTTTCAGTTTATCCATTTCATCTTTATTTTCTTTTATTGCTTTTTCATTTGCTTGCATCTGCCTCTCAAAGTTTTCAAACTTGTCTGTAAGTACATCCAGCCGTTCATCCATTCATTTTGATAGCGCACTAATTGCATCGAGGACATTTTCAATGCTGACGTGTCTTGTTTCATCTCTTTTTTTCATTTTCTTGGGATTGGGACTCTTCAGCAGAGTGTGGTCATTTTTATTTTTACCCATAATCAACTCCATCTCCTCTAAATCATCCTCTCCACATGCCTCCTGTAGCGCCAACAAGTTGTAGTCATGGTCCATGATACTAGCAGCTAGCTGAGGATTAGCCATTTTTTCCGACTCAAATAAATTGTCTTTACAATCACAAAGTTTTTCAAAGTTAGATATCGGATTCGGCCAGTCTTCAATTCTCACCCGGGTAACTTTCTCTTCAAGATTCAGTGTTCTGGACATGAAAATCACTTTGTTCATCGGTCCCGCAACTTCTCTGACTGCTCACTCCATCATCTTGATCTCGTCCTTCATGACTCGTACTTAATAAGAAAACACTGCCTGCATTGCAGAACTGATTTAATATCTTTTGTTAAGGCCAGTCTCAAAGAAAGATGCAGCGAACTTCTTCCTGGTGCGCATGCGTTCCATCACTTGGGACTTGACATGGAAGAAATACACTGACCTATAACCTTTGACAACAATATGAGAGCTTGCAAATGTTTCGCAAGATCACGCAAAAAATCTCGAGAAATGTTTCCTTCATGACCCCTTAGGGGCTCCTTATAAACTGACCAGCAGCCCCACAAAAAAAATTGATGTGGAAAGTGAATATCTGCTTCATTTCTCAACTCCAAATTTGACAAAACAAAGACAAATCTCTGCTGGAGCCTAGCAGACAAATTGGAGATCACACACACATTTTCTGGTGTAGCAATTTGAATTTAAAATAAATGTCCTAAAATAATAATTAAATTATGACATTTATACACTCATTGAAGGGGCACCACCCACCTTTTTCTGATGGGTAAAAGACAAAACAAAGTTCAGTTGAGTAACCAAACGTTAAATTAGTCTCAAACAGATTTAAATCAATCTCACATCTGAGAGTTTCAGGGACTCATTTCAGGGACTTCGCTTCTGGAAGGACCACTAAGAGACAACAATTTAAGATTAAATGGATAATTTATTGACAAATGCTAGGTGATAAAATTCTCACCCAGGTAACTTAAAATAAATGATCAAATAATGAGAAAATAAAAGAACACCTGATCAATAAATAAAGAAATGGTTTGAATTGATGTAAGACTGGAGGTTAATGACAGTAAGTGAATAATGAAAAATTTAACCTACGTTAACAGGGTTACGAGGATATATTTTGAAGAGGAATTTGAAGAAACTAAACTATAATTAAGAATATAAGATACTGAACGCTTTACACATCACCCAGTTGAAACAGCAGTGTCGAGGGGTTTGCCTACTTATTTGATGCCGGTTCACGGCAGGCAATCTTGGAGTGGATCTGTTGAAGTTCCTGGCTACCAAATCGAGTACATGGGCCCGGCGAGTTCTTTGCTGGCACTGGATCTGTTGTCCCACCCTAAGCACTCCAAACAGCGCCCTTGGATACATTAGCTGTCATGCCTCTGAGAACCGGGTGGCAAACGCAGCTTGCTGGTCGGTTCAGGGTTAGCTTTACTGCAGGTTAATTCGCATCAATAACTTAAGATAATAATTTCACTGGCCAGTCCATGTCTTCAGGAGTCACTTTAGTGAACTAAACACAATTAAAGTCCTAGACTTTGCTACTCTATGCGTGCAGCTAATGCTTTAAGGAAACTTGGGTATGGCTTCATCAAGACGATGGACGGAGACAAAAACACCAATAAAGGGTAAAAACACGAGAGGGAGCAGCGCAAGCTCAGCGCTTTTAAGCCGTTCACGTGGGGCATGAGCCAAAACTGGGGGGGCACTCATGCGCTCTTTTTTCACAACGCAGGCCCGTCTGCTGGCAAGCAAATTAAATTTTACTTGCGATATTAAAAAGCGAGTTAGATCTAATTTACTCACTCACTATGATTAATGCCCTTCATCAAATCACATACGATCAAGTTTTACTTCATTGTTTCTTATGAGCAGATGCATCAAACCATAACATTAAATGTAAAGTAAACTTTAATCAGTCGTTTTCCTAAAAATCTATAACCTGAGGATTAATAAACTCTTTGAAAGTTAGAGAGGGATAGAAAACCAATGTATCTTTTCTTGCAAAACACCATCAAGCATAAGAAACACATACATGATAAGACTCAATTAAAATATAACTTTGTCAATCGATGCTAAGTAAATTATATATATATACACACACACACATATATATATATATATATACATACACACACACACACACACTACAAGCCAAAAGTTTGTAGGCAAGATCAGATTTGTCAAAAAAAAAAAAAAAAATCATAGTTTCATCTATATAATTTGCAACACAATAAACATGACTATTGTGTAAAGAGTAACTTATCAGAAGGCATTTTGATTATAATTATTATGTATTTGAGTCATTGTTGCTTAGACTTTGCTTTCTTTAAAGTAACCTCCTGTTAAGAATCGAACAAAGGCCAGGATCCAAAAATGCAGAGGCAAATGCCCAAATTTATTGCCAATAAACAATAAAACAAAGTGAACAACAGAAAATCGCTGTTTCCGGGAAAAGGCACGGTTGGCTCGGACTGCCACTGAAAAACACAAAACTAGAGTTAGAAAAAAGTCACGGCAGCAAGGCAAATCGCTGGTGAAAAACAAAGTTCAAACGATAGTGCCACGTGGGGCAAGTAACAACTGAGGGAGTATAAAAAGACAAAGTGCAACAGAAATTGTACACCAAAATCTCCTCAACTGAAGGGAAAAAACACGAACACAAAATCACCTTTGATCAAGGTAAAAAATCTCAGGAAAGTAACAAAAGCACTCACAAACAAACGCTGAGAGGTAGGCTGGATACACGGGCGGGAGAACAGGGAGCTCGGCGTGGCAAGACACGTGTTGCATGACTGGGTAATCATCCGGCACAGAGCCGACAGAGGAGCTTGGCAATTAAAGCCAGGTAATTGACACCAACGAGAATCAGGTGCGTGCAATCAGTCCGGACCAGCCCCGCCTCCTGCCGTGCCTCCAGTGCTGCAGAGAGAGAGAACACACATATAGGCAAGGAACACAGGAACCCCAACTGTTGCATAAACTCAAAATCCTCACAACCTCCTCTGGCTTTAACAACAGCTTGGCATATACCAGGCATTCGTTCCACAAGTTTTTCAAGGTATGTTCCAGGGATTGCATTCCAAGCTTTCTTAAGTTCATTAAAAAGAGATTAGTGGGACGCGTTTTCTGACTGATCGATCCAATTCATCTTGCACAAGCTCAATTGGAGAAAGGTCTAGAGACTGAGGGGGCCAAACCATCTTTTGAAGAACACCTTCCTCTTCTTTTTTGTCTAAGTAACCCTGACAGAGCTTGGTGTGCTTAGGGTCATTGTCTTGCTGCAAAACAAACTTATGAGCCACAAGTCTGAGTCCAGATGGAACAGCATGGTGCTGGAGGATGGAGTGGTACTGTTCCTTCTTCATGATACCCTTTACTTCAAACAAATCTCCTACTCCATCACCTGCAAAACATCCCCATACTATGGAACAACCACCTCCATGCTGAATTGTGGGTGTAACACATGATGCTTTCAGACGTTCACCAGTTTGTCTGCGGACATAGACTCTGCGTTTTGAACCAAACAGTGCAAACTTGTTTCTAGTCATCATAAGTCCAATTTTTGTGAGCTTTTGCCCACTCATATCTCTTTTTCTTGTTCTATGGATGAAGGAGTGTTTTTTTTGCAGATACACAACCCTTCAGACCAGCCTTTCTCAAACGTCATTTCACAGTTGTCAGAGATATGGGTTTCAACCTTGTCATGTTGATTTCCTCCCTTATTTGTGGTGCTGTCTTTTGCCGATCTCTCTTACTGGTGACAATGCTATGTTTATCCTCTGCTTTTGTAGTAACTCTCTTTCGTCCAGGTCTTTTTCTATCATCATACCTTCCAGGTTCCTCTAGTCTCTTTAGAGTGTAGTGGACTCCTTTGTTAGACACCTTCTGGCATTTTGCAATTTCTCTTTCTGTGTATCCTTCTTTCCTCAATGTACAAATCATTACTTTTGTTTCTTTACTCAGTTGCTTCTTTCTAGCCATTTTCTGCAGTACTTTGAATGCAGTTGAGATTTATTAGGATTTTTGTATGCAAACTCTCGAAAGCCAAAAAGTTGAAGTGAATAATCCAACTGTAATTTGTTTTTTTTTTTGCTTTTGCACTGAAGTTGTGACTCTTGCAAATGTTTTCAACCCTAAAACTAAGCCCTTATTATCTTTTGCTGACATATATTTAGCAATGGTCTATTAACATCAATGTATATCTAAAGGTAAATGGAGTAAAATTGTGCCTTTCCATGAAAGCAACATTTGATCATGGAGTAAATACATCCCAAAAAACATAAAACTCATGCTGGATTAAAAAAAAAGCATTGTGAACAAAAACTTGAAGTTACTCCAAACTGTTCGGCCTGTAATGGCCTTGCTCTCAAACTTTTGGCCTGTAGTGCATATGTATATATATATATATATATATATATATAAAGGCACCATAGAGAGCATCCTGGCATACTGCATCACAGCTTGGTATGCGGGGTGCTCTGCAGCCAACAGGAGAGCACTACAGAGGGTCATCTGCACAGCCCAGAAGATCACAGGCTGCCCTTTGCCCAGCCTGGAGGACATTCCCAACTCTCGCTACCTGGGCAGAGCTGGCAACATCATTAAGGACTCATACCACCCCGGAAACCACCTGGTTGACTTGTTACCGTCGGGCCTAAGGTACTGGTCACACAAAACAAAGACCAACAGACTCAGGGATAGCTTCTTCCCGAGAGCTATCACTGCAGCCAACAACAAGTCCAGCTGAACCTGTCCCCCTCAATCAACATATATTACTGATCACATTGATCTAAGTGCAATAAATGTATCTTTATCCGTGCAATAACACTGGGCTTCACTTGTGCAATTATCGGGTTTCATATCATTCATATCATTCATTCCTGTTTGTTTATATTTTATAGTGTACATATATATACATTACTGCCCTTTTACTGTTCTTTACTTTTATTATTACTTTATCTTGTGTTTTAATATGGCTTTCATTTTAGTACTTATTTATTACTTTTGCTATGCACCAAAGGGAGTGGCGCTCAAATTTCGTTGTACTGTGTACAATGACAATAAAGGCGATTCTGATTCTGAAGAGCCTTCAGTGGCTGGAGTCACAAAAACTGCCTCCTCCTCAACACCTCAAAGACAAAGGAGATGGTCATAGACCTCCGTAGATCCAAACCCCTCTTCAGCCAGTGAACACCTGTGGAGTGGACATCGGAGTGGTGACATCATATAAATACCTAGGTGTACATCCTGATAATAAATTGGATTGGTCTAAGAATATAGACTACATCTACAGAAAGGGGCAGAGCCGCCTTTTTTGCCTGAGAAGACTCCGATCAATAGACATCTGTAGTAAGACGCTGCAGATGTCTTATCAGTCTGTGGTGGCAAGTGTTCTGTTCTACACTGCAGTCTGCTGGGGAAGAAGCATCGAACACAAAGATGCAAGACGTCTTAACAAACTGGTGAAAAAGGCTGCCTCTGTGGTTGGTCTCAAGCTGGACTCAGTCGAGGATGTGGTGGTGAGATCTACACTGAGGAAGGTGGAGACTATTCTCACTGCAGGACAGAAGAGGATCTTTTGTACCAAGAGTCATCAGGCTTTAGAACGCTTATGTAAATAATAGATAAGTTTTATAGACATATTACTTGAGACAAGAGACAATTGAATTTCCCTTCTGGGATCAATAAAGTTCTTCATATTCTTATACATATATATATATATATATATATATATATATATATATATATATATATATATATACACACACATACATATATACATATATTCACACACACACACACACACATATATATATACATATATATATATATTCTGGTGAGGTAGATAAAACATAGCATTTAAACATTCAAATCACTCTTAACTCAACTATAAAAGAGTTTCAGTTACTACTTCTAATATTGCTAACCTATTTTGATACCATTCACTAAACTACAAAGTACATAACATGCAACATAATTAAATTCAAGGAATAAGTATTTGAATTCTGACCAAAACCATATTCAAAAAACACCACTAGGAGGAGCTCTTGGTCCATGGAAAACCTGGAATAAATTTGTGAAGTTAACAGTTTGGTTTGTAGACATGCGAGACAAATGAGACAAAGACTGTTTGATGTGGTGTACAGATAGAAAATCCTGGTGAAATGTCTATTAAACCTGAAATTAAACCATTTGCAGTTATTCTCTTCATTTTGCACTGAAAAAGAGTCACAGGAAAAACAAGTCACTCAGAGAATTTATGGCAGGGATCTGTTTCAGGGATAGGTGCCTCAATTGCACCCTTAATGTTTGAGTTCCCATGATCTTTGAGTCATCCTTAAGGCTGAGGTGTCAACTATGAGCTATCTCAGCCAAGGTGAGAAGGTGAATGTTTATTCGGTCTGGGGGTCCTGTTGTTGATCAGCAACTTTGTCTCTTTGAAGTGTAAAAGATTCACTATCAGCCTTTTGGGAGAGCGCCTCTCGATTCTGTCCAGGGGGCAGTAAAAGACCATAACTTTGGTGTGGAAAGCTATTCCCAACGCCTCTCCTGATCAGGGGAGCCTGCATTCCTTAGACAAGGTGTCATACAGTTCATGGCTGACAGCTGATTTATCAGCCCAGAGGGCCAAAATCACATCGTCAACATGATTTTCATTCAGCTCAACGCTATGAGTGATCAATGGCCTGGTTGTGTTGGGTCCATTGGTGTCATCAAATTTTCACAAAAAGGTGTCTCTTTTCACGAATGAGTCATCGAAAGGCCACGGTCTCTCCACCCCCTGTTGTCAGGTTGTTAGGTGTCATCTCTTCTAGGGCGAGCCCCACCCCTGCAAGAGTATGAGGGTAGACGATTTTTGTCAAATCTGACCTGGTGTTTTCCACTCTCAGACCAAGGTTGCTTCGGGTTTCGACCTTAATCAGTTGGCTGATATTGGGAAGCCTTCAGATTCTGGGCTGGTCAGGCGGTTACAGGTTGAGCTGCATCTAAGTGTGCACCAACTGCACCGCCTTCCAGGTCTACGGGCATGGACCTTGTGTCCACAGCCAGGACAGTACGAGGTTCAGATTTCTTAGAAAGGGTGTGCTATTGTTAAGCAAAGCCTTTTACAGCCAGTTTGCGGAGCTGTCTGCCGTCTAAGGTTTGAGGACAAGCTATGACACCAAGGTGATGACTTGTGGTGGGACAGAAGTTTTGAACAAACAAGGTTTTGAAGTTCAGGTCCTCCTCCATTTCAAGTTCATTTCTACTACCAAAGTAAGCCTGGCACAGCTGACTGTAGTATGACTGGGGAGATTCCTGTCTCTCCTGTTTGACTAACAGTGCAGTGGCTAAGTTAGTCAGCGTTTGTGAGTCAGAGAACTCGACAATTAATGCCTGGCACAGCAAGTCATAGTCATTCTTGACCTGACGGGGTTGTCATTCAATGAAGCTGCTAACCTCTCGATTGGAGCTAGCTTTGATCAAGTAGAATTTGTCATCCACAATAGCTCCTGGAAACTTCCTCAAGTAAAAGTCAATGTCTTTCAAGTACGTGTGTGGCTCTTCTGAACCTTTGCGACCAGGTTTAAAGTGTGTGATATTACAAGCCATTTTGTCTGTGGGATATGCTGCTTGACGAGCAGCAGATGTGGATTGAACTCGGTAGCTCAGAGATAGCCTCGTAGGGTTGAGGGAGTAATGGTCATGCCGTTGTGAATGATACCCAGCAGTTGTTGGCTGGGAGAGAGGCGAGAACGTATCACCAGGGACATGTCCGGTGTAATCAAAGCTTGATTGACCCAGATGTCCTTTGGAGACACGACCCAGTTAAAGTGGGGTATTGGAGCACCTGTTGATCACTTGGTGATCTTTGGCCGCTCTGATCTTGCTGGTGTTGGCCCATACTAACTTTTCTTGAGTCTTTTCTCCCAGTCCTTTCTCTCAATGATGTTATGCAAGTTTGAGACTTGGTCTATTAAGGAGGGGTCTGCCTGATCTTGGGGGGATAAAGGCTCTGTTTGCATCTCAGCGAAGCCGTCCTGAGTCTGCTGTAGAATTCTTTTATTGTCCTCCAGCTCCACCTTGAGATCATCAATTTCGTTCATTTGTGCCTATGGGCTCTATTTTCATGCCTGCCGATGGCACGGCAGATGGTGGGGAACTCCGCGCAGTGATATTTCCAGCCCGGCTCACAGCCAGTTTGGTATTTTCGTAGACTAAGGCGCACCGAGGTCCACCAAGCTGGGCGTGGTGGCGTGGCAGGGGGAGGTGTCGACAGAATCAGCTGGCGCAGTGACATTTTCGTGCTCACCAACGGCATGGAAAGTGCGCTGAAAGCTTGCCGATTCAAACCTGGTAAGCTTTCAGTGCAGGCAGAGCACAGCTGGTCTAGTGGTGTTTTGGTAGACCGGCGACGTAATGCGCATACATCACCGGCAGGTTTCAACAGTGTCAGGCACATTTCAGGGCAAAAAATAATCAACAACAGACAATATTCTGAGTCAGCAAATACATTTAGATCTGTAGATATATTCTGATCTATATCTGATCTGATGAGCGCGTTTGGCACGCGTTTGGACACACAACCTGACCTAATCAACACAGCTGAAACTGCATTAAATTAAATATCCAGAAAACATTCACGCATGATGACGTGAACAAGATATTTAATTTAACCATATTTACAATCCCTGCTAACTCTGTGCCTTAATATCAAAACTCTCATGCTTATAATCAAGAACTCTGTGTTTGACTTTCTCTTCCTGCAGGTGTACAATATCATTATTTTTAAGAAGCATCTCTTTTTTCTTGCTGGTTTCAGTCCAAGTTAAATTTAACTGTTTGGACTGTGTTGCAACAGGTTGTCTTTGTATTTACGGTCATGCATCTTCTTTCATTGTTGCAGGAATGTAAAAAAAAAATCAACATATCTATTACGCAATCTAATTATGTTGGAGGAGAATTGCACACATTGGTATTGTTACTGAATTTGCTGTTGTAAGAGTGTGATTTTGCAGGTTATATATCACGGCTTTATCTTAAATGTATTGAGAGGCTGATAAAAATGTGGTTTTATGTCTGTGTAGGTTCTCATTCATCCAGGTCATGTTAATCTTTTTCATATAAACTACAAACTTTTTCAAGAGGCTCTCTGTATGTGTGACTATTGCCAGGCAACTTCCTCTATACACTTCACAACATAGTCTGTACCATGCAGCATAAAGCAGATAAAAGAGGAAGTAAAAAAACTAAAAAAAATGTGAGAATATAAGTGGGAACCACCCTGTTATTTGAGCTGGAAATGTAGTTTGCGAGAAGATAGGGTAAGATAGATATAAATATACGCTGATTATAGAGATTGTTATGAAGGGAAGCGTAGCTGCCCTGTCTGTTTAACTCACACACACACACACACACACACGCACGCACACACGCACTAACACTAACACATATACACTGGAAATAACCTAATGGGTAAAAGATATTGTTTAGGGATACATTTAGTTGTGTTGTATGTTGGAGTTGAGTGGGGGAAATTAATTTGGGGGTCTAATTTGGATTGGCCGGTTAATTTATTAGTCATCCTGAATCTTTTCCTGTTAATAACATTTATTCGTCATTACATTTTCATCAACAGAGTTTATTGTTATAGTATGCTAAGGGGGGATTGATTCGTGGAAGAACAGAGGACTTGCCAGTGGGGAAGTGATTACAGGTGTGTCTTCAGTGGGTAATTCGTGTCACCTGTGGAGAAGTGTTAAAGGGGGGACCTGGATTTCAGGAGGATGTTCCTCTCCAGATGCAAGGTCTGGAAAGGTGAGTCAGGAAGATATCTCCATGAGGAGCTCCTAAAACATATAATTGCTACGCCATTGTCCAGCGTTTCCATCCTGATGTGCACATTCTGACAATCATCTTCTCTTCCAGGTTTTTGAACACATGAATCTGAAACAGCAGGTCCAGTTTTAGCTCATCTGAATACCACCACATGTCAGGTTTTTGATGACTGACTTCTTTTAGATTTTCATTTTCTGTACATTGCTAGAGGAAGTGAAACTCAGTCTGTTTCCCACCAAGTTATAATTTTGGCTGATATTGGTAATAGGGTTATTAAAAATGTTTGACCATAATCTAACATTAGCCTCAGAGCATTTCAGAAAGCTAAAAACCTCTTTTAAATCATGCTCATCTTCCTCCTCCTCTCCCTGCTCTCCTCTCTCCTCCTGTTAGCTGTCTGATAGTTTGTACTGCTGTTGCACAGTATGATAAAGATGCATCAGTTCACCATTAAAGGGATATTCTGGTGTAAAATTAAGTTAGGGTCAAACACACCGTAACACTGTTGGGTCTAAAACCTACAACATTTGACTGAAAACATATAAAGAAGAGAAAGACAATGGTTTCTTACTCGAGGAGAATGGACAGAGATAGTTTCAGTTACAATCTCAAAACCATTCTGAAAGGTATTTCCGCCCAGTCTCTTTATTTAGGGTTGTCCCTGGTTACACAATGTTACTAAAGGATGGGGGAAAAATATGTGCAGCAACGTAAGCACTCTCATAAAGCACAATTATGAACAACAGAAAATATGTGAGGGTCAAGGCAACATTGTTGACATTAAACAAGCTCTTTCTGATAGGAGCGGATCCTCCTCATTACTTCCCACTATTCACAGTGGAGGATACATCACACACACACACCTGCTGATAGGAGAAACAAGGTCACAGAGAAGTTAAGAAACATTCATGTGCTGTGTAATAAGGCTATTGGAGATAGAAGTTAGAAAACACTCTTATATGATGTGTAACAAGAGGTTAAAACAGTCCATACTTGTAGCAAACTCTTACATAAGAATTTGAGTAAGATGATAACTTCTATATACATTTATACACATTATTCTGACAAACACTGAGTTAGACACCCCCTCGAGAGATGAATGTTGCCGACTGCTTGCTTCTGTAGTTATACCAACTTCAGCAACGACTGCATGATAGTAATACACAGCGGTCTACGTCTCCACATGCAAACCTCAACCAAAGCACCACTCTATAGCCACAAATAATGTTCAGAACAGCACCTAACTTCATCAACAGTACATATAGGGTCCCAACCATAGTACTAGCCATCAAACATCTTTTTAGCTTCCCCTGGTTTCTTTAGCAAAGAGACCAAACACAACTGACCCACTCTCCCCCAGCCGCTGCTTGTTTGTGGGGGAGCCCTGACAAGTTGATCACGTGCTATGGAGCCATTTTTGGTTGGATCTCTATTCTGACATTGGAGCCCTCAAGAGGATTCCCCTCAAAATCGGTGTACAAAATTTTATGTTGCTGTACATATCTATAGCAATATTACAGATTGTTTTTTGTTTGTTTGTTTGTTTGTTTGTTTTTTTAGACATTTCATAGTGCAGTTAAAAAAAACAAGGTGCTGATTTTGTTGCCGCTCTGGTGTTCCATCAGGTGTGTACTGAACAAACCTCAGCTGCATCCCCATTAATTAAAAAAGACTTAAAGGCCATTAACCCGAAAAACGCATTCCCCTCTGCCACCAGGTTACAGGACTTATAGGAAACTCCCAGAATATGAAATCTGTAGGGTGCGCTAGAAAGTCTTTTTTTTTTTCCATATATATAGGGACGCGGTAAAATACTTGAATCTTAGACAGGCCAAACCTGCCTGCCAAATTCCATTAGTTTTTAAGCACGTCTAGGGGTTTTAAAGTTGAAAAACCTTTAATAATAATAACAAATAATAAATAATTCCTGCAGTTTCAATAGGGCTCTTACCCACTGCTTGAAGCATCGGCTTGGCCCTTATTATCAGCCCAGTTGTCACCCAACCCACAGATTTTCAGACGATTACATGATATGAGCCCAAACACTGTTAACAAGAATCCCGGTTAGGTAGATCTTATCCTTAAAGTCTGTGTTTGATTTAAAACTTTGGATTTTCTGAAGATACTTCTGGTTCTGTGATTTTGGCATAAACTGATGTACATACAGGCTCATGTGACATGACTGCATGTTATAATCCTCGGCACACCAAATCAGACAGATACCGACAGAAAGCATCATTTGAGGAACTAAAGCTTATCTAGTCATCAGCCAGAGAGGAGTGAGGAGACTCAGTCTGTCCTCCTGCAGTTCAATGATCAGTCTTCACTAAGACAACCTCAGAATGGACATTCATCATCTTCTGATCTTCTGCTTCCTATCAGGTGAGGTCCAATCACCTGAGTATCTCACACTGCTTTTAAACACTTACTCACTGCCTCTGTATCTCTACCGTGTCAAGAATCTGAAGCCTCTTAAGCCTGCAGTCTGTTTCAAGATCCAGAGTTAGTGAAGTTCAGCCTTAGATTTGATAGAAACTTTATCTATTTGGTTCTTTTCTCTCTGTTTTGCAGGGTCAGTATTTAGCAGGTTATTTTTACTTGTGCTCTGACATCATTTTTAACAACTTTGTTTGCACACATCAAATCAAACTGAACTGCTCTAAACTCAGACTTTGCTCATGGACCAACCACCCATGGTATTTTTTGACTGCACACACATCTTTTCTTATGCAGCCTTCGATCTCTGACATTTCTATAACTAAATGAATTATCTTATAAAGACAGGGTAATTTGGGTATGTTTCAGGCTCCTGGTCTAACCTCATATTAATTCTGCAGCTTTTCATAAAGTCTAACTGAATGTTTGGCTAAAGGTTCTGACTTTAATGCCCAAACACTCCATGAGAGCGTCCTCTAAAATCACTGAAGGTAAAGAAACACTGTCTGAAACCATACGCAGTTTCAGTACTTTTGGCTCTCAGATCCTCCCCTAACTTTGACTGTTTTCAGAGTGATCTGTGCTGCTCTTGTTCCTGTTTATTAGCTGCAAATTAAGCCGATTAGTTCATGCCTCCTGCTCACTTTGCCTCACTCAGTGTTCAGTTGTCCTTTCCTGTTTATAAAGTATGTAGCCTCTGCCTTTTACTGTTTATACCATTTCTTTAACATAAAATCCTCATCAGGTCTTGATCTGTTCCACAGCTCTAAGTGGAGGAAACAACGGGCTTGTCAGCGCAAAAGTCAACATTTATACTTTCACTAAAGGACAAAATGCTTCCATTAATTGTTACCTACACTCATCCGGGAGCTGGAAGTTCTTCTGTAAGAACCAATGTGAGTCAGACGATATTCTTATCAGAACAGAAGAGGCCCAGAGTCAGGTGGGCAGGTACAGCATGAGTTACAGAAGTGGGCCTACCTCCTCCACAGAGGGAATCCTGAATGTGAAAATCCTGAATGGGGTAAAGTCTGATGCAGGCCTGTACAGATGTGGTTTGGGCAGCTCTTCTGTTCCAGACTCTTCCTGGGACTTTGAGTTCAGAGTTTCTGATGGTGAGTTTTCTTTGTTTTTGTTTGTTTGATTGTTTAAGAAAGACATGAACCAGTTGTATTTAATGTACAACCTGCTCATTTAGAGCTGAATAATATGTGATCAATTTAAGTTTAATAATAGGAACATATCAAGAAGTTGTTACAGGGTCATATTTTTCATTGTGTGTCCTCAACTCTTCTTTTACTAACACTTTGGCAGCAGATGTTGCTCCTAAACCTGCAGATATTGTTCAGCATTAAAGGAGCCTTTACAGATGTGGAAGATACCCATGACATGGACTCTGATGATACCTAATATCTGGTGTTTTGTTGATTGGCCAACATCTTCAATCCACGTTAATATCTGCAGCTCTGCTGTTGATGTTTGAATTCTGGTTTAAAGAAAAGGACCTAGAGGCCAAATGTGATGAACTAAGCTTTCCACTGACTTATTTTCCAGAAGCTACTGAGTCCACAGAGTTTTAACAACAGTAAAATACTGCCTTTTGGCTTAATCAGCTGTAGCTGGCCAGTATTTGACCAAAAGTAGCAATTAACGAGTTCGTTATATTTCAGAAATGGTTATGGTGTTATTACATTTTTTAAAGTAACTGGTTAAACTACATGTCACTGCAAACTCCTACAAACCCGTGGTCTTGCAACAGCTGATCAATCACGCTGTTCTAGTTCAGCAGCTCCTATTGCTTGTATTGAGAGGAGAGAGTGCGCATGTATAACTTTATAACGGGGGTCTGAGGTTGCGCTGTGGACCACAAACAAGTGATAGATTAGTAAATTTAGACAAACTCTACATTTTTACTGTAGATTATGACTGAGTTGGTGAAAAAAATATAAAACACTTTTTAAAGAATATGACTTATTTTTTTAAAAAGAAGTATCCAGCTATAGTCTGCCTTTCTCCTTGTTGGGAGAGGTGGTTTGGCACCCTAACACCCCTATTGACCTGTTGCCACTGCTGTTGTTTTGAAGCTGATTTTCCATTATTGCAGAAGTTCTTCAGTGTTGCCCTGTTGTCTCTGTCCCAGAGATGTTTTGTTGGTGTCTAATTTAAATGAGAGAGTATTTTTCATAAAACAAAAACATTTTCTAACATTTGATTTGTTGTCTTTGAAAATATTTTGTTCATTACAGGGATTTAACAATTTGTAAAGTCTGTCTTTCCCAACATTTGATAATTTCCCCAACATCTTTTAAAATGGAGTTGTACAACATTATATGTATGTATGTATGTATGTATGTATGTATGTATGTATGTATGTATGTATGTATGTAAACCCTGCAGATTTTACATTTTTGTTTCACCCTACTTACACCATCAGTTTCATTCATTGACAGACAATGAGCAGAACTCAAAACTTAAACAATGCAAAGTCAAAATCTCATTAAACTGCTGTAACTGCAGAACTTTTGACTGTGTCACCATTATCTGTCTGTCCAGAGACACCATTGGAAGGACATACTGGTGTAATCCGCACAGAGTTTGAAGGAGAAGATGTCCGCAGTATATGCTCCAGTTCTGTCTACAGACAGTGGAAGTTCCTCTGTAAGGGTGAATGTAAGACAGACGAGGACATACTGATTGAAACAGAAGCAAACAACACTCAGAACGGCAGATACAGCCTTGAGTATACCGTAAATCGACTGTACCTGACCATCAAACAAGCCACTAAGTCTGACACAGGAAAGTACAGGTGTGGTTTTGGCAAAGCTCTGTCTCCAGATTCATATTATACATTCCCACTGATCGTCATAGAAGGTGAGTTTTTATGTCACTTCATTTGATAACACCTCTTCTATTAATATTACTCCTTCAAGAGTGAACTCTACAATAGATGAACTGTATGCCATCTTTGAGCACATGGTGTTTTTTTTAACCATTTAATGATCATATTTTGGACAAAGAATCTAAATGTTTTTTAATTAAACATATTTTAACTCTTTTCATGTGCAGGAAAAAAAAACTAACCTTTGACCTCCAGCAAAGTAGAGTGCTGTTTATCCTTTAACAGGCAGAAACCTCAAACAGAACCAGACTCATGTTAGACAGCCACCTGTTGAGACTGAGCTGGGTTTACAGAGGTGAGAGAGGGAGATGGACGGAGGTGAAACTGATGCTTGTAGTTGAAGCAGTTGGAAAGCAGTCAGGTCCACAACAGCAGGACATCTGCAGCAGCTATTCAGAAGAACCTTCGGCATGATGGAGCTCAGGGACTCCCAGAACAGACTGTATTAGTGACATGATGATTCAGAGTTAATGACACAGACAGAAAGAGGATGGAGATAGAAGGAAAGATGCTCAATATGCCAGTACCCCTAGCAGTCTAAACCAGGCATGAACCAGATTGAAGTTTTACCAAAATGGAAAGTTTAAAGACAACTCTAGAGAGGGTGTCTGCCCCCCCTTCACCTCCACTGGTAGATGATTCCTAACTGAAAGCTCTACCACCCAGACCACTTTCACAGACTTCAGACCCAAATCTGGTGCTGGTTAATATTACTTTAGAATTTGAAAGATCTGGACTCTGACTCTCTCTGACATCTCTCTCATTAGCCTCCACACAACCACCTCCATCTCCCCCAACAACACCACCAACAACAGCAACAACTAAGAGTTCAAGCTCCACCCTCTCACCAGGAGATCTTGAGTCCACCTTCCAAGTGACAGGTGCAGTACAGCTCATAAGTAAGTCATTATTTCTAAGTTGGTCAAGATTCCACATCCTGTAGTTGAAATTCAAGATAAAATACATATTTCTATTTCAAATTGTGATCAGGCGACTTGTCTCTCTCTTCTAAGCCCCTCAGCCGTCTTACCTCGTGCCTCTGGTCGTGAGGGTGCTCCTGGTTTTTGGGCTGTTGGCTGTTTTTCTGATCGTCCTCTGCAAATGGAAGGCCAGGAGAAACTTTGGGGTGAACACCGGTGAAAATGCAGACGGTGTGAACATGGAGGTGACTTCTTTTGACTGGAGTCAGAGTACAGATACATTTGACAACACTTAAAATTACTATTTTGGATAACTGCTTTTAAAAAACACACGAATTCAGCCTAATCTAAAGTTCACATTCTGCCAGTCTATATCAATTTAGAAAACATTATTTACACTTTTAAACTCACATGCAGCAGGTTTTCAAAATAAGATACAAGAACTTCAGCTTAGCTCATCCAGAATACAACAAATGACTGGAGTTTCATCTTCAATCTGAAAATTGACTTGTTACTGTGCATGTCTGGTTTTCAGGCATGTGAGATCTATGAGAATCCGTCTTCAGTCCCTGAAAAACAAGACTCCATCTACCAATGCATCGATCCATCCAGCGGAGACCAGGACCAAATCTACTGTAGTCTGTAGGGGCAGCAGAAAATTTCCAGATCAGCTCATGATGCGCTTTCAAAATTCTGCTTTTGTACCAAAAAATGAAACTATATTACTGGGCCGCATAATTACACGGGGCAGTAGAATGCCTAGAACAAAATAAAGAAACAACATGGCTATCTTTAGAGCAAAATTCATGCCCCAGAATCTCACTCCAAGTATTTCCATTCTGTTCAAATGAGATATGGACAAAAAACTAAAACAAAATTTTAACTATTTGGATAAAGTGCACACACAAAGTTTAAAACTTTAAGGGAAAAAAATGCTCCACAGTCTATATCTAGGGCAATGAAAATTTCTAAGATAATAGATTTCAAACCTAGAAATTTTGATTTAAGATTTAAAGATTGGGAAAATAAGGGCCTTATTTTTATTGATGACTTATTTGATAGTGAAACCTTGAAGTCATTTAACCATTTACAGGAAAAAATTCGTTTGATATCCACAGATTTCTACAGGTTGAGAAGCTTCCTGACTTCACATAAAGAATGGCAGTCTCTTACATTACAGCCTTCTGATTTAGAACTTTTCTTCATCAAGATCATCAAGAAAATGGATGGTAAAAAAAAAATTGTATCACATTTATATAAATTACTACAGACAGTTGTAACAGGGGGCTCTCTTGGAATAAAGGAAAAGTGGGAATTAGAAATGAATGTTGTGAGTGAAGATGAAATTTGGAAACAAGCGTGTGAGAATGGGCATAAACTGACCAGCAGCCCCACATGGAAAAAATTCATACGGAAGGGGAGATCCGCTTTTTCAAAGATTCATTTATCATCTCCAAATTTGACAAAACAAAGACAAACCTCTGCTGGAGACAATGCAGACAAATTGGAGATCACACACACATTTTCTGGGATTGTCCAAAACTGAAAATATACGGGTGGAACTTTCTAACATCTTACAAATTAGCATAGAGAATGACCTGCTGATCTTTGTTCTTGGGGTGTTTCCCTTTGACTTTTTGTGTAAAGAAAGAATGTACCTCCTCAAAATTCTCATAATAGTAGCAAAAAAGATGATAACTATGTCCTGGTGTAAGCCATTACCCCGACCAAAGACCAATGGAAAGAGCGACTTATCAAGATACACAGAATGGTAAAAATAACAGCAAAGCTCAACCTCGATATGGTCTTACTCAAAAAGAGATGGAATTTACTCATTTCTTACTTTGGACTAACATACAGGACACTTAGGTGATTCAGCATCATGTAGGCACCTACAGGCCTGGACCCTCCAAAGTAAAAGGGTGTGTTTTTTGTTTTCTGTTATATCTTCATTTCATGAATATCAATAACCAAGGCATTCTACTCATTATTATTTGTACATAACTATCAATATTATAATTATTTATCCACTCATTTATTTTAACTTTTAGACCTCTGACACTGTCATAAGAACATGGAACCACCTTGAGGATGAGTTCTCTGTTCATGCTGTTTCTGCTTTTGTTATATTTTTACTCAGATATGTACAGCTTGTAATAAGAAGAATTATGTTTGAATATGTAAAGCTTGAAACGTCAATAAACACATTTGTTTAAAAAAAAAAAAAATTCTGCTTCGTTTTTGTAAAACTTTTAGTGTAGCAGGGAAATCAGTCATTTTTAATTCCTCTGAAGGGTTTACTTGTTTGCTTCAGCTGTATATTAAACTTAAGAAAAAAGCGCCCCTCTCGAGTTTATTGTTGGTTATCAAGTTAAACTGTGTGGTTGAAATCGGTACTGCAGTCAACATCATGACCCTCACCTGTTTCCAGTGAACCTGTTCTGTATTTTTGAGCAGTCCTCAATTTCTTTTAAACATTCGTTGACCCTGAACCAACTTTTTATGAGTGTGTTGAAGCATCAAACTCAAAATGAGTGGATATTTGCAATATTTCCAGTAAAGTTTAACTTGCAGTAAGTTGTGCACTAATACCTGACTGTAAATCTGAATGTATCCACCTTAAAAACACCTTTAACTTTGTCCTCTGATGCTCAGAAGCTTTAAGTCTGATACTTTGGATGTCACTGTGCTGTTGATTTGTAGACTTTTGAAAAGACTGAGTATATATTAAGTCTTCTTAGCCAGCAGTTTGAATAAAGCCCCTCTGTCTGCTAGTTAGTGCATGCTGAACTGAGCTGTCCTCTGTTTTTAATAACACAGTTAGTTCAGACTGGCTTTTGCATTGCTCTATTCTGCAGTTCCTGGTCTGTCTGCTCTGATTGATTATTCTTGTCAGACTGCAGATGAAAAATTAATGATCTGCTCTGCTGTAACCCCAGCAGTCTGAATCTACTGTTCCCTCATTTAAGACGGCTTTTTTCCTTTTTGCTCAGCTGTTTGTGTTTTACATTCTGTAATTTAACCATATTTACAATCCCTGCTAACTCTGTGCCTTAATATCAAAACTCTCATGCTTATAATCAAGAACTCTGTGTTTGACTTTCTCTTCCTGCAGGTGTACAATATCATTATTTTTAAGAAGCATCTTTTTTTTCTTGCTGGTTGCAGTCCATGTTAAAGTTGACTGTTTGGACTGTGTTGCAACAGGTTATCTCAGTATTTACGATCATGCATCTTCTTTCATTGTTTCATGAAAAAAAAAAAAAACTTAACATATCTATTACACAATCTAATGATGTTGAAAGAGATTTGCACACATTGGTATTGTTACTGCCATGCATAATGCTCACCCCTTACTTTCTGCCTGTAAAACTGCAGTGAATTATGAGTTCATGAGTCTAAACAAACTTGAGACTCAAAGAAAAAACACAAAATAAACTACTCTTTAAGGAACAGTTGATTTGAATTCCACATATTTTCAGCCTTTCTCACATCTCTCACTACTGAAACTTTTTGCAGAAATCTTTGTACACTACATCACTTTAAATTCAGATTTATATCAAATAATCCACAATACTTAGTTCATGTATTTCATATCTCAGTGTTGGTCTGTTTTAACACAGGTCCAACATGATAACGGACACAGATAAAACTACCTTGAACATCCTGTAGGAGAGGACGAACCCTCGTCAACATTTAGAGGACTTTTATGAAAAAGTGCAGAATAACTGCAGGTTAATAGAAGACAAATATAAAACCATAGGTAATTTACATATAGGCTATGAGACAAAATCATAGACTGTTTATAGAATGGATGCCGTTTGCCTCCTTGCTGGGTGAACAGCACTCTCTTCTGACAGGCTGCAGTATAGGTCATAAATCCCACCTCTTCCAGCCATCCCTATGGAGCTGTGGACAAACTTTAGAAATGTATTACACGGAATATACATTTTTCTCTACCCTGCTTGCAGTGTTGACATGTAGTTACTATAAGACTGATTTGTGTTCAAGTCCTCTTTTTTTCTGTGCAGCTCTATTTTTAAAAGTTATTAGAAGGTTGATGTTTTCTATGAGTGACGCTTGATGTTTTCAGGAAGTGGAGAAAAAACACGGAAATACTGAGAGGTTTTTGGCTTCAAATCTGTACACTGGCGGAAGGTGGAGCCAAGGTCCATCGTATATATAGTCTATGGACAAAACAGACCAATTCTTCCCCTGAGAGATGAGCTGGTTAAAGAGGCAGCTAAAAAATTATCAAAACAAAACAAATGAAAAATGAGAGAAATTAAAAACTCTGCAAGATAACAAACATGATTTAAAAGGGACATTCTGGCGTAAAATCAAGTTTGGGTCAAACACACCGTAACACTGAGTTAGACACCCCCTCAAGAGATGAATGTTGCCAACTGCTTGCTTCTCTAGTTATACCAACTTTAGTAACGACCGCACGATAGCAATACACAGCGGTCTACATCTCCATGCGCAAACCTCAACCAAAAAGCCACTCTATAGCCACAAATAATGCTCAGAACAGCACCTAACTTCAACAACAGTAGACTACATTTAGGGTCCCAGCCATAGTACTAGCCATCAAACATCTGTTTATCTTTGCCCGATTTCTTTAGTAAAGAGACTGAACACAACTCACCCACTCTTCTCCTGCAGCCTTTTGTTTGTGGGGGAGCCCTGACGAGCTGATCACCAAGTGCACCTGCACATTCGACAGACATTCAGTTCTTTGCGACCCCTGCTGCATCGTTATAATTGATTATTTGAAGTTCATCATAACTGTGAAATGTTTGCCTCAATCTGCTCTCCAACATATCCCCAAACTGTGCAAAATCGATGTTTCGACCCGGGGCTATTGAAGGTAATCGATGCAAAAAAAGGCCAATGCGAAATATGAAACTATCTTCACCCCGGTCATTTACCACACTTAGCTTTGTGTTTTGTTTTTTTTTTTTTTTGTTTTTTTTGTTTTTTTTGTAAATTATTAAAATTAACATGGTTGTGTATGTAATCTAAAGGACTGTGTGCTTCCCAGTAACCAAACAAACAAACAAATAAATAAAATACTTAGCATGCAAAAACTTAATAAGCAGGCTAATTAGAAACACAAAATACAGATTTAAAAAGATATATTACTTAAAAATATAAAAGTAAAAAAAATTCAAACGAAGAAAACGACGGATCATTAATAGAAAACTAAACACACAACTTAATGGCCACAAAAATAACTATTACATAAACGTTACCAAATTCAAAAGTACTTTGCAGGGCTAGTGTCTTAAAGATACGTTCAACCAAAATTAACAGAATTAGACAACCATTTGCCACACATTCAACATTTATATTCCGGTAAAGCAAAAAAATAAAAAAATAAATAACCGTTTCTGTCGCATTTGCAAAGTGACGTCGTCACTAGTGGACGGCGGGCGTATTATAAACAAACCTGTAACGTCATTGAACTGCGCGGCCAACCGGGTGGGGGGAGCTACCTTCAGGGGGATAAAACAAGAGTACCCAGATGCAGCGCCAAGATGGCGGACCCAAAGATAGAAAACCACATTTACAAAACGCAATAAGTTTCCGCATTACCTCCGATTGGCGGACCCAAAACATGAACTTTGAACTTCTGCTTTGCGATGCCAGAACAGTAGGTGGCGGTATGTACCTACACTTTCTGACGGCAAAATTTACAGAAGAAGAAGAACTCTCAGGAAGTTTGAAAAGAAGCAAGCCGTCCGCATTCATTCAATCTCACATCCGACCACTCAAACTAACCCTAACCCTGCATTCCATTGTTTCCATCATGGGAAATCTAAGTGACGCTCTCAAATTAACAGGAACATTGCGCAGAAGATATGTCCTGGGCAATGGCCTGAGAAAACGGGCAGAGATTTAGAGGTATTTGTGCATGCTCTATATTACAGTTGAAAAGTGTATAACAGCTTTCCAATGCTGTTACTTGTGGCGAACACCTTTTTGCTTGAGTTGACGCGTGCCCGCAGGTGGAATAATGTCACATGTCACACACATTTTCTGTTGTTTTGATTTATTTACTCATTCATCATTTTATGTGCGCACCTCTCCTAATCAACCCACCCATTAAATAGACAGGCACAATAGCACCATCTGCTGGCACAAAAAATACATAACAATAAACTGCAAAACCCCAATCTGGCTCCTACAAAGTGTATGTGACAAGATGATTAACGTTTGCTTTTGTTAAATCAGGGCTTCCCCAGCCAGGACTTCGGCTCAGACTGTGGCATATTCATGTTGATGGTAGGTCATAACGAGCTGTAATGCACAAATATTGTATCTAGAATAACTTTCCAACATGGACTTTTTTAAAGTTATCTCACATGTTGTCTCATAATTTTTTTTTAAAGTCTGCCATGTACATCGTTATGGAGTCACAGTTTGACTACTCAGTTGTAAGTACTTTTCAACACGCAGTGTCATCCTCAAGATTGTATTTTGTATTGTGCACTAAAATGAAATACAAACAACAATTTCAGCATGACATGCCTGTTTGGCGGCGATGGTGGTGCCTGTTGCTCCTGGAGAACAATTCTTTGAACAGGTAGACAGTTTAAGTAAACTAGATGTCCTAATTAACTGGAAGACAATCAATATATTGTACTTAAAGACATATTGTCATTACAGTTGTGGGAAAATCTTCGCCCACTGGACCAAAGAATGTCAAGAGCTCATTGCTGGAAAGCATACTCCGGTCTTCAGTCTAAAGAGGAAGGCAGAGCAGCAGGACATAGAGGTTAGAAAATTGCCTTGTAAAAACAGTATTATCTCAGTGGGAGTCCTTCAAAATGCACACAGTTGTATGGATCAACATTGTCTCGATGTATTTGGTAATTGATGTTACTTTTCTAATTGCCTTGTCAAGGAAACCATGACGCAGACGGTATCGGATGTCCAAAGAATGTGCATGGCAGATTCAATGCAATTCTGTGTCTACCAGACATCGAACAACACAGGAGAGAGGTGTGTTGCAGACTCAATTTAATAAATGCAATTATCGGGGCCTATTCAGTGATTTTCCATGAAGTGACCACTTTTACATATAGTTTAAATGCACGAATCATGCAGGAAAATTATTTATACATTCAAATGTGCTGCAGAGGTATAATCAATTGGACAGCGTGTTTGTTTAATATTATGTTTGTCTCTCATTTGATCAGATTGCTTTACCCTGAGGTAAACGTCATAAAATGGGTCCAGTGCAAGACGTGCAGGGGCTGGCTGCATCAGGATTGTGCTGGGATTGAAATGGAGCCGTTTGACTGCGGGTGCGAGGACTCCATTGAGCATCCTCGGTATAACATAATTTATCAAGGAAACATAGTATCAGTCAAAAATACGAGGCTCAAAGGATGAAAAAATGAGGGCTTGCTCTTTTCTTATTTCTCTGCAGGATCAAGGATGCTGTTGACAGTTGAGGAATTCATGCTGTCTTTTCTAAGACACAGATCAAGGTTGCTTTTGAATGCACTATCAGTTGTTAAAGCCACCGTTTCTTTTTCAGATGATTACATTTTTGTCTCTTGCTCTTTGGTTTCAGACATTACACGATGATCTACTGTCTGGAAAGATCCGCTCCAACAGAATGTTCCTTTGGAGGAATCCCGCCACCTCACTCCGACTAAAGCAGCATTTTAAGATAAGGACACTAAGTTGGAGTGAGCAGCGCGTAAGTAAAAATGCCATCCATCATGAGTATTTTTACTCTCAGGGGTGTTACATTTGAAAGGTGTTTACTTTCTGTGTTTTTCTTCAATAGATGTTCGAGCTCCTGCGGTTCATTGAGGTGGCAACAAACATTTCTAAAAAAATAAAGAGAGGTGAGATTTATCTGCTTGATTTCGTTTTTGACGTCATGCTCCCAAAGGTGAGTAGATCAAACTATATAGCTTGCTTTGAAAATTGATGATATTGTTAAGAGGTTGTTCTTATTCATTTGGAAAGCTCAAGAACAACAATTAACCCATACTGCATAACTTCAATTGTTCACATTATTTGACTGTTTTTCAGCTTTTGATCAAAGCACTGAAGGAGCATGGCATCAACCGGTTCAGAGCAGAGCTGATGATGGCCTGTGGCAACGTGTTTTAAGCCCCCCACCACACCGACGGCAGTGCTGAATTTTGTATATATATATATATTTTTTTACTGTTCACAATTTTGTTTGGAAAAATTAAAGAAATCTTCAAAGCAGTTGTATGACAATTTCCCATTTCTTTACACAGTCTGTAATGATATCGCTATTCAATTGTTTTTGCTATATGGCTCTTCTGAACCTTAAAGAGATCATGTGACTTGTCTCTACAACTATTGTATACTTGGATTTTGCACAGTCAAGCAATCCTGAAGAGGTTCACCAGGAAGCACACCATTTCATAAATGATGTCCCTGGTTACACAATGTTACTAAAGGATGGGGGGAGTAAATTTGTGCAGCAACATAAGCACTCTCATAAAACATAATTATGAACAACAGAAAATATGTGAGGGTCAGGGCAACATTGTTGACATTAAACGAGGTCCTAATAGGAGTGGAGAAACAAGGTCACAGAGAAGTTAAGAAACATTGATGTGCTGTGTAATAGAGCTATTGGAGAGAAAAGTTAGAAAACACTGTTATATGATGTGTAACGAGAGGTTAAAACAGTCCATACTTGTAGCAAACTCTTACAAAAGAATTTGAGTAAGATGATAACTTCTACATACATTTACCTATTCTGACAAATTATCAGAATATGAGGACATCAGGCTATATATACATATTACTGTAAACTTCAGAATTAAATCAGAACAAAACAGTAGTCATAATTAATACATAAACGTTTTATTTTGATTTTTAGCTCAATAATAAATTTAATTCGATTCTTATGGAATGAACGGAGCAAAAAAAAAAGGATCCGGCGACTAAATCCGACTACCTGAAGTATTTCGGCGCCGGAAGTCCGCCAACGAGAAAGCCTTTCCACCGGAAGTAATTGTTTTGGGTCCGCCAATCGGAGGAACTTATTGCGTTTTGTAAATGTGGTTTTCTATCTTTGGGTCCGCCATCTTGCGCTGCATCTGGTCACCTCTCGGATAAAATGAACCACATCTGTTATTCCTTAGAAATTTGGCGTTGATTTCTATTCAAATAAGTGTAAGTGTCAGTGAAAACTGACATTATACGCCATTTGCCTGTCGTGCTGGCTGCTAAAAACAGTCACAGCTAAGAGTATCGATCTATCCAGTCAATACTGATCCGTGTTATTTTGTGTGTGTGTGTGTGTGTGTGTCTGTGTCTGTGTGTAATTGACGGTGTTTAAGGATAAAATATGACAACTCTGACAAGGCAGGACCTGAACTTTGGACAAGGTAAGAGAACCGAGCTGCGCTACAGACTAATCAGACATAAACCTGGTTCATTTTGCAAAGTTTAACACCGATGAGCAGCGCGTCACACAAAATTCTCTTCTCGTGTTGTGTTGTTGAGCTAATATGTTGACTCTGAATCGCAGGATAATTATGTTTTATTTGTTGGTTGTCTGTCATATAAAGAAAACCAGTGAAATGAAGAGAATAAATGATGATCGAGATGATCTGGTTTCTGCTCTTTAGTGGTTGCAGACATCTTGTGCGAGTTCCTGGAAGTCGCTATCCATCTCATCCTGTATGTTCGAGAAGTTTATCCCTCCGGCATATTTCAGAAGAGAAAGAAGTACAATGTACCTGTGCAGGTAACGGCGTTTAGACTTGGAAAAGTGTGTTAAATGTTTAAAAAAAGCATAGTTTGATTGTCTGCAAATCATGCAAGCCATCAAAGCGAAGATAACACAGTAAACTTTATTCTGGATGTCTTGGTGTTCTCTTGTAGATGTCGTGCCACCCTGAGCTCAATCAGTATATTCAGGATACGCTTCACTGCATAAAGCCACTCATTGAGAAGGTAACACATGGTGATTGAAACATGCTGAGGTGGATTTAGTGTCTTCTCTCATCACTGAAACCCCTCTACTCCTCAGAACGATGCAGAGAAGGTTGTCGTGGTCATTATGGACAAAGAGCGTCATCCAGTGGAGAGATTTGTGTTTGAGATTTCCCAGCCTCCTCTGCTGTCTATCAGGTGGTCTAGCAAGGGGTTTCTTTCTTTTTTTCATAAACAAGTGTAAACTTGGGCTTACTGTGTTTTGGAGAGTTCTCATGGTCACTAACTGCATGGGGTTTTGCTTTTTTCCAGCTCAGACACTTTACTGTCACATGTGGAGCAGCTGCTGAGGGCTTTCATCCTGAAGATCAGTGTGTGTGATGCTGTTTTAAATAATAACCCACCAGGTAATTACATTAAGAAATGACAGACATGCTACCCATCATAGACTTATATCTCTCTAAAATGCTAACAATTAAGAAGGTGAAGTTTTTTCAAAGATCTTCTTTTCCCCGTGATGTTACTGACGGGCAAGTGAGGAATTTTGGAAGAGGGGATGGTGATTATGTGCTCTTGCTTTCTCTAACCAGTCAAAAGAGGAGCTGGTGCATTATGGACTAATTGTAGACATGACAACAAGGCTTGGTTAACACCAACATTAAGTGTATCACAACTGTCCAACCAAGTAGAAATAAAAGCATGTAGCACTTGTTCAGCTTCATTAAAAGATAAAACAGATTCAATCTTTGATGAAAACCAACCCACGCCAACATGTCTCTGGAAACACTGGATCCAAACACAATAATCTCTGTCTTGTTTTTATGTTAAAAAAAACTTTCAGGGTACTTTCATTGTTTCTTTTCATGAGCAGATAGATTTGTGTATTATATTAATGGTTAGAGACACTACTTTTTTGAAAGTTTTAACGCAGGGGAAGTAGGCTAACTTTAAACAGTAGTTGCCCAAGAATTAAACCTTGGGGTATGCCACCATATAAGCATTAAAATGGCAGAGTCACCTGAGTAGACGGTCAATGAAGCTTAAAAGAGCTTAAAAGAGTTGTTATTGAACGGGAGCGGCTTTCTCTGGGGTTTTTAAACAAGCCTTAAGATAGGTCTAAAATTTAGAGTTTCTAGGTGAATGCAATGGCATGTTAAAGATATTTTGGTGGTAAAGGAAACAAATTAGAGACTCATTTGTGACCCTTTGTGTCTTTGTTCCAGGCTGTTCTTTTTCAGTACTAGTACATACGAGAGACGCTGCAACACGTAACATGGAGAAGGTTCAAGTCATCAAGGTGAGTTTTTCGGGAAACTGTGAACCCACAGTAGTGTGTAATCACTGAATAAGTCTCTGCATGTGTTTGGTCATATTTGTGCAATTCAGGATTTTCCCTGGATAGTTGCTGATGAGCAGGAGGTCCACATGCAGGAACCTCGACTCATTCCACTGAAGACCATGACATCAGATTTAGTAAAGGTGAGTAAAAACCTCTTTAAGATAAAACCACAATCATAAAAATGCAAATGTTGACATTAATGGGTTGTTTTTTGGCTTGTGGCTTTGCAGATGCAGCTCTACGTGGAGGAGAGAGCCCAGAAAACATAGGCCCTCGCCCTGCAGAGGCAAACTGATGCTGCATTATCCATTCTGTATAAACACCATGAGTCTGAACTGACACAAAGCTGGTCAGAGCAGAAAAAGACACAAGGTCAGAGTTGGACACAAGGAATCAGCAAGAAAGTGATGCGGAATGTATTTTTTAAGTGTGTCAATGATGCTGTAGTCAAGGGTTTAGGGTTGGACTGACAGCCTGTGCCGACATTTCACTGAAAGCTAAATCTGACCCAGACTGTGAGCTGCCTGCCTGAGATCAAATCACAAGATAACATGAATGTGGTCATTGTTATATTGTCATGTATTGTATTTAAACAATTTTATGCAGATGCACTGTATGTAAGTGCAACAAATTGACCTGGATGAAATTGTTGCATGATGACTCTAAAATCCCAGGGAAAATGAAACATACCAGTTCAACAATACTGGCTGTAAATTCAACGCTATCACCAGCACATGCTACATACCTCTGGTTTAAGTGTGACCCTTCACAGATGTGTTGTTCTTGTAAATATGCTTTTTGTTTGTCTTGATGCTTCTTTTGGTGTTTGTTTAACCAGTGGTAATTCTCAGCTGTTCAATTGGTGATTTAATGTTGAATTTTGGTTTAATGGTAATAAATTTGATTTTTAATCACCAGCATTAGAAATCACTGTATTTGCACTGCATGTGCTTTAGTCAGATATCTGTAGAGTGACCCCAGTTCATAAGCCAGACCTGTTCTCCTTTATGAAAGGTCACCTTTGAGGCAGTTTGACAAAGTTTTTATCTGCATTTTTATTATTACTGCTGCAATCATCATATAAACTTTACATTGATGGGATGGCACTTTTGTGCATTCGACAGACAACAACGTCAATGTGAGTATCCCACTCAGATTTCCTGCCCTAGCTGAGGATTTTTTTTCTGCTTAAAAAAACTTGGCAGTTGGCCTGGTCCTCATTGCAGCAGTTGCTGCTTTGACTCCCAGCCAAGTTTTTGGTTGTATTTCATCCCTCACTCTTTGCTCCCCACATTCCTGACTCTGCTGTCCTAAGCTCTCCTATCTAATTAGTAAGGTTTACAGTAGGTTATTTATTTAACAGGAACAGTGCGCGATGGAATTGGTCAATTATACCAGAAAAATTAAGAGATGGTCGCACCAGATTTAGCAAACTGTACATTTCCATCTGAAGTCCCATACGAAAGTGACGCAAGACAGACTGTAAAACATGGCGTCACAGAATACATCAACTAAAACACAATCAAACACAGTACACAAAAAATAAAGGCAATATGCACTAATAAAAACTGAGATATAAATAATACATACTACCAAGGGGCAGCTGTGGTTTAGCCAATTTTACAGAGGGATGTTAAAAACAGGCCAGGTGATTCCTACCCCCCTTTTTAGAGCAGTTATGTGGGGTTCACGATTTCCAAAAAGAATGTCAGATTTTGATTTGTCAGGCCACAGAAAAGTTTAACCATTTTTCCTCCATATCAGTGATAAAGATGCTGGTGTTTCTGGTTAAATTTTATCCAAGGGCTGCACTTCAGTGGAAGACTCTCTCAATTGGAAGATCAGAGGTTCAATCCCAGGTCCCGTTGTCGACATGCGAAGGTGTCCTTGGGCAAGACATTTGACCCCACCTGCCTCAGCAGTGCGTGAATGAGATCAGTTAAAAACTGATGGGCTCTTTACACAGCTTATGTTTATTTAGCCTCTTCTATCAGTGTTCAAACATGGTGTGAATGGATGAATGTGACATGTATGTAAGAGCACTTTAAGTGGTCAGAGAGTAGAGAAAGGGCTACATAAACATAGTCCATTTTACCATTGTAAAACACCAGTCTTAAGTATCAACAAGAGTTTATCACAAGTAAACAAAAATGCATTTCTCCTCATTTAAAACTAAATATCCTTGATATTAATAGTGTGTAAAGACTTCCTTTACTTCTCTTTGATTGTGGATGAGTTTCCTATACAGTATAAAGAAATTATTTAAGAATACAAAGACTGTGCAGGCCCCTGTGATTTATGGCTTATTAATTTCCATGATTTATATAGTTGTCTGGGGTAAGAGCTCCTTTTAGATCAATGAAAAGTTATGATGAAAGAAGTCCTCGTCACGGATTATAATATGCCGACAACTTGAAAGTCTGCCATCATTATAGAGTCTGTGTAAAGTATTTCCCATGTTGCACTACCCCTCATTATCTTGTTATGATTCAGGCCGCTAAGGGCCTCTGTTCAGCAACGCACTGATGACCTTTGGTACGAGACAGTGAACAGTCCTCTGCATGAGCAAAGCTCAACATTTAAGCGATAGAGATAAACAGTGAAGCTCAGCTTACTTCCCATGTTACTGTGACCCGATCTGGAGTATCAGAAAACATGATTCCTGAATGTGCCTTACCTTAGATTAGATTATCTTTAAATTATACTTTTATTCGGAGGCCAGGGGTGCCACAATGCTCTCTTTTATCTGGTCACTCATACCCACTTCCTACTTCATACCAGAGTGGCTGACTCCGGATACAAACCCACTGGACAGTTTCCTTCAAGGTGAGCTTTTCTTCCATCCATTCGCGTTGACATTTGCATGACTCAAAGAGAGTGTGAAGTTAGCTACAGTGTGTTAATGGTTATAAATTCATTCTTTATGTGACCTGCAGGGCTGGTGGGTGCATGTGGAATCTCTGTGTTATGCTCCCTGATGAGACTACACTTGTTCCTGGAGGAAGAAAGGTAATCAAGTTACAAACAGTTAGATCAGCTCATCAGAGCTAGATCAGAATTTTCCTTCGGGGATCAATAAAGTTATTCTTATGGTTTTATCCACATTTACCGAAACATGGCTTATAGTGCTGATGTAGGTCTTTATGGCTTACATTTGTGTCTTACTTGTAGCTGGAGTGACAAAAATGATAAAGAAACAAGTCAGAAGACAGCTGCTCATCACAGGAAACCTCAGCCTGGGTTTACAGGAGTGCTGCACTTCTTTGTAATAACTGGGCTGCTGGCTGTTGTAGGCTCCCGTGTTGCCTCCCTGGTGGTGCTAGAATTTTGTCTTCGAGGGATCTCTGGATGGGTTACAGCTGGACCAGTAGGAAAAACATTATATGCACAGAGCTCACTTGGTTTACTGCTTTTTCGTCAAAATGCTTAGGATTTATCATGAAAACAAACAAACAAACAAACAAACTCTAGTCTGTTTCCATTCACTCTTCACTTTTGTTTATTTTCCCCCTTTTTTTCAGGAGTCCAGGAAATTTCTGCAGCAGCTACTAGTTCAAAGCCAGTTCTCTTTAGGCTGCGCACTGAGCTGCAGTTTGTACTTTCTCCACGAGGGGGCATCCCAGCGCTGGCTGTGTTTACTCCTGGCGGCAGCACTTAGTTGGTACCTGGCCAGACAGGCCACTCGGCTGCTGCACCATGTCCTGGCTCTGTATAAACTCCACAGCTCACAGCGCTACTGCGGCATCTGCATCGGCCTCCTGACATCAGGCCGCTGTCTGCTGCCCATGCTGTGCAGAGCCATGATGATTACCTTCTCTGTAGCAGTGGTGGCTGCCATAGCAACCATTAATAAACACTTCCTCTCGGCTACAGAGGCCCTAAGGTTTTGGACGCCACTAACCATCTGCTACACACTGCTGGTTGTGTACATGCAGGGTGAGAAACACCAATTAAAGGGATGTTGCACTGCATTTATCCAAATTAAAGTAGGCCACCGATCCTGATACCTGAACCTTTGAATCTGCTAATAGGCTACAAGTGATGTATGACATTGGATTTTTGCTTATAGGCCTATTTGATATGGTGATATTTTCAAGCTCATTGTATTTTGAGCAATACTTCTAGGCCATAAACACCCCTTTTTTCATATTTTAGGACTCTTCTGTTAACAAATTTACCTGTCAGCCTACTCTCATTGTGATGGTCTGTTTAAGATAAAATTTAATCCTATACAGCAGCAGATGTGCTCTTTTTCAAACAGCCTAAAGACATTCAAAAGTATGCTCAAAGCTAGTGTGTATTTCTCAGCTTGAATGTGATGATGCTTACAGTGACATGGTTAAATAGTCTAACATAGAGAACACAATGTGGAAAATATCAAGCATACATTGAGGGAATTTGGTTTACCCTCCTAGTTTAAGTCAAAAAGTCATTCAAAAATCAAGAGGGCATAAATCTAGAGATAAAAACCAATTCCTTCAAATTTTTGAAGAGGAGCACCAGAAATAATTCAAAGTTTAAAGTGAGCTGAGCATGCAGACTAACATTAGGGGCAGCCTTGTTCGCAGCCCCTTGTGACATCCTGTATCTGCCAAGATCATCCCAGTAACTCTGATATATTTAGTAAAACAGATCTGCTGAGTATGGCTCTGACTTAAAATACTCTCTCTGCTACAAACCTCCTTGATTTTGGTGAATTTGAATCACATACTGGGTCTTCTTTCTTGCTCTGAATAAGCTGCTGATGGCTCATCAACACCGGCAGCATCAGTGCAAGCTGCTGTTGTACAGTGGGGCACGATAATTGATTCCCTTTGAATCAACTTGATTTTTTTCCAGCGCTGATCAACCAGACTGGTGCATTGACCTGTATGCTGATGCAAGATGCCGCGTTAACTGCTGCACTGGAAGCATTTTATTACAGCCTACCACTGCGGGTTCTGAAAGAACCCTAATGAAATGGAAATGATTCATGTCAGAGATTATGTTCTCAGCAGACTCTAATAAATCTAGAGAAATTATTTAGGGAAGTGAAAGCCTTAAATGTGTGATCATATTGACTCCTCTCCAGCCTGACCAAAATTATTATTAATTCATCACTTTGAAGTGTCCCTCCGGTCTTGTCTGACCACTTATGTTTCCATCATTACTTTAAGCATCCTGATGGTTTTACACTTCGACAGACCCATCACAAGCTGGAAACATTTTCATTCAATAATCTCCTTTAACATGTTGTCTCTTGTCCTTGTAGAGGACCAGCACCGTCAGCCAGGCAGCCAGACTGTCCTGAATACAGTCACGGTGCGTCTTGGCGGTTTGATGGTCCTGATGCTGACAGTTGGACGCTGGGCGGACGTGATACACATCCTGATGTGTTTCCTTGGGGAGGCCAGCTGTCTTATCCCCACAATGGATCTGCTGGATTGTGCATCCTCACAGGTCAGTTAGTCTCCCAGGAAGCTGTGCGCAAGGCCGAGAGCACTTTTTATCCATCGGGAGACCAAAACTGGGGCAGAATATCAAAGAGTTCATTAGACCGGGTCCCAAGATGAGACCTAACTTCTCAAACTTGTGTCCCAGGTGGAGGAGGTTTAAGATCCACCAGACAGATTCAGGTCAAAGTATTCTCTGATTCAGAGTTCTGAGCCTATTTTTCCTTTTACTGAGCAAGCATGGCTTCATTGTTCTGTTTCAAACAAAGGCAGGGAGGAAAAGTTTCATTATTTTTTGGCTTTAAAAGGAGGCTTTAGAAATATTTAATCTTAATAAAACGGATCTTATATTATCTTTGCAACAAGTTTGTAGCATAAATTGTTCAAAACCCAACTAAAATGCTCATAGTATTGACAGTGGTTGTTTAAATAGATAATCATCACATGATAAGAACTCAGAGACTCATTTTGACCGCTGTTTTACATATGCTTCACACTCTAATAACATTTTACATATTGTGTATTTGTATTTTGCTTGTAGGATGAAGAGGACTACACTAACTATGTAAATAGAAAGCGTCAAAGAAGACCAGAAGCTCAAAACAAGGTCCAACAAAATTAATCAGTGTGGAATTTTATAACATAACCTACTCCTTTGGCAGCACTGTGTAGACCATGTCCTCCAAGGTTTATGCTGGAATTTCTTGTGTCATTTTTTATTTAACAATAAAAACCTGGTAGGCCCACTGAGCACATTTTTTATGAAAAATGGATTTACTCGACAAGCTTCCAGCTGTTTAACCACAATTAAAAGCTAAAGGTTATCCAACTACTGTGTTAGATAGATGTTTTATATACCTGCAGGATAAAATGCCTTACCTAACTTTCCCATTGAGAAACTGTTGTGCTTTTTTTTTTTTTTTTCTTTAAACTTTGCATTAGAAAATCTTTAAAATCTAGTCTCCCTTGTGATGGTTCATTAATGACTCAGGTTGCAAACTCTCTTGGCGTTAGTCTAAGAATAAGCACGACCTTAAGGCTGGGTTATGGTAGGCTATCTGATAGATTTTGGCATGCCTGTCACTGCTTAGGGGATCGTTCTCGTTTCTGCTTCTCTTTGAGGGCCTAGGGGCGTTGAAACCCTTTGCCATTATTTCAACCAACCACCACCACCACCACCACTTAACCTTCTCCTACAGCTACGGACAAAATATTTTGAGGCACGAGTTTGATCACGTGAGACAATGACAGAATGAGCCGTGATAACAACAAAATATACTGCATTTTAATATGCCTCTCTCGACTGCTTGGAACAGCTTATCAAAACCCTTAAAGGTCACAATTTCAGCCGTCAATGCAGATCTAAATGCGGCCGTTAAAGATAAAGACAATAGTTGGGCACAGGACAGCGAAGGCGGCTAGTAAATAGATTATTTGTAAATTAGTTTTTTTTATTTTTATCACACATCGTTTCAACATGGTAAAAAGCACCCCGAATTAGTCGTGTTTTCACTTTGGACTTCTCAGATGTCCCCGCAGAGACAACGGTTGAAAAGCAGAGGCAAAATGGCTGACGACAACGTTTATGCTGTTAAGTCACACAAAATGGCGTTACACAAAGGAAAGGCTGTTAACTAGTTTTAACCTGCCTTCATTGCGTCCACATCCCTTTCGTAAATAGACATTTAGAAGAGAGTAATACTTATATGTTGCATTTGTTTTGTACTTGATTGGAATCCACTTTATACTTTCAGAGCACGACAGTTTCTACCGTTATCTCATGAAAAACTGTGCTGGTTGATTTCAATAAGGTATCCTAACGTCAAACCTGACTCCATATCACAATTTTATACCTTTATGGTCGCAAACCAAAATAAATCCACAATATGATGCCGTTGTTATGCCCAGACGGCTTCTTTATTGAGAGCTGTGGACTGACAGACAGACATATATTCCACAAGAAGGTTTTTGATACATCAGTCCGGTCAATCCGTTTCAAAAAAAGGCGTTTGAAATTACAGGGGCAAGATTAGCCTGGCGGTCCAGTTCCCAAAATAATCCAGATCTGAGAGGAGGAAATTTAGATTTGGTGTATAGTCGATCCACCAAATGAGGAATTGTACTCCCATAGGTTTACTGGATTTTGGACTGTATAGAGTTCCACATCAGGACGAATACAGCAGACATACAGAGACCTGACTCCATGGGTACCAGAATACTGTGCAGAAACCCACAGAAATGACGGTGCTGCAGTCGTAGCCTCTTCTGTGGATGTTTCCAGACTATTCTGTTCTCATCTGATAGGCACGCTGCACGCATGCGCAGATTGATGTTCTTGTCCCCCGTTACCGCATTTTAGCGCAAGCGCACTTCTGCCTTTTTATGAGCGTGCCTAATATAGTAACAAAAGCAGAATAATGCTGTAGTGTAGTAACAGAGCTTTTCCATGTCTAACAACCCGGGAACTGTTTCTATTGGCTATAAAACACACACGTTTACCTTCAATATGGATTAGGATACTGAGGGATGAATAACTTTCAAACATATCTCAGCCACAGTATTCTTTACAAAACAACAATAATAATAATACATATCGCTGAATTGGTTCACAAATCAGCATTTAAGTTTGACTACAAATCAAGTATAATCAAAAAATCTTACAGCATCAGTTAAAAGGGTATTGCATAAAAACAGATGTCATTTACCCCTCATCAGTGCTTATCAAACAAATCTCCTGGACCTTTGGACATGTGCCCAATCACTCTTGTTACTTATTAGCTTAAAACAGAGCTCAGACCAGGACAAAGTTTGTGACATGATAATCTGAACACCTGTTTGTTTCTGGCTAGAATAAGTAAGAGTTCCTGCCCTACCACTTCAGCAAATGATGGGCGTGTTTAAAGGTGTGAAACATGATCTGACAAACTGTAAAATTCATTATGATAGGGTAAAACATTCCTTAAAACCTAATATACCAAATAGTTTGATTACTGATTATTAACCTCCTTTGCAATGGTCACTGTTATGGCACTTTTTACAGGTCCAAGGTTGCTTACAAAAGTGGAGTGACTGAATAATGGCTGTAACTGTTACAAAGGATGGGAATCTAATGGAGTGCAGAGCAATGGGGGGCTGTATAGGCTGTGTTAAACAGGTGGTGCTTGAGTAGTTTTTAAAATGTGACCAGGGTTGGGGAATTGCAGATATCTGAGGGTGGAGGCTGTAGCGCCGAAAGCCCTCTCTCCAAACACACAGTCTGGTGTTTGGGATGGACAGCAGGCCAGTGTGTCTGAAGACCAGGGGTTCTGGGTCAGGGTGTGCTGTGAGATACATAAAGGAGTAATTTCTGAACATGAATTTGCAAATAGTTTGTTTTAAAAATATTATTTCATCTTCAGATTATTTAATGTTGTGTGAAATTAGCATCCTCCATTTGTCAAATATTAAATTTTTATGACGTATCACTACAAAGTTTTCTGCTCATAAAAACCACTCTGTTCTTTTTCATCTTTTATCAGCGTCTTTTTGGCAGCCATCCTCAAGGGTCAGATCATGCATTTGCACACACAGCCCTCATTTAACATTTTTAACATTAGATCAATTCTATCATAGGAATTTACCTGATAATTTATCTTCTGACATCTTAATATTCATTCACACACTAAAGAGTAAAAATAAAGTCTATATGGTTTGGAAAAAATGTCAAAATTGACTTTTTTTTTTTCAATATCATTGTAGCCTCTTAAGTTCTGATCGTTAACACACAGCTCTTGGTTTCCTGTTTCCTGCAGGTTTCCGCTTTAGAAATCATAATCAAAAACCAATAGTGGACATGACTTTGTTGCTCGAGTGGAAGTTCAGATACTCCTGGTCAAATGCTACTCCAATACAAGTGAAAGGTGCACATTCTGCTCTGTTATGTTAATTTTTTATGTTTATAAAACATTAATCACATTTCATGAACTTGCATGCAACAGATTTTCAGGAATGCAGATATATTGATAAAAGGAAGAACACTGGGACAACCGACAATAATAAAAACAGAAATAAAGTCACTACAAGCAGACAGCTTTGTCTAAAGTGGTCACCTAGTATAAAACTAATGTTTTGCTACATACTTTGACATGCTTTCTCTGTTCAAACGGGAAATTTTGAGGTCTATGGTGAATTTTGTGCACAATAAATGGTGCCGTTATTTAAAACAATACAAACCCCTTCCCACGTCAGAAAGCTCACCCAAGGGCTTAAAATATAATCGTGGGTGCTCAGCTGGAGGATTGTCGTCCTTCTCTGTAGTAGTGATCATAACCACGATGAAATGAACTGCTCACAGTGATCACAGTGATGTTTGCTTTAAGTTTGCTCTACATTTAGCCACTGGGATGCACTGCCAACAGGTATGGCAATACCACTTTGACAAACAACACACAGAGACAGCTCAACATCTTTTTCATTAAATACAGGGAGGGAGGAGAATACTCATCTTTCCATGACTTTTGACAAAAGAAATAGGTCTTCCCAAAGTGGTACTTTCTGGACATAAATGAGTTAAACTCTCTTTTTGAACTATCTAATGCATTTTATTGTCAGGGCAAAGTCCTCCGTTAAAACTTCAGCAAGCTCTGACAACAAGCCTTTGTCTGAGAGTAGGAAGTAATCAATGTAATGTTGTGAACTTTGACCCCAAGTCCTGAAGACAAATTACAAGTGGACACACGCATAAGCCTATGCGTGTGTTTATTAAAGTTAACTAGAGGACAAAGCTTATGCTCATACACTCTATGCATATGCAGAAAACACCCTGTAATTATTTCTGAAAGTAAGATGGATTAATGATAGATATATATCAATGAACTATTAGCCTAGAAGCAACAAAACTTTGTATCACCCCTTATTTATGTGTGATGTGTTTTTCCATGCATCAATAAAAAACAAATCTTGCACTTGAAATTAATTACATCAAAAAATATACCAAAACACTACCGTATCTACTTTAACAGTATGCAAAGTACCTCAACTTGCCTAACCCAACTAGAAATGATGGGATCCTCCTGTGAGTCAAAGCCTCTCTCAGATGTCAAAGCACCTTCATTCAACCAGGGGTTTTCTCACGCATGCGCAGGTGCGTCGACTATCTCATCGGCGAGAAAAAAAAAGAAGTTCACACACAAAGCCACGCCTGCGCGGTGTGCCTCTCATTACGAGCGAAGTTGCTGCATCTTTTTAGGAAGCTACATGCTTTCTTTCGACACCCAAAGGTCGCATGGTGTCAGGGACGCGCCTAGTCACGGGAACAGTCCGGAGCGCGTTCATGAGGTGCAAGATCGCGCTTTAACAGTGAAGAGTATCAAACAGCGTGCGGGGATCCAACCTAATGCTGTACAACGGGTCACAACGACCAGTCAATGATTTGCGCCGAGTATTCGCGTTCTTGTCCGGCGGTTATTTTGCAAACCTTTTCATTTTTGCACGGGGAGAAACTGACATAGCAAACTCATCTGTATGATAGGGGAACAGGAGCACACAGTATGGTCCGGGAAACCAGACATTTATGGGTGGGAAATTTACCCGAAAATGTACGAGAGGAGAAAATCATTGAGCACTTCAAGCGGTGAGTAGAAACATTAATGAGCTGTGTGTGTGTGTGTGTGTGTCTGTGGTTAAGTGTAACGACGTGTGCATGGACAGCATCTCTCTGTGTTGTGTCACATTTGGAGAAGTCGGGATGAAGGAAGCAGGAGGTTCCCCCGTAGCAAAGTCCCATTTGGCAACTGTGCTGTCAGCTCCCCATAAGCGACAATATTGTGCTGCATTTCAGCCCAGATAAAAGCGGCTAGCACGCTCCAAGCACGCAGCTAGCGGACATATGGTTTTGCCATTTTGACACGGATACTAACTTGCATGCGAGGTGATAACTTTACTCGGGCTTTTCACGTCGTGTGACTGTACAAACCCACCAGGTCACCCGTTGACTCTCTGAAAAGGCTACCTTTGCACCTGGCGACTGTAGAGAGGGCTCCTTTTCTCCAGCATACTGTCAATGTAAACAAACTCCAGCCTACCTGGCAAGCTGTTCGCATTGTACAAGCTGTGCATTTCACAGGCTGCATCTTTGGCACACGCTATGAAACCTACGGCTGTGTGTTTTCTGGTGTCTGACCCGGTGTTTCACTTTACTTTCTCCGAGTTGCTCTTCAGGTTAATGCTTTGAACAAGCCCCGTGCACGCAGTGTGGGTTCATTAGCACACGGCGTTACTGTCTGTCGTGGTGCACGGCAGATGTTGCAAGACCCGGGTCCTTTCTTTACCTAACACAAGTCAGTAATATCAGAAAGGTGACGCGACATCACGCCGCCATCCACGCTGCAACATTGTTCTGAACTGTGATTGAACAGGGTGCAGGCTCTCTGTTTACTGATATGCAACACTGAAGTGGCTTTCTTGCGTTGACTTTGATCACCTACATGGCTTCTTTGCAATATTATATACCACAGCTGCTGACTTGCACAGCCTGCGGCGCGATCTGGAGGAAAATCAGACAACATATCGATATTTTAATAACGAAATCCAAACATCGCTTCGTTTCTCCTCTCTGTTTTTACTCTGAGAGGAAAGCAACAAGATGTGTAGTTTAAGCGGCTTTAGGTATCAGTTGTTAACCTTGCACAGAGGGAAATTGTAAATATGATTGTGTGTGTGTGTGTGTGTGTGTGTGTGTGTGTGTGTGTGTGTGTGTGTGTGTGTGTGTGTGTGTGTGTGTGTGTGTGGCTCTCACGGTCGTCTGCGCGCTCTCGCCTCTTTCTTATGGGCTGTCAAGGAAATAACAGCCCGCCTCTCCGTCCATATGTGCTGGAGAGCAGACTGCCGAAAAACATTATAGTCTACCTATAAGAGCAACGCTGCCTTCTTTACTGTGTAGGCGTCGCCATATCGGACGAAAGCTGCTTAATTACTAACATTATTCAAGCCCGTCTGTTGGACAAAACTGCAACCCAAAAAAGGATACATTTTATTTCCAACAGATGATAGAATACAATATGCAAATTAAAATTCACCCCTGGACTCTTCTGGTCATAGTTTTTAGTTTTTAGACGGATGCAGCGAGTGAACCACAAATATGGTTCGTGTCTGATCCCTGCAGCCCCTGCAGACCACACAATAATGAGCTACCTATATGCCGTTTTATTTACATTAGCTCGTCTAATGATGTGCGTAACGTTGTGTTTGGAGGGGATGGTGACTGGCAGCGTGTTATTGCGATAGATAGCGGAGGGGAAAGTGTGTCGGCGGCTCCTTTTTAGCGTGCTGCCTCAGCTCCAGCGTTAACCCAGAGGTAGTCCGAGCAGGCAGGTGCATGACAGCCCAATGTGTGATAGAAGTCATTGAAGATGGGGGACGGCAGAATGAGTAAGCAGTGTGAACAGCTTTTCTAAAATGGCGTCGGAGGCTGTTCAATGTTGGGAACTGGCATGCCAATAAATTTATGGGCACCCTACTGTCTCTGTCGGACGGCGAGAATTCACTCCCGGGAGATTTTTGGGAGGGAAAAGTCAACGCATGCAGATGATAGCAGGCTCTCAAACCCCAAACAGGGGCTGTAAATCTTGTGCACTAGACTAACCATCACTCAGATATTTTTTAACGATGTATTCACAAGCGTTTAAAGAAAACAACGGGATCCCTATACTAAAACACACCAATTTAAATCTCTTTTTCTTATTATCCAGATAAGCTTTAATTTTTTTCATTTGGTAGAAATAAAGAGGAAAGTGTTATATATTTTCAACTACTTAAATTTGCTTTGGCTAAATATCCACATATATTGATTATTTTTAACCCCCACACAGCAAAATGAAGAAATGTCAGGTCTCTTTATAAGCTGCCAAACCCTCATCTGTATGCTTACAGCAGCTATGAGCTTTGCAGAGTCCCTCCTCCCAGGAACATGCTAATGTTAGACAGTATATGCATTTATTAACATGCGATGTGCCAAGGTTTCAAACCCAGTTGCTGGGTTACAGTTGCCTTGTAAGAAAGTGCTATAGAGCAGAGAATAAGAGTAGCAAAGCTTACCTCCCACCTCTCCGTAGACACACACACGTACACACATCGTCCACAATGACATACAGATTTAGTCACAAAAATACAAAGAAATAAAAATAAAGGTTGTTTTCAAAGATGTATTATTTTCTCAAATATTCTGACTGTTCATCCCCTAATGGCAATTCATGAACATTGTTGCATCCCAAACTGTCTGTTGAACGTTTTTTTTATTGTTTTATCTTGTAGATATGGACGAGTGGAGAGTGTCAAGGTCCTGCCTAAGCGAGGTTCAGAAGGTGGAGTCGCCGCCTTTGTGGATTTTGTGGACATTAAAAGTGCTCAGAAGGCTCACAATGCTATCAACAAGATGGGGGACAGAGACCTGCGCACTGATTACAATGAACCGGGCACAATTCCCAGTGCAGCGAGGGGGCTGGACGATAGTCTTTCCTTAGGTTCTCGTGGCCGGGATGTATCAGGGTTCACAAGGGCGGCAGGGGGGGGCGTATATGTTCCCCCCACGTCGCTCCACAGCAGAGATGGACGCTATGAACGCAGACTAGACGGGTAAGTGGACAAAGTTTCTCTGAAGGCAGGGGGAACCGTGGTTTCTGGTAAACACCTTACCCCCAAGCATCTTCCCATCATCTATTCATTTACTTGTTTTGGGGGGGAGAGGAGAGTTCATGGTTATAGGGATCCCCTCTTAAGTCCACGGAGCTCCGCCAGCGCTCCTGGATTTATGCTTGCAGGTAGCCTACAAGATATTTTCTAAGTGAAAGCATGTTTTTACCTGAGATTATATCATACTACACATGTGTGAATAGTCAAAAGTTTAAATGGCTGTTGGGGATTATCTTTGTGAGCTTAAACATCTCTGTGAGGTGGATATATCAATTGCGGAATATGCGGGGCAAATTGGAAATCGTAAAATTTCCCAGGATTATTGGAGATTTCTGAAGAGAGAGAGAGAAAGAGAGAGAATGAGAGAATCGAAAAAAAAGAGAGTGGTCCACCGGCCATCCCTGGGATTCCCTTAATCTGGAGTTACGTGCCCTGCTCAATGGATTAATGTCATCCTCACCCCAACCAAGAGCACACATTATTTAAGAAACCATTGTTTGGATTAGTCTAATTTGGTTTTCGATTATCACGCACCCCTCACTTCTCACGTGGGCTGGAGTCATGTGGATAACCTACACAGGATATTTATTCCCCTCTGTTGGATTAACGCTGGCCGTAAGGATACACTTTCATGCTAAAGGTATGGGTTGCTTTCTTGGTTTGGGTTTTTTTTTTGTTTTGATTTGGGATTATTTCTAATATCAGGGCATTACAAATTGAGTACTGGGAGACCTCTACTGGTTATCCAACTCAGTAGAGACAAGAGACACTTGTGAGCAAAGACTTTTCATTCCTGTTTATTTTTGTGGAGATTATTTTTACTTCTTAACGGCTGAGACCTGCAGATGTAACGAAGACCCACATGGACTATGTTTGGATTGTACAATTTAGAGAAGAAGTGCTGGAAATAGAGACTATAAAGTTGCTGATGGAGATAACGGACCTCATGTCTGTGGATTACCTGCTCCTTTCCTGAAAGTGGAACTATAACTAAACCTCGGATATAATCCCATACAGAATTAGAGAAGTTGCACCCATGAACTGCCTCTTGAGTGACTCAGCTTCAGTTTGGATTGGATGCAGGTTCCTTGGCTTGTACAGGAGATGGACATCAGACATGAAAAGGTTGCAGAGTTTCGTAACTGCGGTAAATGATATCCATCCTGGGAGTGAATATAGTACATCCACGACCAAGAATCTGGATTACCATTAAGGGACAAGGTCTTCGATGTTCTTCTGCCATGGCCTGATTTCCAACGCTGTGCCAAAGGAATTTGACTGGTGTACTGCTAAGCACAGTGTGACCAAGTGGAATGTGCCAGACAAAGAAAGAAGATACAAGACTAGATTTTATCCCCTGGTGCCACGTCCCTGGATACCATGTATTCATTTTATTGGACTCTGGTGCGACAGCGATATTTTTTTCCTGCATGTTCGGATGGATATATTGACTTGAATTGACATTTTCCAGCATACAAAGCATCTCAACCTGGACCCTTTCAAGGCCAGGTTTGTTTTTATTCTTTTAATTGAAAAGGACACTCCAGCTCCTCCAAGCACACAATGTTCGCTCCCCTGAAGATGAGGATTACGTTTTCTAAAAGGAACATCTTCGCCTTATTTTTTCACCCTCCACTCAACATTTTTACCCATTTTTTTCTGCTCACAAAGTTCTATCTCCCTAGATTGTATGTGGAATTATAGGTCAAGTTACCACTCTCTCAAAAGGTTGGTATGTCCTGCCCTGTGTATTTTAGCTGTCCTCTCTAACCCCCTAGTTTGAACCCCTGTCTCTCTCCATTTTCCCCACTAACCGAAGTAGCTGGTACATAGAATGTTGTTACTGCCTGTGTGTCTCTCTGCAGAAATCTGTACTTTACCTTGTATTGTTTTCCTTTTGCTTCCCCTCACTTGACCCCACCTGAAGCCCGTTCTCTCTTTATAATGAACAGAGCTGCACTGTAGCTGTCATTCACCTGGAGTTTTTAATCTTTGCTGCAAACTTGCACATCCACTGTGTGCCAAGATTTCATACTTAGACTTAAAGTCATACTTCTGCTCTGATTTAAAAAATATCGATCAAATCAATCAAATTTTATTTATATAGCGCCAAATCAGAACAGTCGTTATCTCAAGACACTTTCCAAAAAAAAGAGCAGCTCTAAAATATGTCATATAAAACTATGAAGACAAAAAGAAAATGAAGATAAACAAATTTGCACAAAACCATTCACACAAATAGAATAATCATAAAATCAGCTAAATCAAACTCTGCCCAGGTCACAGACTAAGATTATGTACAAGTTTATTTTCACAAATCAAATTAATACATTCCAGATTAATTGTAAATCCAAGTTGTTCCCATGTAAAACACCAAACCCATTTTATTCAATTATTTAACCTAATAATTTTTAGATTTTGACACCAGTTTTAAAGATACTGTATAAAGTATTTAGCAGCTTTTAGCAGAAAGTACTTGGTAAAAACAGTGTAATAGTGTATAACAGCATGAATATGGAAATAGTTTTGCTTTTGTTCACTTGGATGAGCCTTTAATATTCACATAGATACAGATTGCCATCTTGCACTGCTGCGTTCCTACAGTAGCACAGAATGGACAAAATAGTATATGCTTTTACACTTAGTGGTGTGCGAAATAATGCAGCTTTTGGATACAGCTGTATGCAAAAGAAATTTGACAAATGAAGGATCATACAGCCATGATCCCTTTACAGTCAGAAGGGGTGAGCAAGGGAACTTTCAGTCTACAATCTGAATGATAAATATGGCTGAATGTCCTTATTTCCTCACCTTCGGCCTCTGATCAATGGGTTATAAATGCGGTGCAAAAACTGTTTAACCAGTCACATGGTGCAAACTGAGTTTTTATTCTGAGGCTTGACCTCCTTAAAGTGTATATAAATGGAATGAAATACTGTATGTGAGTAAAATAGTCTCTTTAATTGCTTTTGTAATAGGGGCTACGAAGGTTTGGAGAACGTTTAAAATTCCTGTCTGGGTTTAGATATTTGACATTAAGTCAGAGATACTCCGGGTCTTTATGCCGTTTTAACTTCCATTGTGTAACATTATTGCAGACTCTGCAAATATTAGCAGGACTTTCTCATGGAGGTTCAGCGTGGCTGTACTTTTGCTCTGTCAGGTATAAAAACCCTGTGTTGATCAGAAGCAGATATTCTGAAAGGGATATTTTTTTCTGCAGTTTTTAATCGAGTTTCCAGTGACTGGACTGTATCAGAATAAAAGAATAATGTGGTTAAGCCTTGTGCGTACATTGTACCCCCACCCCTGTACTATGCTTTGTGAGTCAGCAGACAGCAGGACTCGGTACAGCTGCTCAATTAAACTGTACGTTTCCATGTTGGAGGGGTATTTAACAAATAGCTTTTGATATTTTGAATTGAATTGAATTGATATGCATTCGCTCGTCTCACATAGGGCGCCTCTTTAGCATGCTTCTGGGATGCACACCCATAATTATGCAGTCCACGTAATCTGAAAACAGTTGATGTGCTTAGCATGCACCAGAGCAGACTAATAATCAAACACTGATGGAAATTCTGCCAAAAAAGTCTAACAGAATTATTTTTAAGCTCCATGAATAATGTAGGAGCTGTTTTGTATGAAGTGAAATTGAAGTGAAATTGAAGGCTATCTATTGAGCAGTGAGCCTGCGCCACCAAATTAGCATTTTTGAGAGCATCCAGGGGTCAAGGTAATCCATCACTTTCACAGCAGACACCGTTTGGCCATAGATGTTATTCATGAATCCAGCATACAAGCGATTAAATCAAATAAGTTGAAACAGAATGTGCCCCTGACCCCTCTGTACTTAATGGATAGTGCACCCAGACACAGACATAGTGCGAGTTCCCTAAACCGATTCATCCTCAACATCCAGGATACTGAGCACATCCCATGAAACCTTTTGTTCTCATGCCCTGTGGCAAAAGCCTTTTGTGGAAAGACTTGATGAGAGACTCCATTTATGACCCAGATGATGCAGGTTAAATTTGTGTCGGATGTCTGACTCTGAAATTTTCCAGGTTGGACAAATTAAACATTGGTAATGACTGCTAGTTGCAAATACAGACAAAATCATTTCACTGGTCAAGGCTGAAAATAAATGTCCTACTAATTGTCTCGGAGGCTAAAGTTGAAGTGATGAACGCAGTCTATCCAAGTGGTCTCAAGTGTGCTTGTAAATATGATTGTAAATATGTGCAATACTTTTCTGTGTCAGATGTCAGGGTGAATATAGGCCTTTTTAAAAAAAAAATCATGTTCTTGATGAATTAACATCATCGGCATCTGTGACTCAGAAGAGAGCTAATACTGTTTATCAATAGAGGAATAACACGTCATTGCCACCTTATGTAATCCATTTAACCAGTTTCCTCAGCGCAGACATGGATTGCAGCAGCTGAATTTGAAAAATAAAAAGTCACATGCATATTTGCTCTGAGTCAACCTAAAAACCATTAGATGGAAATTAATATGAAACAGATACTCAGTTGTTTCTTCATGCAAAGGCCGGTTCCCCTCAACTGACCACCCATTACATCCTAAACAACAACAATTAACATTTAAGTGAAAACACCATCCTGTGTGTTTGTTTAAGTATACAGTGTTGGGCAATGAGATATTTAGCGACATCGGTGATCAGATTGTAGATTAAAACATGCCCTTGCTCAACCCCTCCGCATGTGGGAGGACGGTGGCCTTAGAGGACCAGAACCCCCCATGATCTGTGATGTTAGATAAGTGTGAGCCTCCATCGTAAGAGTTTTTAGGACCAAAACTTTTCTTTTGCACTCGATAACAGATTTATTTCCCCTATTTGTCTTCCAGCTGTTACATTTTGCACAGCCAATAAATGCTAAAATGCATATTTTTCAAGTTTGTCTGTTCTGTGCCACCGTTAGAACCTGGTGCAAGGGGACTCCCTCCTTTTGTAGATGTAAAAGGTTCATTAGAAAAGGAAAAAAAAATTCATATTCTTTTCATAACTTATTAAGTGCTGCTAAAAACTGTGTACTGTACCTTTAAAGTTATAAGGTGTGAAGAAGAAAAAAATAAATAAAAACATCTTTACATTTGCAAAATGAAATGTCTCCAAAGTTTGGTCAAAGGTTTTACTAAAGCAGTAACTAATAAGTATCCTCTTGTCCTTAGTTGTTGGTGTTTTTTAGCAGCATGTAGAAGCTAGCAAAATCTGAATAACCATATCTTTGTACAGATCAAATGAAAACATCTCTGCTGACGGAAAAAGATCAAAGAATCCAAAGATTTGGATGCAAATTTCAATTCCCAGAATTCAAAGTCTCCATTGAGGCAGCTGGTTGCTTCTCTGTGAATGTTCAGCAGTTTCTCTCAAAGCAGACATTGTAAAGCTGATATCAGTATGAAACAAGATAATTTTGTTGAACTTTTTCCATTAGACAGCTGAAAAAAGGCTGTGAGGATCTAAAAGAAGTCCCAATAAACAGTGATTTTTGTCTTTGTAAAATTAAACTGAAGCATGGTGCAACAGCTTATTTCCCTACCCAATTTACAGTAGCAGTAAGCAGCATGAATATTCCAAAAGTCAGTAAAAATATACCTCTCCTTTGTTACCTGGTATCACTCTGCCAAGTCCCTCCCATCAAATGATGCACCAGATAGTCACAGCAAATGTTGTCTCAGCAAATTTGCCAAATTGTTTCACACAGCTACTTGCGTCAGACTTAAAGGATAAAAAACTAACAGACGATCGATTTAAACAACAAAAAGAAATTGTAAGGAGAGTGCTCAAAAGTCTAAGGGAAAGAACTGCCAACACAAGTCTTGTAGAGGCAAGTTTCAATGATGCCAGTTTTAACAGAGTGACTGTGATTGAACAGTTTTGTACAAATTAAACCTAAATGGTTGCTTGATTCAAATGAGACAATTTAAATAAAAAAGTTACAATTGGGTATTGGTGCCCAATCAAACAGATTTACTTCAAGGAATATATCGATTAAAGCTCCTGTGAGCAGTTTTAAGCAGGTTGCAATACAGTTTAAACCGATGTCTCTTTATGACCTAAAAAAGAAAACAAGACTGTTCACAATTAGAGTGACAAAGAGCCGGACAAGTGTTTGGCTTTACGTTGCCCTTTTTAAAAATGTGTTTCATGGCAGATATTCTGAATAAGTGATAAAATTAACTGTTCAAAGATCATGTACAGTGCAGGTGTACAGGACGAAATCAGCAGGCACAAACCAAAAGTTCCTCACAGGAGTTTTAATTTGATGATTTTAGTAGTATCTAATGATCAAAATGTATTATTAGTTAAGTCACCTACTGTGGCTTTAATGTCTAACTTGTTGCTGTACAAACATACAATGTACAATCATAATTTCGATCTAGAAAGCTTTTATGTAAGTTATGTAAACGTATCATTTATATTCGTAATTTCTCCTCATACTTGAATGGAAGTTTCTTTTTCCAGATGGCATTTGTACATAAACTACAAACAGTTTCTAATCTAACACAGTGTGTGGAGCCATGTATATTGTCACAGATTATTACGAATGCATTACAGTTTTCACATTGGCTCGCCAAATTCATTTTGCAATTGTGATAGAGGAGCTTTCTTTACAACTGAAATGCACAACCCTCTTCAATCTCAGTATTGTCCCATCCTCTCATTTCAAATGACCGAATGAAACATAGTGTTCTGTTTAAAAAGCCTCTATAATGAGTGTTTCCAACTGTAGTTATATTAACCATAATCCTCCCTGTGTTGGAACATCATGGCTAATTTGCTGATTATAATTTGATCTGAATTCAAACAGTGGTAATTGCTGTCCTGTCCCGCTCATTAAAGAGAGTTGGGTAATATGACTGCTGTAATGACACAGCAGTCATATTACCAAATTAAATTCTGATTGCTTTATTCAGTAGGAGGATGTGCAGGTCTGAACACAATGTTCTTATTACCACTGTTTCTAATGTGCATCCTCATAAAAGATGCTTTCAAGACTCCACAAAAGAACAAATGGTGTCAAATTGTGTAACATTAGAGACAAAAGGCTCGTCGTAAATCACCTCCAAAAACCTCCAACAAAGCCTCACAGATAAACGATAAAACAGCTTAAAAAGTAGCTTTTGTTGTAACTGCTCGCTGTTACAAGACCAAAATGACTTGACAAGCCGTGAAAGCATGAATCTCTCACATAAATCCTTTTTTAATATAAGTAATCCTTGTGCAAGTCTGTTATGTCCTGCAATTTCACTTTTTTTAATAAGCTGCAGATTTCTGTCCTGTTGAGCACTGAGTGCATGCCTCTCACTTTAAACCTCCTCTAAGTGTGTTACGTCAGTTCTTTTTCATTAGAGTGTTACACTAAGTTAAACCTGCCTTATCATGAAAACTGCAAAATTTAAGTATTTTTCATTCCAAGAAAACTATTCAAAAACATAATTTTGTGCTTTATACAACCACCAAATTTCTGATACAATCTCCCCAAAGATGAAGTGTTAGGATGACAAAACATGGAAGACCAGAGGACTGACTGTCATGACCAGATAGTCATTAAAAAACCCCTAGATCTGTCTTTACCCCAGAAAACCGTTCCCCTCATAGATGCCCGAAAAGTAGACTAAACACCTTTTTTCCCCCACTTGTCTGTTGAAGACAAACCCACCAGTGACACCTGATGATATCTGTCTGTCTGAATTCACAAGCATCCTAAAATGAAACTGCAATGTGATGCTGTTCTCTCTTTCTGTTTATTAGGGCGGCTGAAAGCCGGGACCGGGCGTACGATCACAGTGCCTACGGACATCATGAGCGTCCTGGTAGCAGTTTTGAACGCCAGCGGCACTATGAAACAGACTATTATCGTGATGCGAGAGACAGGACTCTAAACACCACAGGGAGTGGGTCTGGTACCTCCAGTGGAAGTGGTTCAACGGTGTCATCAGGAGTTGGTGGAACTATTGTTAGTGCTGTTGCGGGCAACACAGGGACAAGTGGATCAGCAGGGGCCACATCTGGAGGAAGCGGAGGATCTACATCAAGCGCTGTCGGCTTCTACCGCTCCCACAGCAGGAGCCCTTGCCGTTTTGAGACGCCAGAGCCTCGCTATGAGCCTCGCACCAGGGAGCCCTTTACTTTGGCCAGTGTGGTTCACAGGGACCTGTACCGGGAGGACAGAAGCCGGCGCGGGGAGCGCTCGTACCGCCATAGTCGAAGCCGGTCTCCACACTCAACACATTCGCGAAACCCCTCTCCTCAGAGACTGGCGAGTCAGGCTACACGTCCGGCACGCTCCAACAGTGGGTCAGGCTCTCGCAGCCGCTCCTCTAGTTCTGACTCAGTCAGCAGTACCAGCAGCAGCACGAGTGGAAGGTGAGTGACACTGGCTGTCCAGATTTACTCTCATGCATGGTTGTTGTTTATCTTTCTGCTTCACGTTCTGAAACAGGCGCTCGACAGTGTTTTAAGAGGATGGGATGTATGCTGCTCAAAAGTTATCCCACAACAATCTTTGGAGAGGTTACAAATTTTTATTTCTCTTTAACCTTCAGGAGAAACTGATCGTTATGAAAAATCTTTTTTCAAGAGTACATATAGTCAAGATAGGCAAAATTTGAGTTAACAAAGAGCGGCCATATATGCAAATAAAACACAAGAGTTGATTGTTATTCAGTACAATACAAATTAAAGCTTCTATAGGGAGTTTTTTTAAATGTTTATTATAGGACTGAAATTCATATTGATGCCTTTTACCCAAAGGCAAGACCATCAATGAGAAGATTGATAATTCTCTTATCCTAATTTTTGATGCCCTAAACCAGAGAGTGTAGGTGTCAGCCAAGCAACGAAATGAAAAGCCCTGTTTTTAGGATTTGCCACGTTAAAAGATTCACAATAGATAACACATGTGACCGTCAAAAGGTCAGCAGGATAACATTTTTGAACAAAAGCCATGACTGAAGCATGTAGAAGACAAGATAAACAAGGGCTGCTTTGTTCACAGGGGGGCACCAAACTTCACACAAACCACAAGTTCTCTACAGGAACTTTAAATGATATAAGTCAAACATATAAAGCAGAACATCTACAGTCAAATGTGTCAAGTTATTCAAAAGCACCTTAAAAGCATCCAATAGAGCAGATCTGTAAGTACCAGGTCATTTTAAGGAAACAGTCCACTGAAATGTTTTTTCTCCACCTCTGCCCTTTGACAAAGACAGTAAGAAAAGTTGACTGATACTGGTTAATCAGGGCTGATACTGACTCTGACACTGACTGTTGGTTGTACTTTGGACTGATAACCGATATTTGGAACTGATATGCGTTCACTGTAAAAATTACAAAACAGACCAAGAGGGAAGGACACATCTGCAGTGGAGACAAGGTATTGCAACTTTTATTTGATTGAATTTGTTAACTGCAAAAAAAATCACTGATACCTAAACTAGACTCGTAAATAAAAATATACCAGAGTTTCAGTGTTTCAAGGAAGGAATAACAACTGACTTTTATAAACTAAGTGAAAATGTTGTGACAGTGAACATTGTACAGTAGATGTTCGGCCTTAAAGAATTATTAAAAGGGGGTGATGCTGGTGGTGGTGGGTTGTTGGGGGGAGGTTAGTCATACTTTTTCACATTTACACAGTTACAAAGTTCGGTGTCCAAACTACATGTATGCCAAGTTTCAAATCACAAGGTAAACATGTTTTGTCATCATCTGAGAGAGTAAACTGCTCTGATCTCAGACGTGCAAAAATGCTAGACTGTAGTTTATGTCCAAGATTTACGAAATTTGACGGAATTATAAACAGAATTATAGATTCTCCTTATTGGTTCGTCTGAGCTTCCAGCAAAGTGGAACAGCCAGCCTCTAACAGCCAGTGAAGAGACACCCACAGTGGAGCGGGGTAACAATAGACATGATATACAATATACAAGATGTCTATGGGGGTAACGCTGCTCAACTGATCGACCACAATAGAGGGAGCAGGGCCAAAACAACAACCTCTGCCCTCTGCTGGCTTCTAGGAAGCCTCCAGAGAGGTGGCCAATCAGAAGAAAGTAGGCTTGTGGAGGGGGTGGGGGCTGGGGGGGACTTAAAGACACAGCAGCTAAAACAAAACATTTCCGATTGAGCCTTAAATGCTCATATTTTAATATACAACTGTGAGAAATTTGAGGCTTTTTTAAAAATCTGAAATAGAATCTGAAAAAAAAAGCATGATACCCCTCCAAAAGGATCCAAATACTAACTTTTTGTCATTTTGGCAAGTCAGATGTTTGTTTTAATAAAGTAACACTTTTTCAAAAAATAAGGTGGAACATTGTGTGAATATCAGTGAAGAGCCCACAGATTTGTTGTCCAGAGTTTTCTCGGGTGTTTTGCAGCTTTGGTTGCAGCAAACATCCTTCATTCTTGTAGAAAGACATATATTGTAGTATTCATTTGCTGAGGTAAAGAGTGCCATGCAATGGTCAGGTGACGATTAGGGTGTCCTTTGCTGGATTCAAACTGCCATGGCATGTTCTGTAAAGCAACAGGAAAAGGCTGTTGTAGCAACAAAAGCTAAACTTTAGAAGGGAGGATAAAGGTCCCTGAGAGTTTTTACAACTAGCTCAACTCCTATGGTGAATGTCAAAATTAGCACTTACTCAAGATGAAAGAATTTGATGTGGATCGAACAGAAGATAGCAAAACAACTGATACATTGACAAACTTTCAACTCCTGCTATAAAATTTATGTTTTGCAAAAGCATGTTACATATCTATCTATCTATCTATCTATCTATCTATCTATCTATCTATCTATCTATCTATCTATCTATCTATCTATATATATATATATATATATATATATACATATATATATATTTATATATATATATATGAATATATAGCTGAACAAAAACAAATGGGCTTTTTCAATTGGGGATTTCTGTATCTGAATTTTGTTTGTTTTGAGGGAAGGAAGTCTGCAACAGTTTTAGACAGAACACTAGTTATGCCAACAAGCTAAGACATGCATGTGCATTTAATTTCCATTATTAGCTGATAGATACTCCTGTTAAGTTGCACAACATCATCCAGTGCAAAATCTGTCACATCACATCAATGCACAGAAACATCACCCAATTCTATCTTTGCGTCTGCGTCTCTGATGGATATAACATCCTTTTGTTTTTATGAAAGGTTGACTTTCATATTTTATCTGAATACTTTGTGAGGATTGGCATAAAATCTTCACTTTCAATGTGAATGCTGTTGGCATGTCAGAGACTTAAAGGAAAACACTGAGTGACTTGAAAATGATGATTGTGTGTACCCCCTCTCTTTGAGTCATGAAACTAAACAAATAAAGGAACTGTTTCAAAATAACCCTTAAAAGTGCGCTCTTAATGGTTATAGTATCACCTGCATTGGTTGATCTTATCGTTTCTAACTCAGTTGCACAAAATGTGGTATGAATTTGCAAACATTCAAAACAGTATGAAGTTTGCAAATTTGCAAATTCTTTATTTCAAATGACAAATCAGGTGTTGGCAGGAGGTGCGTCTTGGTTGGCATCAACATGTGGAAAATGACTTTGGTGTCATTTAACTGCTATCATCTAAATCTGTCGGAGCAATAAGGTTTTGAACTTGATGGATTTATTACCTCCGCTTGTACTTTGGAAGTTGAAGTCCACTCTGCTTTTGTTTAAGTTTGCTGCTCTCCAGCACACCTGCACATGTGCTCAGTTTAATGAATGCTTTAGACTGTGGCTGCAGCTGAGGTTGACTCTGGTTTTATAGAATATTATAGACAGTAAATACAACATAAAAAGCAGCACTTATGTGACATTTTTCCAATGTTTTTTAAAGATATGTCGCCGGACACCCATGTCACATCTTTGGTTGTTGTTTTTTTTACATAGAATTTAAATATAAGTAAAAGGGTTTTAAGTATTAGAGAGACAAGTGAAAGTCTATTGTGAAGTTGTAACATATTAAATGCAAGTTGTTCTCAGTTTTGTTATTACTCTGGTCCCAGCTCTGTTATGAATTTGAAATGCTACTTTTTCTGTTTTTGCTGAGTATTGCAAACACGTTGCATCCAAGTCCTTGTAGATTTAGTGGATTTCATGTGGTGCAGATTGTTGTTGAGCAGTGATTGTGCAAAAAAGAAAAATCCCCAGTAACAGAAAAAATTGCATGACAAGGCCAGGAAAGTGAGCAGTTCTACAAATAAACTAGGTATATTTATGCATGGATTTATTCCACTACATAAATTCGCCTCCCCCTCTCCATTTGTTTTTGGTGAGATTCATCAGCCTGAGCCACAGCTGAGCTGAAAGGTCTGACAGCATGTAGCGACACATGTGGTTTGACAAGGTAGTGCTATGGGGGGAATTTCAGGAGACGGCTGGTGTATTTTTCTCACTGCCTACCTCTGTGTATGGGTAATGGCTCCCCCCCTCCGTGAGATCCAGTTGGAACTGGAAATTTCTGGCCAGTGCTGGCTGCCTGCCCACTCCCACAGGCCAGGCTCCGTCAGCAGCACTTCCGGGAGTGTCTTAGCACAGGAGGAGAAAGTGAGAAGGAAATAAACAGCAGAGGGCCTAGAAAGCTGAACCACACATGGTTTCTGGTTTGAGGGAAAAAAAAGGTGTAGGCAGCCATGAATTTCTCGCTGATGTACAAATCATCTTGATTTCCTATTCACAACAAGATGCATGCAGAAATATCGGCTCTTGAGGGGGAGGGTGTTTTTTTTCTCCTTAGCCTCCACAGATAGGCTTTCATTTAACAAGAGAAAGTGCATTCCCAGTGCGTAACCGTTCATAAGAATTTTAAAATTTATGGAAAGTGCTGCCCTGTCGATTTTATATTCATGTAAACCTTATTTGTTGCTTTGCAATTTAGTCAATGTAAACACACATTTTGATGCTTTTAAAGCAAATGCTTACCAAAACCTCGTTTGATTTGTTGTTCTTGCATGCATATGAAACTGCACATTTGATTTTATGTAAAAATATAATAAATCAGAAGTTTGTTCATAATTTGTCCCAGCATAGTTTAATATATAATTTCTACGAACTATGTGATTGGTAAAAGTGACTCAAAATATCATCTTTTTCTTTCAAATGGTAGTAGAAATTGTAGATATAACAGGTTCAACATTTAAGTCCATGTTCTTCTTTTTCTACAGTGATTCTAGCAGTAGTTCCAGTGATGACTCTCCAGCTCGCTCAGTACAGTCTGCTGCCGTTCCTGCACCCTCGGCTCTTCCTTTATCCTCCCTTGACAAGGATGAGCCACGTAAAAGTTTCGGCATTAAGGTCCAAAATCTTCCTGTGCGCTCTACAGGTTAGTTTTTAGGTGCTCTTGTGATGTAGAGATACAGATGGCCTCCTGTTTAGAAATGATTCATGCTTTTACACCCCGTCCCTTAAATCATGTTGTCATTACCAAAGAATTTGTTTTATTTTGAGGATACTTACTCAATGAAACCTTTTATTGATTAATTTCAGATACAAGCCTGAAGGACGGTTTGTTCCATGAGTTTAAAAAACATGGGAAGGTCACTTCTGTTCAAATCCATGGAGCTTCAGAGGAACGCTATGGGCTTGTCTTTTTCCGCCAGCAAGAAGACCAAGAAAAAGCACTGGGAGCATCAAAGGGGAAGCTTTTTTTTGGCATGCAAATCGATGTCACAGCCTGGACTGGCCCTGGTAAGTTCTGATATTTAACAGTTTCAGAAAAATGTGGGATTATTGACAAAATGAAGCTGATTCCAGTGACTGTTTACTTTTTCAGAGACAGAAAGTGAGAATGAGTTTCGGCCCCTGGATGAGAGGATAGACGAGTTTCATCCTAAAGCCACACGGACTTTATTCATTGGAAACCTGGAAAAGACCACCACTTACCATGACCTGCTTAACATCTTTCAACGCTTTGGAGAAATAGTGGTAAGTTAAAGCTGCAGAATGGATCAGAATCAATTTGGAAATCTTTCATAATCTCTGAAGGCTGACTGTGTTCAAATCATGACAGGACATCGACATCAAGAAGGTGAATGGAGCTCCCCAGTATGCCTTTCTACAATACTGTGACATTGCCAGTGTCTGTAAGGCCATCAAGAAGATGGATGGAGAGTATCTTGGTAACAACAGACTAAAGGTGAGGGTTCTTATTTCCGCAGCTCTGCCATATTCTTGTCTTCTAAAACCAGGTTCAGCCTCATTTATTAGCCAAATTTGTAAAAATAATTGAGTTCTTTAAGATGTTCAATTATGATATCTAACAATTGTGATTTGATATCCGTCTTTTTCAGCTTGGCTTTGGAAAGAGTATGCCCACAACATGTGTGTGGTTGGATGGATTAGCATCAAACACAACTGAGCAGTTTCTTACTCGCCATTTCTGCCGTTATGGACATGTTGTCAAGGTGAGCGTCTTTATTCTCCCGCTCAAAGTCACCCATTGTTTACTTTTTGGCAACTTAAGGGCTCTATTTCCCCCTCTTTTCCGCAGGTTGTATTCGACAGAATGAAAGGAATGGCCCTTATCCTGTATAACAACATTGAATATGCACAAGCTGCTGTCAAAGACACAAAGGGGTGGAAGATAGGGGGCAGTAAAATCAAGGTAAAATCAAAGTTTCACATGGTATTGAGTTTTCCTCCTGCTGTAGTGTTTTGTGTATTCCTGACAGAAAGTTGAAACTGCAACAAAACATGCCTTTTATTTTCTACAGGTGGACTTTGCCAATCAGGAGAGTCAGATGGCTTTCTATCGTTCGATGCAGGCATCTGGTCAGGATATCCGAGATTTCTACGACATTCTCTCTGAAAGAAGGTTCGTGTTACTCACTTCTGGAACAATCACTTTACCTCCATACTGTGTTCATTGAAGATATTAAAGCCTTTGTGTTTTTTGTTGTGACAGGGATGATCGGCGAAGTCAATATGAGTTTCAAGCTGAAAGACAATATTATGAAAATGTCCGAACACCAGGAACCTATACCGAGGACCCACGTCGTAAATACCCCTCCAGAAGTCGGGAATTCTACACTGAATGGGACCCGTATCAGGGGGATTACTATGATCCGCAGTACTTTGAAGACCCTAGGGAGTATAGAGAGTACAGAGCTGACCCCTATGAACAGGACATTCGCAAATACAGCTATTTGCAGCGGGAACGAGAAAGAGAGAGGGAACGCTTTGAAACTGATCGTGGGCGTGATCATGGGAGGAGGACAGTCGAGCGCAGCCAAAGCCCATCCCACATTGCCTCTAGACGTCCTGCCAGCCCCACTGCCTCTCCTTCACTCTCAGAAAGGATACCAAGTGACCCAGACCGCCGCATTCGCTGCAGATCTTCTGAAAGGAGTGGTAGCTGCAGTTCAATCTCTCCACCAAGATTTGAAAAGCTTGAAAAGACACGAACTGAAAGGTATAATAAAACTGACAAGCTCGAGAAGGATCGAGTTTTTGAGGTTGAAAGAGGGAGTTTGGTGGAAAAGGAGAAGCGAGCTGGGCGTAAAGATCGAGGAGAAAAGGACAAAAGTGAAAAACAGAGGCTTAAGAAGCTCAAAGTTGCATCACCCATCATACAAGCATGTGAGCTGGAACCTGAACTTGAAAGAGATGTAAGCCCTGAGTCTGTCCTTCGAACTAAAAACAGTAAAATTGCAAAGGAGGGCTCAAGCAAAGGAAGGCTGGACCTTTTGCCTTGCGTAGTGCAGTTAACACGTGTCAAGGAAAAAGAAGGAAAACTAATAGGTCATTCAGTCCAAGAAAAACCAACTCCAAGAGGTGGGAGTGATGGTCCTAGACTGGCATCACCTTCAGCTGACCAGAAGAGTCCTCTGTTCCGGCCAGAGTCTTCAAAAATAGATATCTCAAAGCACGGCAAGCTGCCCAGAGAGAAAAACATCCACAGTTTAGTGGAAGTTATTGAAAAAGATGCTAAAATCAAATCCAAAAAGCACGGAAAATCTGAAATGGGATTTGACAGTGGTATTTCTGTGGATATGGACCGTTTAGCTGCAAGAAAAAGACGGTTTGAAGAGTCTGGAAAAGCTGACCGACAGAAAAGAACCAGTGAGGAGGATCTTGTCAGATCTGGACTTCATAAACTGTGGAACAATACAAAAGATACAGACTTGGATAAGAACCTTCTGATAAAAGGGATGCATAAAAAGGAGCACCACAGGGAAAAATGTGCCAGGATGGTTTTGGTTAACAGTCCAAATGATGGACGAGACTGTGAAAACAACTCTATAGGCCTGTCTTTGGAGCGGCAGTCCCGGCTAGAGGAGCTGCCTGAAGATTCTGCTGAACAATCAGACTCTCCATATCTTAAAATGGAATTAGAGGGCTCCAAGGGTGAGAAGAGCCCCAGTCACATCAAGCTGTCTGATCACAGCAGCCTTGATTTGGAGGAATTCAAAGAACAAAAACAGGTTTCATCCGAGAATGAGCAAGGCAGAGGGAAGTGTGTAGATTCAGATGATGGAGATGAACACTTAGTGCATAATGACAACAATAATATTTGCACCAAACAAATCGAACAGTGTCACTGGCTTCATAACAAGATTGGTGACCCTGACAAAGCAGTAAGATATGAAAATCCGCCAAGTATCGAGACACCTGATTTTGACAAGGATTATCTCATACATGACGTTGGAAAACCTATCCAGGATATGTCAAATGATGACTTCTCTTCCTCTAAACGCAAGAAATTACAGAATTTTGACTTTGAGATAGTCAATGCCAAGAGAGAGCGCAATTATGCAAGTTACCAAAAACTGAACGAGGACATCTATCAGACTATAACATCGTCTATAGGGCAAGGCCAATTTTCTGCTAATGAGGATGAAGAGACGGCCCAGATTTCCGTGTCAATCATTAACAAAGAAAGAAAATCTCCAACAACAGACAAAAGTTTTTCCCACACAGAGTCACTTAAAAACAGTTTTGGTCTGACAGCCTCCCATTTCCAGTCTTCTGACAGCGAGCTACAGAAACTGAAGACAAACCTGCTCAGCTGTGACGAGGAGTTAATGCAACGCTGGGAAAGACGAATGAAGTCTGATTCACTTCGAATGGAAATGACTTTTCCGAGTGAAATTTCAAAGCGTGAAAGTATTCACAAACGCCTCGGCCAGGATTTGGAACCTGGAGAAGTTCAGTCTGATTCTGATGATGATGGAGATAACAAACACGTTTGTCCAAAGACCAATAGCTCTTTGTCGTATATCCTCAGGGAACATGATGAGAGGATGACAGACCTGAAGCTTTCAAACTCCTTGGAAAAAAATAAGTTTTATTCTTTTGCACTGGATAAAACTATAACCCCTGACACAAAAGCACTTCTGGAAAGAGCCAAAACATTGTATTCTTCCAGGGAAGATAATTGGTCCTTTCTTCCCTCTCGCTTTCCAGCTTCCCACAGCTGTTCAGATAAAGACAAGGTCGAGCTTGCACCACGGCCTATTCCTTCTTGGTACATGAAAAAGAAAAAGATTCGCACAGACTCTGTAGAAAAGCTGCGTGATAAAAAGGAGGAACTAAAGCCACAAGACCAGGAACGTCAGGACTTGTTTGCCTCCCGGTTCCTGCACAGCTCAATCTTTGAACAGGATTCCAGACGTTTGCAGCATCTTGAACGTAAAGACCCAGATCCAGAAACTGGAGTTGTTAGGCCTCCTATTAAGCCAGGCGCTACTGAGGTACAGTCAGAATCTGGACCAGGTGACACCTCACAAGAGCCCATAGTCCTCTTCCACAGTCGATTTTTGGAGCTTCAGCAACAAAAGGACAAAGACAATTCCCCACCCGATACAGAAAACGAGTCTGTTGCTGAGGGAATTAAAAGAGAAGAGGTGCAAAATTGTGATAATGTCCTCTCTGATAAGAAAATGGAGCCACAAGCAAAGGCTGATGACAAATCATCTGGCTCTGAGCTAACGCTGTCGGTTTTACCTTTTGTCATTCAAGAAAAACCTGCACAAGAAAAGAAAGAGCTTATAACGCCATCGTCAGATCAACCTGTGCTATTTGTGAAAGAAGAAAAAATGGAGCCAGCTCATGAGCTTCCTCTATCTCATTCTCTCCCTACAGAAGACATCAAACACGTTGCTCCTAAGATAAACATAACCCCACCACTCATCCATGCAGAGCCGGAAATTGAAATGGAGACAAAATTAGAGCTAATTGAACCCAAAGCGAAAATTGGAGATAGCTTGGCAGTTGAACGTAATCCTCTTGTGGAGGATAAGCCTCCTACTCCTGGTGGTTCCCTAAGTGGTTTTGAGAAAGAGACTGCTGAATCTTCTTACTCTGACTATCCAAAGATTGATGACAAATCTGAAATCATAAAGATGGAGCCTATATTAGAAAGTCAGGAAACAAAACACATTGAGGAATCTCAGAAAATGGAGACAGATAGTGAGGTCTGTATGCCTGAGTTAGAGGCTGAAATAAAGCCGTTTCCCAATCGCAGACAGCCAAAGAGTAAAAGAGCAAAACCAATGGCAGGATCACGCACTTCGCAACTTTCCCAAGCTGCTGCTGCGGAGAAACCAGCAACACGAAAGAGTGAGCGAATTGACAGAGAAAAGCTCAAACGGGCTTCATCTCCTCGAGCATCTGAGGCTAAAACCCCATCCAAGTCACCAAGCCATGCATCAGATTCAGAGCAAAACCGTGAGTCAAGTTTGATCCATGGGAGAACACGTCGCAGGAATGTAAGGTCAGTTTATGCCACGTTACATGAAGATGAGCAAACTAGCAAGGAAGTGGTTGAGTCCCCCCGCTCGATGCGCAAACGTGGCGTTGATAAAGAACCAGTTCAGCAAGATGTTCAGATTCCATCCACCAACGCAAGGCGAGGACGTCCACCTAAAAGAGGTGTGAAACGTGGTGAGGATCTGTCACCAGTAAAGACTGATCAGCAGAAAATGGTGGAAGATGAGACAGAAGTCAAAGAGTCTTCCACCCTGGCCGAGGCTGCGAAAGCCTCTGAGGGGTGGCGTTCTCCCCGCACCCAGAAAGTGCAACAAACACAGGTTGCTTTATCCACTCCAGCTAACAAGAAAGGCAGTAAAATAGACAAACAGTCTGGCAACACTGCTGTTGTAGCTGAACAAGCTGATCTAGAGGATCACACAGAGTCAGAACCTGAGCCCAAAATCGATGCTGTACTGGTGGGAAAGTTCTCTGAAAAGACCGAAAGTTCAAAATTACCGGCTCAGAGAAAGGAGAAAGACCTAAGAGAGTGTGGTGGAAAGAAACCTGCTGATGGGGATATCGAACCATCAGATACCAGCTCCTCTGAGAGAAGACAACAGCCTGAAAAGAGTCTCAAAGTGAAAACACAGAGGCCAAAAAGAAATGCGAAGCAGGTCATTGGGGATAAGTCTCACAGCTTGAAAAATCTTGAGATCCGTGTGAGTGTTGATGATGTAAAAAGTTTACTCCGTTCAGAGGAAGATGAGCCTGAGTCATTCGAAGCCTCTTCTATCAAGAAATCCAAGCCGGGCATTCAGGAGAATGAAGAAACAAAGATCATCAGCTTCTCAAAAGAACCAAAGGAACCTGATGCCCAGGAAAAGGAAGACGCTCTATCAGACTCTGAACCTCCTGCTGACCCAGCTGCAGCTCTCTTAGCACGACAGATGGAGCTAGAGCAGGCAGTTGAAAACATTGCCAAGCTTACAGTTGAGCATCCTCCCCGACCTTACAAAGAACCAATTCCAGAGCAGTCCACCATACTGCCTCCTGTCGTAGTAGAGCCAGAGGGTGAGGTTGAGGAGGAGAAGCCAGCTAACCCTGCAAGCGAAACTGAACTTGCTGCTGCTATTGATTCCATTACAGCTGAGGAAATAGAAGCAGATGGTTTCCAAGCTCCTTCTACGTACACAGCTCTAGTTCCTACCCCCGAACCCCTGGTATCACCCCCATCCAATGAGATTATGGAGACTGAGACACACATGGAGATTAACAATATTCCTGTAGCAGACTCTGATGAAGGCCCTCTAACACCCAGCCCAAGAGGTCTTATAGCAGAGTCTAAGGAAACTGAGGATACCACTTTACTTGAAACACCCAAGAAAGCTGGTAAAGTTAGAGGAAAAACCCAAAAGAAATCAAGAGGTCGAAAAGGTGCAGCTCACAAGAAGGGGGATACGGCAGAGGGCATGTCACAACCTGACCCCTCACCAAGCAAACTACCAGAGTCAATTCCAGAGGACCCACCAACCATCAACTCAAAAGCAGTCACTTTTACTGCGGCAGCTTCTGTAGTCACTGCTGTTGCCACCTGTAGGCGTGATGTTACAAGTGCCATAACTGTAGACACACCCAAAGAGGCAGAACAGCCTGAGGTTGAGCAGCCTGTTCCCAAAGAATCTGCTTTTCATACAGGCACAAGCAACATCTCCAGCTCTAAAAAGGACACTCAAGCAGCAGAGCCATCTCCCCCCACACTTGCTCCAGCTCCTACTCGCCCACAACCTGTACCCCAGTTTGGTCTTCCCTTACTGCGGCCCTCCAAAATGTCTCTTTCACCAGATTGGCTGCCTCGATCAGAGGAAAGTAGAATTTATGTTGCTCCCTCATGTCATGTAACAGTGGTGACTGCTTCTACGCCAGCTTCAACTGCACTCGGAACCCCTTCAACAAATCCCCCAATGCCCCCTGATACCAAGGCTTCAGATATCGATCCAAGTTCAAGCACCCTGAGAAAAATTCTTATGGAACCGAAATATGTGTCTGCATCAAACAGCAATGCTATATCCTCCACCATAGTGACATCAGTGCTCTCAGATCCTTTACGGATGTCAGAGAATGAAAAACCCTCAGAGAAAATGGGTTCAAGACAGCTGCATCCTGAAGAGAGGCAACATTCACATCCTCTTCCAATACACCACAAACCTTTTCCACTGACAGAATCTCAGCAGAACTGTAGCGAAAAAGCCCAGCATACAGTGATTTCACCTGCTACCTCGGTTATTAGTCGGATTCCAATGCCTTACGATACTGAGGAAACTCCACGAATATCCCTTAGCAACCGAAGCATTGGCACACCTTTACCTAAGCAAAAATATAGATCAAACTCTAATGAGAACAGTCGCTACCATGGCATCGATATCGTCGAAGATGGAATGCGAGGGCGCTCTGTTGTTGAGACTACTCCTTACAGTACAGGCTCCAGTCCTGGCCTGAGGGTCAACACATCAGAGGGTGTTGTTGTTCTTAGTTATTCAGGCCAGAAAACTGAAGGACCTCATAGGATGAGAGCCAAAATTAGTCAAATTCCTCAAGCCAGTGCTGGTGACATAGAGTTCCAGCAATCTGTGTCCAAATCCTCCATAAAGCAAGACCCAGTTATCTCATCATCCCAGTCACCTATCCCAAAAGCAGCCCCAAGTGCTCCATCTTATGGACATACAGGAGTCCTCTTGACAGGCCAGTCTTTCAACTCCCAACCTGTAATTTCAAGTACCAAGCAAGAGAGTCTTGAAAAATCTGATGCGCCATATCACACAACATCACCCGGTGGCGTGGTCAAGATGTTCCAACAGCCAGTCAGTTCTCCTCAAGTCTTAATGTACAGCCAAGCTGTGATACAGCATCAGCATGGCAAAAAGGGACTGGGAGCAGAACCTGTACCCAAAAAAATGGACATTGGCAAAGCTGTTCAACAGTCTAATCTCAGCCCAGTCATGAGTCCACACCATCCATCACTTTCTGGAACTCGCATGAGCCCCAGTCCTGGCAGCCAAACTGATCGTACAGCTCTACACCTGAAGCAAGAGCCCCAGTCTCCACGGACAGCTGTTCAGTCCCCTCTACCCTTTGTCAAAGCCTGTCCTCCCAGCAGTTCTCCAAGAGGAACATCTGTGGTTCTGGGTCATGGCATCCCAACAATGTCTACATATCACTCAAGTATTCATCACCCACACTCAGAGCAGTCCTCTGTTATAATGCAGCCTCACAGCGTCACACAGTCAATGGCTCATGAGGCCAGGATGAACACCTCACCAATGTCTGGGATAAACTACGGAAGGAGGGGTGACCCTCTGTCTTCTCCACACACAGGTCCTTCACAGCGTTCTACTACGCCACAGCCTAATGTCATCCAGAATATGGTACTGCAGTCTCATTCCAGTCCCAAAGGGCCAGTATCAGTTGGAAGCAGCATCCATGAGGATGATCCCAGACACTTTAACCAAGCCCTTAGTAGACCATCAGTGCCCCAGCTCCAGTCAGATGTAATGATGATTCACAGTGAACATCGTGGGCTCCACCCAAGCATCCGTATGGACCAGTACAGAGACATGCACCAGCGCATGCTTATGCACCAGCAACTGGGAGAACAGGTCACTGTGGAAGCAAGGCAGTCTCGCACCTCAGAGACTGCTCCAACCATGTCAAGCAACATCCCTGGGCCATCAAAGAGTCCATTGGTGGGAAAGAGCATTGAACTTTCCTCCAAAGAATCTCTTAAATCACTTGAAGGGAAGTTGATACACCCACCCATGAATGAAAGCAGAATCAGGGGAGTCCATGCGTCAAGTCCTGTCATGGTGTCTCCACATTCTCATGGGGTTCAGCTGATGCATCCACCAAGTGTGGGCTCCTTTCCAGTTTACCGGGACATGCGAGGCTATCCATCCCAGTTTCCTGGACAGTCCTCATCAGGACACAACCTGGCTAGCCAAGGCATTGCATCCTCACAGGTCAGTAAATGTGCTTCAGTGGTTGAACTTGCTTTATGTATGCATGCATTTCATTAAACCAGGAAAGCCTCTTTGAAAAAAAACATCTCTACATAGGTACCCTGGGCAAGATCAGCAATAGCGCATTCCAACAAAGTTACAGACATAGAACACATAACATTTCCTAACATATTTAAACATATCCTGGATCATGTTACAGAAACGTATCAGTGAAAGCATCTACTGCCTGATAGTTATAAGAGACAGGCGCGTCACCCTGAGATGTAGTAATAGATGACAGGTTTGGTGGCTTTCCTCTTTGAGTTTGTAAACACCATGAGTTTTGTTTTACCAGGACTCAGGATAAATTCTAACACATGAAAGGTGTCTTGCACAATATCAAAAGCACCATAAGTGACACAATTCCTGAAACTGTGTTGGAGCAGAGCTGTAAGTAACTGTATCAAATTCTTATCGGGAAAGAAACTAGTTTTGGAATCAACAAATAAGTGGTCCCACGACAGAACCCTGGGCCACACCATTCCTCATTTCAAGTGCTCAAGAGATGATGTGGAGTGTTTGATAATAGTTTTATACCAAGAGACAGATTACTCTGTCAGTCCAATACTGAGTAGTCTGTTTTTCATAAATACATGATCTACAGACTCAAAGGCTTTTGACAAGACAGTTAATATTTGCTGCTCAGTTCCATTTATCATGCATCTTTTAGCTCCTGATATTCACAAAGCTCAATTTGGCATTTGTTTTCTTAATCAGGTCCCTCCGGAGTCTGTGATGGGTCATAGGGAGAAAATGTCTCAGTCACATGGGGGAGGAAGTGATTCCAAAGCTGAGAGTTCCCATCTTCGCCATGCTACCTCTACGGATCTGGCACACATTTCTCGAATACCAGGGGATGCACTCTCACCCTCATACCAGTCTCCAATGACGTCCCCCATGTGTCTTACTCACAAGCCAGATCTGTCTCTGCAGAAAGGCCCTCCTGCCTTCCTGCCAACACCTCAGCCAGCAGTCCCTCCATCAGGTTCACTGCTGCCACAGCGTGATGCGAAACTGGAACACTCAGGCCATCGTTCCATTGACATGGTGCAGCTTTTGACGGTAGGATGGCCGAATCAACCAGCAGTGCCAAAGATAGAAGAAACTCTCAAGACAAGACCAAAATGCACAATCGTACTTAGATGTTTTATGTTTTTCTTCACAGAAATATCCTATCGTATGGCAAGGCCTGTTGGCACTGAAGAACGACCAGGCTGCTGTCCAGTTGCACTTTGTTTCTGGCAACACCATTTTGGCCCAGCGCTCCTTACCTCCCCCAGAGGGAGGTCCACTTCTTCGTATCGTCCAGAGGATGAGGCTGGAGGCTTCCCAGCTGGACAGTGTGGCACGCAGAATGACTGTGAGTGTTTGGGCTTTATTCTTTGCAAAATGTTTAAAACAGTCTCTGTTGTTTTAAACATTTTGTTAATAAAAAAGAAAACATTTGTAGGAATGTGATATACATGTTCACATTTATAAGATGAGTCATTCATGGCAGGTGGAGAACGATTACTGTTTGCTACTGGCTCTACCCTGTGGTCGAGATCAAGAAGATGTCCTTGGTCAAACCCAAGCCTTGAAAAGTGGCTTCATCACCTACCTGCAAGCTAAACAGGCAGCTGGCATCATTAATGTGCCCAACCCTGGCTCGAATCAGGTCTGTGCTCATTTAATTTTTCTCTGTTGTACTGTCAAATTTGACTATTTCATATAAAAAGTAGCGTGAAGACTAATCCCCTCTCTGTTCTGTCACTTTTCATCCTCACAGCCAGCTTACGTAGTGCAGATTTTCCCACCGTGTGAATTCTCTGAAAGCCACCTATCCCGCCTGGCTCCGGACCTTCTTAACAGCATCTCCAGCATCTCCCCTCACCTCATGATTGTCATTGCCTCTGTTTGATTACCTCCATCGTTTTCCTAAACAAAGCCAACACCAGCCGTTTTGGACTCGTCCAGTTCTTTTTTTTAACTGGAATTGCCTCATATTTTTATGAGTTTGTCTTTTTGTAAAAATCTGATTTAGCACGTGCTCACCTTTTTCTCTCTTCACTTCACCGAGTCCTTAAAACAATGACAGTGATTTTCAAAACTCTACCTTTACAGAGAGGACCTGAAGGGGCAAACAGGATTTTTGATGACCATTTCTGATTTTTCATTTCATTCTTGCCATTTTTGGAGTTGTTGTGCATAGCCTTTTCTAATTCATAGCACCCATACAGCTATGGATTGACCCTTCCTATGGGATATTTTTTACCTTCATAAAAGTGATTGTGAATTTCTTTTTTAAAAAGACAAATGATGTGAGAAGTCATTGCACTATGTTAAGATGAAAATTGTGAACTCTGTACAGATTTGCGTATAAAATTACATGTTAAGGAATGACTTGTGTTCAGCTATGCTTGAGCAAGCGAAAAGAAAACCATTGCCTGGAAAATGATCAAGAATCAGTACAGCTTGATCACCCATTCTGCTTTTGCTTCTTTGCCATCAGCCAACTTCTACGTCATTTCCGGACCCAACTCTCCACCCCAAGGTGTTCCCTGCCCCAGGAACTCCAGAGGGGACGTTCAGAGTTGTACAGTTTACACTTAATGCCTCAAAAGGGGACTGTAAAAAGAATATTTAAGTTGTTTATTTTTGTTTGCATCTTCTTTAAGCCTAAGGGTATTGTGGGCCGTCGTGAAACTGTAAATATTATAAATATTTAAAGACTGAAGCAATGCGGAGAGACCAAGTGAGTTATTTTACAAGACGGATCATTAGATGTCAATGTTTTTTTTTTGTCTGTCGTCTTCGGGGCAAAAGGGGGTTGGCGGAAAGGACCTGTGATGTATTCAGTTATGACATTCAAGGAAAAAAATGTTTTTTTAGTTATTGATTCTGTGCCAAAATGTCTTTAGCTAAATTTCATCACAAGCATTGTATCTGAAACTGAAATTGATCAGAACCTATTTTCATATGTGACTTTGTATTTTGCCTCTCGGAGGGCAGAGTTGATTCCTTTCTTTTGGTAACGTTCATCAACACAACTATGTTACTTCAGCCCTTTTTTATTACATTATATAACTGTATCCTCATGTTGAAGGAACCGTTGTATGGTAGGGTTACATTTCTGTTTGTATTCCTTTTTTTCTTCCTCCTGATTTGGTCCTCTACTGCCCCCTGCTGTCTGAAAATCATATTCTAACACATGAAGACTTGCATACCGAGGTTATTTGAGTCTTGACTTCATGACAGATTTGTTAGAGCATGCTTTATTTTCAAATCCTAGAGGGTAAAGTCAAATCATAGAGGCAACGAATGTGACTTGAACTTGATATCATGCCGCTATTGGATGTGTTGCTCATATGTTTCCTCCCCTGTCCCATTAATGTCTTTTTGAGCCAAGCTGTACATACTAATGTCCTTAATCTGTGCTCTTGTGTATTTCTCCCCTTATTATTGTCTTTCTTCAGGGTCCTTATTTTTGTTCTGTGCAACAAAACAAAGCAGTCTGAGGGAGACAAGAGAAGATGTGTGTGAAACCGATGCTGAAAGTAAAACCATGCTTGTCAGTTTTGTGATGTAAATATTTTTATGACTGCAAGCTGAATACTCTCATGGTTATGTTGAAGGCACTTATAATTTTTGATAAACAAGAAGAAAATACCTTAAAAAAAAAACTTAAAACAGTGATTAATATGAAAACTGTCTTTTGATCAATCTTCATTTTGAGTGTATTTTGCTGTTCCTCCATGAGGACATTTTAAACTGTAAAATAAATGGTTGTTTAACTTACTTCTGAAGATCATTAAATGGTCCATCACTCTTGGTTTGTGCTTTTGTGATCTATGTTCTTCTCTGTTGTGAAGAGACTTGTGCAGACGTATGACTTCTGGTTTATATTATTTCTTCTGTTTGACTACCTCGCCAAAAATATCATAATCACAACATTATTGCAATATTTTTCAGAAAACATGAAAATTAAATAAGTCAAATTGAAGGAAAGCTAAACAAAACAAAAGCACTTTAATAAATCTCACCAACAAACCCAATTTACTGACATATCATCCATTTCTAACAATGTTCAAATTTGTGATTTATCCACACCATCATCCCTGTGACTGAAACTTGAGAAGAGAAAACGTTTCCCCATACAACTCGTTTGTCATGCTTTTATTTTGGTGTTTTTTCTGTCTTGTGTTTGTGTGTTACCGTATTTCCCGAATGATAAAACCATGCTTTTATTCTGAAATATGAGCGACTTCCGGCAGGTCGTACATTTTGGAAGTGTGAATGAAAAAAACAACAAAAAACATCAGAACGCTCAGAAAATATGAATGGAGGGACACAAGCTCTAATGTAACTATTTAGGTCTGTGAATGCTGGTTCTGAAAAGTGTCTCATCATCTCTATGAGTATATAAGGGCTGTTACAAACTAGCTTGCTACCTCACAACATTAACATTTAATTAAAAAAATTAAAAAAAAGACAATTATCGCCTATACATTTTGGACAGCCCAAATAGCAACACTGAACTTTGAAACTTCACAAGTTAAGTGTTGCTTTTAGTTGTATCTTGGGTTGGAGGTATTTTATTACTACATTTACTGAAGTTACTGTTATGGAGTAGCTTCTCTGTCCACTTTTTGAAAAGTTTTCAGTAACAGTACTTTTACCTAAGTCTATATTTGTAGGCAGTGTTGTAGCCCATTTCTCTCTCCATTTTATCAGTGACTTAGGAGCAACCATATTATGTCTAGGCTACTTGTTTTTTGATTTAGCTATGTAGTACTGTTCTGAACTTTAACACAATTTCATTCTCATAATGACTTACGTGTTGTAAAATTATGACTTAACTACAAATTCATTTTTCTAACAGTATGACTTAAATCTCATAACATAACATTAAAACGTATTTCCTACATTTTCATTCGTGTGAGAAAATCAATCAGTCAATCAATCCACCAGTCTTTATTTATATAGCACTTTTCATACATAACATGTAGCACAAAGTGCTTCACACAGAAAAAGGAATAAAAGAAACAAAGAATACCCAAATTTACCCCAACCCAAGATTAAAAGAATACCCAAATCAACCCCAGCCCAACTCCTCATTCCCACCCCACGATCTAATTGCAACAAAAACAGTATTAAAATGCATAAACTTTAAAAGGGCTTGATTTCGTGGAAACAGGAATGTGCGCACTGAGGAAACGTCATTTTAAAACCCAAGATAAGGAAACACTGGAGGTTTATGTTAAAATCTAAAAACAAAGAAAGAATGAAAGTTAAGAAATAATAAATAAAATGAAATGAAAACAACAGTAAAGATACTAAAATAAGAGCACCAAAATAGCTCAATAAAAAACGATCCAGTTATTAAAACTAGAAAAAGATAAATGCTAAAACACTTAAACAGAGTTAATGATATAAAATTTAGTTAAAAGCAAGACTAAAAAGGTATGTTTTTAGTTTGGTTTTAAAATCATTAAGATTAGGTGCAGTCCTCAGGTATTCAGGTAAGCTGTTCCATAGACGGGGGCTATAGTTATAAAAAGATGCAACACCGTATGTCTTAGTTTTAACTTAAGTTATTGTTAACATAGAACTTCCTGAAGACCTGAGGGCTTGACCTGGCTCATAAGGTAAAAGAAGATCAGATAGATAAGAAGGACCAAACTCATTAAGAGCTTTAAAAACCAATAAAGCAACCTTAGAATCTATTCTGAAAGAGACAGGTAGCCAATGCAGAGACCTTAAAATCGGTGTAATGTGATCTCTCTTTCTGGTCCTTGTTAACATCCGTGCAGCTGAATTTTGTAATATTTGCAGGTGTGAAATGTTCTTTTTGGGGAGACCAGAAAGAAGGGCATTAGCATTGGACCATCAGCACCACATTATCACGAGTATCATAATGATTATATTAAGAGTTTATTCTCGTAAGTACCAACTTTATTACGACTTTATTCTTGTAAATAATGATTTTATTACAACTTTATTCTCATAAGTAAATGCTTTGTTACTATTTATTACTTATTACTAATACTTACTTACAAATTCAGGCATTTAATATGCAAGTGTTTAGATTAATTGCTTATCTGGAATATATATATATATGTATATATATATATATATATATATATATATATATATATATATATATATATATATATATATATATATATATATTATCTACTCAGTCCAAGCCAGGCAGGTTCATTTATGGAGCTCATTTCAGTCCATTCAAAGTGTGACAAAAGACATCAAAAGAATCCTTACAGAGATGAGAGAAACTATTAGAAATTATTTGTTAAGGCAATAAAATAAAAAAGCTGCTATGAACAGGTGAGTCTTGAATGTGGATTTACAAGAATTGAGAGTCTCAGCAAACTGGACATATTCTGGTAGTTTGTTCAAAATATTTGGAGCATAAATACTAAATGCTGCCTCTCTGTGTTTGGTTCTGAATCTGGGGACCGAGGTAGACCTGCCCCATAAAAGTTTTCTGTGCTGAGCTGGAAGATTGCTGATGTATTTTGGATGTAAACCACTGAGTGCTTCATGTACTAGCAGTGATATTCAGTCTAATCTGATAGATTTGCGGTCAACTTTTTGTTGAGATTTTTGATCTGGCCAAATAAAAGTTGAATAAATAAAAATGTGCAAAATTTTCATCTGAGAAAAGTCACAAACCCTACTCTAAAGGTAAGATTTCTTTAAAGTGAATGTGCTTTATTTCAGCACACTTCTCATCTCTGCTGCAATCCATTTACCAGTCAGGAGATGTCAGTATTTGCCCATTAGTTTGTCCCTCTGAGATACAAGCCATGACTAATCGGTCATGTCAAGCTTAACAGGCCATGAAAAAAAGTCAAATTTTTATTCGTCAAAGCTCATTCAAATTTGGGCATGACTTAACTTTAATATTATTCATAACTGAAAGAGCTATTCCTACATCTTTGGTTGTCAGTATGATTTAAAAAAAGGAGAGAAATGTTGCTCAGACTTTCAAAAATAGATCGCACCAAACAAGAAATTTGTCTTTGACTTGTTTTGTTTTGGCTGTGTTTATTTCTGGTCTGCCACAGAGGGAACTGTGGAGGAACTTGTATGCCAAACATGTCTGTCTCGGTCAGGAAAGATGTACTTTAAGTAATTGGCTGCGTAGGTTTTTGGTGTCTCACTGTGTTGGTGCTGTAATGCGCACTTAAAATGAACACTCAAGTCATTCCTCTTCTGGTTAATAACAGCTAAAATCAACAAAGAAATTCTGAGATAATTTAGGTTCAATTTGCTGGTCAGTCTGTGCCCTATATCAACTATTTATGACACTGAAAAAACTGGAATATCAGTGACAAATTACAGATGATTACATGTTTTTGCGGTCGAGCTGCAAGAGTAGTGTTCAAATGGCTTTTGAGCAAGACAAATGAGCAGTCGAAACTGCAGTTATAGACTCATCTGTGGGGAAAACAGCTCCATGGTTACGGGAATTTAAAGAGCATGGCTTGAACGTTTCGGTTTCCGGCTGCACCCGTCAAATCCAGGAGTAAACTAGCCGACAGATTCCCCAAAGGGAAGCCAATGGGGATTTAGTGGTAATGGGACTTAATTTGGAAACATTTGGTGGTGAACGCTGCAGGATCTTTCATTATTTTTGGAAGTAGTCCTCGGAGTGAAACTAATATCATTCAAATGCAGAAGGCATGTGAAAAAATGACAACTCACTACATGGCTTCTTGATCCAAGTTATAAAAAGATATTTATATCTCAAAACAACGGCTTGTTTTGCTTTGCAGGATGTTGCATTTCAACTGTATCCCACGAGTCTGGTGCAAAGGGTCGGGCCTCTGGTGAAAAATAATGGAAGACACTGAGGAACACCAGCTGCAGCGGCACCAGACAGTGACTGAGCACCATGCTTTGCTCATTTTCTGCCTCCTGCCATCTTGCCTACAGTAGAAACAAAAGAGTGTGACCATGCAGGGGAGGTGAGGCAGAAGAGATTTATAGTGCCCTGACAGACCAAGGCTTGGAATGATAATTGACGCCCTGCTCGCAGCGTGAGAAGAAGCAGATCAGACCGGGACACGGCAGCGAGAAGACAAGAAAAGAAAGAAAGTTGAAGAGAAATTCAAGACGCTCCCCTACACGTTGTTCGACCTTCCTCTCCAGATTCATGGTTGGTCTAAGATTACAGGTTCTGCCTTTGGGTGATGAAGCGAAGTGGAGGAGAAGTCATGTCCCCTTGTCCTTAAAGTAGACCTCTTTCATATTTTTAAGCTCTGCTCCTCTTGAGCTCTTTGCCACAGAATGACATTTTGAAAGCTCAGATTTAGCTAGAAAATGAGAGGAATGTTGAAAATTTAGAGGTTGGTTTTTCAGACTCTGATAAGTGCTTGTTTTCTTGTTTGTGTCTTTTTGGCACTGAGCTCCCAGCATTCCACTCATGTGTTTGGACAATTTGTCCTTACATGGATCCCCAAATAAACCAAGTAAATTGGAAGAGTGCATACTTCTGTGCACATTTTAAAGTGTGAACAAAGCTCTCATAAAACTGCTCCAAAGGTGAATCTGACAAGTGATCGGGGGGACTGAAAATCTCCAGGTCAGCAAAATACACTTGAAGCTGCAGTAACTCAAACTTGTTAATCATATTGTTTGATCAGTTTCTAAATAATATTTTTTTTACTTATCACCCAGCTGGGCTGCATACTTGATTCTGACTGGTCTGAACTCCAAAGCAGCAGTTATTTATTCTGAAGAGCAACAGGGCAACCTGATCACACATGTCATACATATCAAATCAACCTGAATACAGAAGCCAGA